TAATTTCTCAAAATTATTCGAAATGTTACATTAATCGAAATTTTCGACAGCACATCCTGGATGCAATTTTTTTTAAATTACGGTCAACCGAATCACAAAATTTGTAACAAGACACGAAAAAAACATCGTTAATTAATTCACGTATCTTTCTTAATTTCTCAAAATCACTCATAGTGTTAAATTAATCGGAGATATTCTCGGCGGCATTTTTCGACGGCGCATCATCGATGTAATTTTTTTTTTCAAATATCCTCACCGCATTATACGTGCGTATATTCTTAGAATCGAGGACCGTCACGTGACGGCCTCCCGTTAAAACGTCTCGCAATTTTTTATTTGTCAAGTATTTCTCTCTCCATGAGACCTCCCTCTTTTCCCCTTGACTCATCGTGCATTACGTCAGGCGTCCCCGATTCGCAGCACAGAAGCGGGTGCAGAAAAATGCAGCGGGACGACTTTCCGTTTCGCGCGAGTGTGCATCGAGCGACTCGCGATCGATTCTATACCATGGGTTATCCAAATAAAAAAACATCGCGTTAACTCACGCTAATCTGGGAAATCTACATAATAACGAGTCGACCGGATAAATCGCTGGGGAAAAAAATCGATTTTGGAAAAAAATATTGGCCCCGAGCGACCTGTCATTACAGGAGAGATTCAATCTTTTTTGGACACCTTATACATGTATCTTTCTGCAAAAGAGACCGAAAAATTGCATTATATGCAGTGCATATAAGAGTCACGTGTATTATAATATATGACATTCTTATCTAGACTGCTCTTTTACGTATATTTTTTATTTTAAATGCTCCATTTCGAGTGACTCATCGAATGTCGCCGACTAAAAGGTTGTTCGTTGAAATATGAATTTCAGTAGTTTTATTATCATTTCATTTGATATATATTAATATATTTGACTGCAGTATACATTGGCACTCACATATACTTAAATAAGATCCGAAACTTACCTTAAAAAGAAAGAATTTTCTCTTAGAATTTAATTTGAAAATCATAATTGTGGGACAATATAGAAGAATTTATATAAGAATTTTATTCTTCTGATTAATATTTATCACCATAAAAAATATTAATAAACTGAAAAGAATTAAATAATAAGATAAAAATTTGTCTTGAAAATGATTTTCTTATGTCAAATAAGTATTTTTTCATCAAATCAATATTATTAGTTTCAAATAAATGATTTATTGAGGCAGTATTAAAATAAATATTCCAATTCAATAATTTTTTTCAGTGTATATACACATAATAAATTTTATTATCTAAAATTAATTGAACATATTTTATATCTTATAGTGGTAGATATTAATATTTTTATTTAAGGTAAATATTAATCAGAGAGACTCTTGTAAAATTCTTCCAATATTATATTATCTCACCATGACTTTCAGGGTAAATTTTAAGAGAAAATTCTCTCTGTGTAGCAAAAGCGAAGAACCTTTTAGTCGGCGACTTTACATAGATAAAAAATGACAAAAATCAAATCGTAGACACAGCACATGCGAGACGTTTCCGCCTACATTCGCTGTTTGCGAAGGCAACACTTTTGACAGCCGAGGAATCGACAATGGGCCTCTTTGTATGCCGCGATTGATAATTCCCTTCGTCATACAACATCATACACCACCAGAAAGAGATTGTGTGGCTCACCATGATAGTATATATGTGTGTGTATATTGTATATATTGCGATTACACATGTTGCGATATACCTTCGCCAAGGTGAGGGAAATTACTCATCGAACCTGAGGTTCACGACCGAGTGTCAATGAGTCAGATCGATTTTTTCGCTGCCACCGAAATAGAAAGACGGAGATAAACACCGTTTAATTATCGATCTCGTAGCTCCGGGAAGAGCATTAATAATGCACTGTGTGTCTTCTTCTCCTTTTCTCTTTCTCTATTTCTTTGACCTCTCTTTCTTCATGCGCATTAAGCCTCATATGCGTTTCAACATGCACTACAGATTCATGATTCATCCAATGCAATACATATATATATATATATTGTATATATATATATATATATATGTATATATATATATATATATATATATATATCCAATGCATACATATATATATATATATACACAGGGTGTCTGACATAAAGTATCACACCGAAAATATACAAGTAGAGCTTGCTACTTGAAGACAATTTTTTCTCGGCAAAAATATTGAGGCATCAATAATTTTCGAGTTACAAGCGATTAAAAATAAAAGGTTTTTCGCAAACTAATAAGCCTTGTGGAAATAAAATATTAACAAGACCACATTCTTCAATTAATTTTAAGTAGAGTTCACTTTAGTCAAATTTTAATTTAAGGTTTAGAATTATAAAGATACATGATGGCAAAAATTGAGAAAATGCAAAAATGATGGCCTTCCTCGACATTTTTGCTTTCGTCTGCAAATAACAAGATCTACTTATATACGTATATTTTCTGTGTGACACTTTATGTCAGACATCCTGTATATATATATATATATATATATATATATATATATATGTATGTATAATTATTTTATTATATAATTTATTAATAATAATTGTGTGGGTGAATTTATGCATACGGCAGATAAGATTAATCGATAAGATTAATCGATGCTGTGTCCCGGATTTCACGCGTCGCGTTTTGAGAATCGATCGACACGCTTGAAAGATTAATATAATGTGATTAATGCAGCAATGCGCCATAAATCGGCGATAACACAATCGCACGCGAAAAATGTTACACGATCGGACAACCTTACACAACAAAGGTCTCAATGGTGGAAAAGTCACAAATAATTTTATCACTTTTTGCAAGAACGTTGTTATGTGTGTGTTTGAAAGGAAATGAATCGAGATTAGATTAGATTAAATGCGAGAAAATATTTTATTGTCAGACCTTGATGTTATTGATTAGAACTGATCTTGCACCGATTAATTTGAAATTGCAGTTTCGGCAGTTTAAGTAAATATGGTTAATCACTAATGAGGTTTTCAAATGACATATAGACACGTCTCTGATATCAATCTTTTCTTTCCACTTGTAATTTTAATGTAATCGATTAAAAAATATTTAAAAAATTTCTCTTGAATTCGCAATAAAATTCTTAATTATAGAAATTTAATATTCTAGATATATTTTTAATAATTTGATAAAAATAATTGTGATTTAATATAAAAAAGATATATATATGAATTACATTGAATTATTAATAAATGTCAGTGCAGTTTTAATACAATCGCGGTTCAATTAATAATGAAAATAAATTTATGTGATCATAAAATAGTAATAAATTATTAAAATTAATTTTTTGAAGTCTTAAATTTATATATGAATTGCATATAAAAGATATATATTTAAATAATTATAAAAATCTTATAAAAATAAATATTTAAATTTCAACCTTCTAGAAAGAGGCCACAAATAATAGTATAATCACAAAGTTTCATTTATTCATTAAAAATATATAAATTTTAGCATTAAAATATCCTATCCTTTAAGTATAAATTTTTTACATTCGAGATACTAAATGTAAATCAATTGTATAATATGCTGTGTAAAATATTGTGCGAAAAACCTTAGAAAATTATACTAGTATTATTAAATTAACATTTTTAATTAAACGAAGTTAAACAAAAGATAAAGTTAAGATGATATATAAATAATTATATGTCTCTGGAAAATTCTGGCACCTTTTTGTACATTGAAAGATTTAAAGGAACGTTTGAAGAGTCTTGCTGTTAAGCGCGCTTCGTTAAACGTTCAAAGCGTTTTAAGTGTTTCGTTTCACTATCAGTCGTGTGGATAAGTAAGAGGAAGACAGGAGAGGGAATGGACGATGGAAGGCAGTGGTCACTATCGGGTCATTCTTAGTAGCAGTCGCAGGTGACTCCTTCGTTCTCCGGTTTCTTTTTAACGTCTGACAAGTGTCAAATTTCCGAGCGACGATTTTTCGATAGAGTGATTTTTTTTCATCGCAGAGATTATCGAAATATCGAAGACATTTTTTCGTGCGTTTATATTCATTATTATTGTTGTATACGATGATGGATATTGCTTTTTACCTGATGGCTCGTGATGTTTTAAGTGGTCCCTACATTGCGCAAAAAAGATGTTATTATAAAAAAATATATATGTGTATAATATCGCGTTATAAATTATATTTATAAATATTATTTATAATCTATATATTTATAAATATTATTTATAAATATCGCGTTTATTTTGAAATCGAAAGAAACAGGTGGATGTATTTATTATGGGATGTAGGATTATATTATGAGATTCATTAAGTCGAAAAATTTGTTGAAAAAAATATAATTGCATTTTATTAATCGTCCAGATGCGTATCATTATTTTTAAAATAATGTCTACGCAATTTTTAAAATAAATTCTTTGTAAATCTTTTTTTTCTTTGTCCACGTGATATTGCATCACTATATGTTTGGAGAATATTCAAGTTTGATTTTTCCATGGAATGGAATATATTAAATAATATAATTGGGGCGACATGTGTCGTGTGATTCGTTTGGGAATTAAAAATTGCGTCTCTTTGAAGAAGTTGACTTATTATACCTTTCGATTTATCTTCTGTTATCTCTCAGATGATTGCAGTTATTGCTATATACAGTTCCTCGAAGAATAAAACTCGAAAAATACGACACTCAAAATTCTTCAAGCGCGCCGCTTAATCGCAAATTAATTTTTAATTTCTACTTAAGCTGGGGTGTGTTCTTTCGACAAAAATTGTCCGATCGATCAATTGATAAATCCATAAACTTTGCTTGCTACTTTTTCCAAAACGAAATTTTTTAGTCTTTCGACAAAAATTGTCCATTGAGATTAATCGATAAATTATATCGTTTGCTGATTTTTTCGAACTGAATGTTTACTATATCTGCCGCTTGGATTTTGCAATATCAGACATCGCGATGCGTGTGAATCGGCAAATTTATTTTTATCTTATCTGACGATTTCGCGTTTATTCTAACCAGGTAGCCGAGGACTAGACCAGAGTCGAATTCGCGCTCGCGATTGATAATGTCAAAACGAGCACGATAATCGAAGCCGAATTCTCTCTCTCTCGTGTATCTTTTTCCATTTGGATATCGCAGGTGCGCAGGTGTGCCTCTGTCACAGGAATCGCGGAAAATAATGGGGTAAGTAATTTTAAGGTAGTAGATATTAAACTGACTACACTGGCTGTCTATTAGATTTGTTAAACTATATTTATTGACGTTTCGACCATACGGGCTGTGGTCCTTTTCAAAATTACAATAGAAGCATTAATGAGTACAGTGTGTTCAGTCGTGGCAAGATGACACAAGTGAAACGCAGTTAATTTACCATCCGATCTTAAGTTAAGTCTCACCGGAGCGTACTTTTAAATGTCAATAACGATATGCAGTAACTCATTAATGCTTCTATTGTAATTTTGAAAAGGACCACAGCCCGTATGGTCGAAACGTCAATAAATATAGTTTAACAAATCTAATAGACAGCCAGTGTAGTCAGTTTAATATCTACTACCTTAGTATTTCATTCCTGGCGAACGAAATTTAATATTTTATTGTTAAGTAATTTTTCTTTCGAAAATTCTCCGCGATAATTTACAAACCGGAAATCGCATCGAAAAGTCCTCTCGATCTTTCGTCACGAGGACGAATTTTGTCGAACGAACCTGTCAAAAATTTAAAATGTCAGATTGAATTATTTAACTCGCTGAAATCTATATATGTATAATGTTTTCGTGCTCCGAAATTTTATGACACCGGCTCTAAACCGGAAATAATTCATTTTATTATAATAAATTATGTGTGGATTGCGTGTGGCATTTTTATAAAACTTTCCCTCGACTTTCTCTCGCTCCTTATCACTCTTCCAATCAATATTTGTCGATCGATCTGTGTCATTTGCCTTCTTTATTGTCTATTTAAATGTTATACGAACCGCTCCAATATCTAATCTGTGCCTTTATCGTTCGCGAGGCCAAATAGAATGTGGCACGCAGAATAGAACCAGCTTTGTTTAATGCTATCCATATTAAATAAATTTTCAACGTTACTACAAAATAGTCGAAACAAAAAATTAATCTAGCACTAAAAATAATTCATATTAACAAAAATCTGTTTTTAAATTCCCGACCTTTAAATTCAAAACATGATATATAGAAATGAAAAATTTTAAATAATTAAAAATATAAAAATTTACTTTTTCTACATCTTTTTCTCTGTCTCTCTTTCATCTCTTAGCATTTAGAGAGCTCTTTATGAATATAATAAAAACAGAGAAAAATATAAATTACTTTCACCTTTTTTACTCTGCCATCTTTTCTTTCATTTATATAATTTATAATTTATACAAGTAACTATTATTAGGCAGTGATATTATTGTAAATTGCGAATTGACAAAATATCGATTGATAAATAAATAGGATTAGCGACAGTTCTGATTCTCACTGATATTCACAGCGTCAACACAATCGGGGACATTGGGGGTGGCTTGAGTAAGCCGAATCCCCCGAAACCGGAATTTCTCAGACACGACCGGAAATTGCCCGAAAACATGGAGCGTGGATTACACGAACGCGATCGAGTCGGCGTTCAGGACTTTGTCCTGCTGGAGGATTTCCGCAGCGAATCCGCGTTCATCGACAATCTGCGCAAGCGATTCAAGGAGGATCTCATTTACGTGAGTCAAAAGCACAATTAATCCCTTGGAAAAAAACTTTTTAATTCTTTTATTTTATGTATATTTTTATTTTATTATATATTTTATTTTATATCTATTAGATATTTAATTTATGGTATCTCTTTATATGTTTAATTTTTCCGAAACTTTCTAATTTACTTGAAATCTCATATCTGGCTTTGCTTGTCATTAATAGAGTTGAGTACAGAAAAAGTGTATAATAGAACATATATAGTAATTCAAAAAAAGATTCTTATTCTTTTGATCCCGCAGACGTACATCGGCCAGGTGCTGGTATCGGTGAATCCATACAAGAAACTCCCCATTTATACTCCGGAAACTATTCAGTACTATCACAGAAGAAACTTTTTCGAAGCGCCTCCTCATATGTAAGCATTCTCCTAATATATGTATATATATATATATATATATATATATATATATATATATATATATAATGTCCCAGAATGAATTCTTCAAAATCTCTTGGCAAAAATAAATTGTAGAGAAAGATCTAAGATTCCTTATTATAAGTTAAGTCATCATATGTTGGCGTTTTTGCTAAATCACATTCATTATGAGAGTACTTTTTTGCAGTTTTGCTCTCGCAGATACTGCTTATCAATCCCTGGCAAAGGAAAATCGTGATCAGTGCATCTTGATTTCAGGTAGATATTTTTCTTATTTTTAATTTATTTCACATTAATTATTGTTAAACGATTAAAAATTATAGTATTTTCTTCTTCTTTTTCTTTAATTTTATACTGTTTACAAAAATTTAATTTTTGTCCATTTTATACTTATGATTTTTTTATTAACTTTTTATTTTTGAATTTCTTCTCCATATTTATATATTTTTTCTGCGGCGAATTTAAGGCGAATCGGGATCTGGAAAGACGGAGGCGTCCAAGAAAGTCTTGCAATTTATTGCAGCTGCTACGGGGCATAAAAAGCAGGTGGAAGCGGTAAACGATAAATTAATCGGCAGCAACCCCGTGCTGGAGGCTTTTGGTAACGCAAAGACCAATCGCAATGACAATTCATCTCGTTTCGGAAAATATATGGATATTCAGTTCAATTTTCAGGTGAAATTCTTATCGCATAAATTTCTTTTAAAATAATAGAAAGGAATCCAAAAGAATTGAAAACAAGTTTATCCGCAAAAGTGAAAATTGAAGGAATTATTTTTTTCTGGAAAAATATTATTTGAATAGAAAGAAATTACACCAAAAATTATTTATTATTAAAATAATTATAAATATTTTTTATTAATCTACTTTTACACAAGTACTTCAATTTGCTGATAAATATTTCGTGTTGCTGGATTGAATATGACTATGTATTTATATTTTTAGGGAGATCCGGTTGGTGGAAATATTCTAAATTATTTATTGGAGAAGTCTCGCGTGATCCATCAATTTGCAGGCGAGCGTAATTTTCACATCTTTTACCAACTTTTAGCAGGCGCGAATGACGATACGTTGAGGAAACTGTTCTTGAAAAGAAACCTCGACACTTTCTTCTATCTGAGTAGCGGTGTAAGCACATTCGAATTTCATTCTTTATACATTCTATATATTTTTATATATTTTTTTATATTTTACATGTTAAATTGCGATATATCTTGTAAATCGATTTCAGACGAAAGGTACAGTGGATACCATCGACGATGCCAATCAGTACAAGGAAGTCATCCAGGCGATGAAGACTATGGAAATGTCTCAGAAAGAGCAGGATGATCTATTTGCCATAGTTGCGTCGGTGTTGCATATGGGCAATGTGGGTTTCACAGAGGAAGACGGTGTGGCGACAATTTTGAAACCTGCATCCGTCGATGCCATTGCAACGGTAATTATTTCTGAGATCTGCAATTTTTCGTTAAAATAATTTTTTATTTGCAACCTCGAAATATATAAATTAATTTATTATAATATATATACATTAATATTGTTATTATGCAATTACATAATTATTTATATTTTTAATGATATATTTCAATATCATTCCCATGTTATAATTGTTTCGAAATCACTATTTGTAAAGTGTTAATGTCACGATATCATTTCTCGATTTACCTTTGTGAATAATCGATGTGAATAATTATGCAAACGGTTAATGGATTCGGTTGAATAGCTGTTAGGATGCAGTGTGAACGTGTTGGCAAAGGCGTTCACTCATCGTACCATAGACGCACACGGTGACGTAGTGGTTTCACCCTTGAATAGAGAATTAGCCATTTATGCGAGAGACGCACTGGCGAAGGCCGTGTACGACAGATTATTCACCTGGCTCGTGACTAGACTCAACAAGTCGTTACAGCCTCAGACAAATCCACAGCGTAAAATGGTCATGGGTATTTTGGATATTTATGGTTTCGAAATTTTCCAGAAGAACAGGTAATTATCAAACGGCGATTAAATGATTAATGGTTTCATGATTGAAAATAGTATCACAAATAATAATTTTAAAGAAAAATAATTTCTGAATTTCTACATTTTATTTTATATACAATTTTATATTTTTATATATGTTATATACTTATATATACATTACATTTTATATTAATTTTTATATTTTTATATATGTAATATTTTTATATCTCTTTTTATATTCTTATATCTTAAATAATGTGGTATTTATTTGAAGGAAATAAAATGTTTTGAACATTAATTATCTCTAATTATGTAATATTTTTTATTATAAGTGTGCTTGCTATGTCTTATATTTTTAATTAACGATATCTTATTTTTTATTATTTCAGTTTCGAGCAATTTTGCATTAATTTCTGCAACGAAAAATTACAACAATTATTCATCCAGCTGACACTAAAATCAGAACAGGAGGAGTATTTGCGCGAAGGGATTGCTTGGGAGAACATAGAATATTTCAATAATAAAATTATTTGCGATTTAATCGAAGAGAAATATAAAGGTTAAATCTTTTCAAAAATTTTAATATACACATAGTTTGATCAATCCACCAATGTGTGCTTATACGTTGTTGTTAATCGTTACAGGAATAATATCTTTAATGGACGAGGAATGTCTACGTCCTGGAGAACCGACAGATATGAGTTTCTTGGAGAAGTTGAATGTAAATTTAAACAATCATCCTCATTACATCAGTCACCAGAAAGCAGACATACGAACGCAGAAAACTATGGGTCGAGACGTAAGGATCCTTCTCTTACTAATTGCTTATAAATTTTGTAATTATTAGAGATTCAGTCATAAAATAATATTTTAAAATACAGAATAAAAACTAATTCATTATCAATTCAAATTTCAATTATTATATTTGATATTTTAGTTTATTTTATTTATTTAATTTTTTTGTTATTTTATTATTTACTTTATTAATTATTATATGATAATTATTTTACGGGACACTTACATAAAAATGAAGGTAAGTTTGATATTTTAGGAATTCCAATTGGTACATTACGCTGGTGACGTAACATATAATGTACGTGGATTTCTTGAAAAAAATAATGATCTACTATTCCGAGACTTACGTGAAGTTATGTCGAATACGACGAATTCTATCACAAAGGTAGGAATTTGATATCTATAGGTAAAACTTTGTAAAATTTATAAAAGAAAGCATTTGTAAATTAGTTGCCAATTTTGAAAATTAAAAATTGATCTTTGCAAAAATGATTTTTATCTATTTTATAAAAATGTTTTCTTCAGTTTCGAACGTTTCCTGCATCTTTGGCTAGTAATATATATATAATACAATTCTTCAATATATATAATTCAATTCATATATAATACAATTCTTTATTTCTTACAGGCTGTATTTGACGTGAAAGATTTAACTAGTAAGAAACGTCCGGAAACCGCTGTAACTCAATTTAAAAATAGTTTAAATAACTTGGTTGAAATCCTTATGGGCAAAGAGCCATCTTATATTCGCTGCATCAAACCCAACGATTTTAAATTGCCCAGTAAGTAAAACTAAGACGTAAGATAAGTTAAAATAAATTGTCTTTAATTTCTGTACTCAATAATATAAATATATAAAAAATGAAAATAAAAGAAAAGAAGGTTCCACAAGCAGCGAAATCATAAAAAGATCGAAAATTAAGCATCATCATTCGAAACTTATTAAGAACTTGCACTTCCTTAGATCAGTTTAACGAAAAGATCGTGCTGCATCAAGTGAAGTACTTGGGACTGATGGAAAATTTGCGAGTGAGACGCGCCGGTTTCGCATACCGAAGACCGTATGAGCAATTTTTGCAGCGTTACAAATGCCTCTGTTCAGAAACTTGGCCAAATTATCATGGCACAGCCAAGGAAGGTGTGCAGGTCCTTGTATGTACTCTCGGTTATGAGCGCGACGAATACAGGATGGGCAAGTAAGACTGTACCCATTATACTAAATATCGAATATTATTAATATGAAAATTATTATATTGAAATTAAATCGATAGTGATAAATGTATTAAAGCTCATGCCTTTGCGATTATGTTTCAGCACAAAGATATTCATTCGATTTCCTAAAACATTATTTAACACGGAGGACGCGTTCCAATTAAAAAAACACGAAATAGCCGCCATTATTCAGAGCAGATGGAAGGGAATATTAGTGAGAAGAGAATACTTAAAGATGCGAGAAGCGGCAATTATTTTCCAGAAATATATTCGCAGATGGCTCGCCAAACGCGAAGCGAAAAAGCGACGACGAGCGGTTATTATTATTCGCAGGTATTTCTCATTTATTTTCTTCGCTTTCCATCGAATGAAGAATATGATTTATCGTCATTCATTTCATATTTTTCTTCAGTCTTCTATATCTTATATTTCATCATCTTTCCTATACATACATAATTTATATTTTATATTTAATATAATTTGTGTTTTATATTCTCGTATTTTAAAATATTTGTTACGTAAAAAAACTAAATTTGCTGCAGATTTATCGAAGGTTTCATCACCCGAGATGGACCACCTACGGAAATTAATAAGGCATTTATCGAATTAGCGAAATCGCAATGGCTTCTTAGACTCTCGAAAATGCTACCACCAGGCGTCTTAAATAACTATTGGCCACTATGCCCGTATTCATGCCGAGAGGTATGATTCCATATATTATAAAATTAACTATACATTTTATATTATTAACTATATATTATGAAATTGTCTGCAAAATTGAACACACATTTTATTTTTATAATCATGTAATTAAATTTAATACCATGTGAATACGATATATACATATGTTTTATATACATAATTTATATTTTGTATTTCTTTTGCCCTTTATATAATATCTAATAAATATGCATAATATGGCAGGCATCAGAACATTTGCGCGTGATGTATAAGCGATGGAAAGCGCGTTGTTACCGGTTGGCGTTGAGTCAAGAGGATAAGGAGCATTTCGAATTGAAGATTCTCGCGGAGTCTGTGTTCAAGGGTAAAAAGAAATCCTACGCGAGAAGTCTAGGTCCAAGATTCCTAAACGATCGTCTTGGTGCGGAGCACAAAGCACTACGACAGAGCTTTATCAATAATAATCTGCCTTCCGGAGAAAATATGAAGGTAGTAATAAAATATTTCTGTAAACAAATTTTATAATATTTATATATATTTTGTGCAACACTTGCAACTGACCCAAGAAGTTGAAAGTTCAAATTAAAAATTGAAAATCATTTTTCAGTACGCAACTCCCGTCATCAAATACGATCGGCACGGTTATAAGCCGCGGGAGAGAGTGCTGATTTTAACAGAGAACGCAGTGTACATCCTTGACACGCTTAAAACCTTTAAACTTAAACATCGTCTACCTTACAAAGCTATTAAGGAACTAGTCGTCACCGGGGAATCCGATAATTTACTCATCGTTAGGATACCGCCCGAATTGAAAAAGGATAAGGTTTTCGATCTTGAAATTTTATTAAATTTTAATATTTTAAATTAATACACACTGAAATTTCAAATTAATAATAAAATAAAAACGTTTGCATAAATAAATATAAGTAATAAATTTACCTATAACGTAGTAAGAAATTTTTTTGAGATTGAATTTAATATAATTAATAATTTTATTTATATATATATAATTGAAGTAAAATAAACCACATGAATAATACAATTTTAGATTAGAGCAAATAATTTCAAAAAATCAATAAATATAAGAAAATATAATTATATAATACTCTTATGCATTTCTTACATAGGGCGATCTGATCTTGGAAGTTCCACACATAATAGAAGCTTTAACAAAAGCAATTAAAATTACTGGTAATATAAATATTCTCAAAATCGTGAATACTGAATCGTAAGTATTTAAAAAATTTTTAATGTATTAAATTTATTTTTATATCTGAATTTAAGTAATATCTGAATTAGCCAAAGTTTAATTTAGTTAATTAATTTGCTCTGATTTATCCTATTCCTATTAAATTTACAATACTATATTACTACTATGTTAAGCGTGTCCCATAAACTAGTCAGTGGTAAAGAAGGAGTCATCGAAGTTAGAACTGGTACCACTCCAGCAATCACTAAGAATCCACAGAGTGGGCACTTATTGGTGGTAAATATTCAAATCTTAATATTTCATTTCTCTTTTTAGGAATTTGTTATATAAATCGTTATTTTTCAGGTTGCTTCTCTGTAAAAATACCTTGAAAAAAAAATCTTTTTCGAGGACTGAAAGAACCGAGTGCTATGATGCTTACAGTGGCCTTAATACATTGTGATTTAGAGAATATGCGACAAAGTATTTTAGGAAGAATACTAATATATAATACTTTAACTTATATTTCTTAACTTAACCTGGCATTTGTGTACTTTTTATTGCAAAAAAACGATAAAATGACAATAATGCAGTTACTTCCGATATAGATTATATCGAAATTATTTCAAAAGTACAAAGGACATGGTGCTGTAAAGTGTCCTATATAATATTTCCTTGTAAATCAGATAATTATTATTAATATTTATTCTGATAGAAAAGGTATTGAATTGAATTCGTTGAGTTTATATGTCAATAATTTATAAGCATTATTTAAATATAAGTTAATGCGAACATAATAAATAAAAAAAGGAATTTCTGTTCTTTTCTCTTTGTTTTGAACGCAATTTAAATAATCTCAAATGTATAATACTAATTCATTAATATATATAATTTATTAATACATACATAATACAACAGTCATCAATATATCATTTTTTTTGCGAGCTGGAGGCACCTTTCTTTGCAAGGGTTTTTTTCCCATTCATAGCTGCCTCTCGCAATTCGTCTTCTATAGTTTTGTTCACTGTTTTTGAAATCATTTTCTTTAATTTTTGCGTCTCCTGCAATTTTGTTTTCTTTGGCTGTACTGGAGCATCTTTTAAAAAATTAAAAACACTATAGTACATTATTATAATTTCAGTATTAGTATATAATTAATTTCAACACTGTAATATTTGTAATTTGTGTGATTCTCGAGAAGTTTGTCTTCTCTTATTATATTACTTACTTCCACGTCTTTGAATGGCAGGACCTTTTTTAATCTTTTTTGTCTTTGTCTTTACCGATGCTGGCACTTTTGTTTTAACTTTCAGCTTTCCTTGTGCCATTTCTTATGTAATTATTACTTTATTATATACAAATTCAAGTGCATAGATTCAATCAATATTACTTATTAGCTGCAAAAAAGACATAAGATTATAAGTAAAGAGTCAATCTTTAAAATATATATATTATTATACATGAAAATAAGAAATATATAAATATTATATCGCATAAATACAAAAGAATGTACATGAATAAATTATATATTTATCATAATTTACATGAATATAAATAATTTTCAGTTGTATATGTTAACAATTATAAAAACTATTTTGATTCTATAATTATAGAAGATACTATATTTTTCTATTATAATATAATTTGTATCATATTTATATTTAATAAGCTTGTATAGGTTATGTCCTGTTGAATGCAACGTTTTTCATTTCATTCGAACCATAAAATAAAAATGACATAACTCTAATATCTTTAACATTATAATTGCAATATCATGCGTAATCACATATCATAATTTACAGTTTTTAACACGAATTGTGTAATTTGCGTAATTTCTCTCTTTCAAATTTTATCGTGCGAAAATCTGTCAATGTTTCAAGCCTGTAATTTCTGCATGTTAAATTTACTTTTTATATAAGCACCTTTCTTTTACTCGAAAAATATTTTTTTTTTTTTTTTTAAAGCTTTTTTCTACATGCATACGATGCGTATGCAAGCACAAACATAAACACATGTGACCACGTGACACTCGAAGCATATTAGACTATTAGACTATTAGACATTTCGTAGTCAGGGTATTAAAATCAACCGAAGTCACCGACAAACAAGACTCGGGGGTATTGCATTCTTTTATCTTCTTTTCAAAATACACGTTTATAATGACATTAAAAACCTATTTTTTAAACACGCTGCACAGTGATGAGCTGTCAAAATTATTGTGGTTCTAAACGAAACGATGTATACAAAGTTTCACGAATTTTTTCGGAGTTCTATGAATTAATTGTATATATTATTATTTAACCTTATACAAATTTGATAGATTCCACAGATTATATATATTCTTTTTTTTTTCGTTTGAAATATAAATTTTTAAAAATTATAGTTGACGATCATTCGAGTTGCAAGTTTTGATCGAAAGGTTATATATCGATAAGTGTTGGAAATTTACAGTTCGTGCAAATTATTCGATCGTTCATATAATTCCTAATTCATTGTTTTATAATTACTGTGTATCCTTTATATAAAATGCAGAATATAATCACTCGATATATAAAACAAAATCTAATTTGTCCAAGATATGTGCTGCAGTGCTTTTTTAGAAGTAAATTATTTTCGACCATTTAGATGTAAAAAAATGATGTGAACTTTGTACCTTTGATATCTGATCGTGTTGATATCTATTTTGCGAATCATCGTACGAATCGTCTCTTTCAGATCCAAGTCCAGAATCGAAGATAGAAGATACTTTAGACTCGAAAAAATGTCACTTTCCAAGCCCAGCAATATTATTTATAGTTTGGTTGGCGCATATTTCCAGCGACTCTACACCAGTCCCTTGAAAACGAAAGCTCTAACTAGGTAAAACCAATGCAAAATTTCGTTATACATACAAAATTATCATATATATGATTAACATCTATATCATTTTAATTAGCAACTGTAATTAACAATGTTTAATTATATATTTCTGATGGATATCTAATCATATATAAGTATATTACAAATGAGGCTTTAGAGGCTTACGCTTGATTTAATTTATATTATTAAATTGGACAATTAAAATGTAAAATGTAACAATTATTTTCAGTTGTATCATTGCAGCCCTTGGGAATATAGCATCTCAGAAATTGACCGGTGCTAGACAGCTTAATGAAGACAGTGTCCTTGCCTTCGCTTTGTTTGGGTAGACTATAGATTGTTGTTTACACTCCTAACGAAGCAGATTTTCAAGAATTCAAAAGTGTATTTTCATGCACAAATATTCTTGTAGCCTATTCTTTGGAGGACCAGTGCCTCATTATTTTTACACATTTGTGCCACTACTCACGAGACATCCTCTGGGAATATTATTGATAGAGAGACTCCTTTATACACCATGTTTCCAGGCACTTGCACTTTATATGCTTGCCATCTTCGAGGTATAGAATCTAATCAATAGAATCTAATCATAAACTAACAGTTGTTTTTACAAATTATTACATTTTATATTGTTTTAAATAATATGAACAATTTAAAACTTGTAATTAAGTAATATAGTAATTTAAATTTAAGTAATAAACATAAGTAAATAGTTATTGAGCAATATTTAAGTTAAAAAACCATTAATTTGCGTTTTCATGCTAAATAATGATTTATTTGCAGGGTAAATCTCATCGGATGGCAACCATTCAGATGCAAAAATTATATTTACCAATGTTAACAGCTAATTTAAAATACTTGACGCTGTTCCAATTTATCAACATAAAATATGTTCCACCAATGGTAATTATATATTATTCATATAATATTCTGTCAGAATAATTTTTTTATATTCCTTTAATTTTAGATTAATTTTTTTACTTAAACTTAAATAATTTTTTTTAATTAGCAATTTCTTTTCTATTTATAGAAATTTGTGAATTATTTTTTCCTTATATATATATATATATATATATATATATATATATAACAATTTTTCCCTTATAAATAATATTATTTGTACTTATATTATTGAAAATCTTTTTTCTACTGCTTATTTACTATTTATATTAATTTTTTATACCAGAAATTTTATAAAATTTATGTTAAAACACTGACCAAAAATATAAGGAATTATTAATTTTATTTTATTTCTAGTTGAGGGTCTTAATGGTGAATCTTGTCGGTTTTGTATGGGTTATTTATCTTGCAAATAAGAGAGCGAAAGCTTCAAAAGAAAAGTAGAAAAATACAATTTACTGCAATTGCATTGTTATAGATATTTATAGTAACTATGGTGTACAAATATGGTGATGTGCCTTTTTTATATGTACCAGGTAACGTTTATAATGACTTTTATCAATCAGAGCTAAAGTATTTTAAACAAATAATGTATGCTAACAATACTCATTATTTGTACAAAACGAACAATACATTCCATTGTTATAATTTGTTAATGTTTGTCTAAGAAATGTACAGAATATATTGATCTATCATGTACATTGAAATTGTGTTACACATAATATATATATATATAATTAATATATATTTTTCTGCAATTATATAGACGTTTTGATAGATATTAGATATATATGTATACAAATACGAATATAAAGATTTACATGCCAACTGTTTTTATTATTTATAGAAATTATTTATATTACATATTTTTTCTAAATTATTCATTTAGTCAATTACAATTATTATTTCTTTTTTAAGAACTGGAATTTTATATTTCGTTAATTAAACTTAATGAATGTCGACATTTATTCAGCACTGTTTGTGTATTTTTTTATTTCATTTATATTGTCAGTCATAATATATCAATTGTATAATCGCATTTTACGATCTTCAATATACTTTTACGAGATGTGGAAGTTTTCAAAAACAAAATATGATATATATGCGTTTAAGATTTTCGATTTAATCACACAACAACAATACAGAGTATATTACAGATATAATATCCGAATTTCTTTCATTTTAACGAGACAGTAACATTCGATGGCTGTAAATCATAAGCGGATACAGACACCGGATTCACAAAAGCCACGTTGAATTCCTCCCAACACGATGATTAACTTGTAAAGAGATCAGAGTTCTCTGCTCTTAATATAATTTGAGTTTTGAAAGTAATTTTCTTGCACACCAATTTTCGATACATCCGCAAGTGGTACAGAATTTATCATTTTTAGAAATATTTATAAATAATATCGCAGAATACGACAAATGTCTTCGAATTTAATTTTTATATCCAACTTCACAGTATATTTAGAAATGAACGAGGAAGGAGCGATCTTACACAATCGTCGTACTGAAAAAACTATATTCGAATGCGAAGAACACTACGCTATAATATGGAGTTCAACAGTTGATTGAATAATTATATTAAGTCATTAGGCATATAAAATGTTGATTTTACAAGGACAATTTTTATCAATAATTTAAAAAACAAAATATATATCTAATCGAAAACATGAAATAATTATTTGCGTTCCTATATAATATATATATGAAACTATTTATTGATATAATATGAAACTATTTTCATACAATGTGTGAGAAAAAACTTGGAGAAAATATTAAAAATTGAAAATATATTTTTATAGAATCGCACATACTTTCAACATTTCATATGTTATAATATGACCTAATATCAGTAATCGGAGGGATTTCTTCGTTAAAAAGGAATCAGTCGTTTACAAGTGTGAGAACTAGCGCTACATAGTTTTTTCTATCTAATTAAACGCGATTTAGACTTTCCAAGAGTATGGAGATCTTTCTTTAACCCTATACATACATATATCTTCAAGACTTAACTTTGCGTAACCGCACGTTGAGACTAGAGAAGTTCTAATTATGTCTTTTTGGTACGCTGCTGCCCGGCCTAATTACAGGCTCCAGAGACAACATCTTCCTATAGACTAGAATATTTTCTTCAAGTTGCGAATATCGCGTGTAAAAGAAGACTGCAGTATTACATACCACGGTCGCTAAAACTAAGAGATTTGCTCTATTAAAATAAATAAATAAATAAATAAATAAATAAATAAATAAATTATGTATATTGTACATATTATTGAGCTAGGATATATAAATCCTTTGCGTGTTTAAAATTGTTCTTTGCTCTATAGGGTCAGGAGGCCGACAAATTCGCATAATATTTATTAATAAATTATTTTTAGAATCACTTAGAGAGTATTTTCTATAATTCTTATGTGTATATACAATATATAAACTAATTATAAATCTGCGGATAAAAAATATAAAAATGAAGTGAAATAAAATATGCAAAAACAGTGAAAGAATGAATCAAATGACTCATAAATATTCAATATGATCTATAAATATCACGCAAAGGACTTTGATTGTTTCAGAATTTTCTGAAAGAATTTGTCTATGTACAAAAGAACAAATTATAACATTGCACTAAAAAATTATGAATACACAAAAATTAAAGGCCTCTTTATAGATTGTCTATAATTCGCAATAAAATTCAAGACAGAATTTTCTATTTATAATTTTAAGATTTTTTAAACATGTATATATTTATGATATATATATTTCATGATATTTTAATGTATATATATATATATATATATATATTTGATGTGTTCAAAAGTTTTCTTCATTACATGACATATAAAATTTATAAACAGAATTCTATCATGAATTTTAGATCAGGAATTATAGATTGTCTAAAGAGATCTTAGTCCGTGAGATTCGTTGACGAGTATAAGACTTTGTGTTTAGTGTCAATTGCAAAAAAAAAAAAAAAAAAAAAAAAAAAAAAAAAATTGCATAAATAAATACTTGAATGATCGCTAAACTATATATCAAAATATTACACAACGTGACTAGCAAATAGAAGACGCTCAACCTAGATCTTTCTCTACTATTATTCACATTTACGTAAAAGTGAGCGAATTGTAATTACTGATAATTTGGAAGCGAGTCATCAAACATTCCGAATAGAATTTTACATTTTTAAAGATTGAGAGGCAAATACTTCATTTTATAGAGAGAGAAAGAAAGTTTTCGTATTTTGTTATTAAAATATTCTCTGATTTTGCATGTTTGTTTCAAATTTTTGCTTTCAAATAAAAAAATCTCTTCTAGAGAAAATTGTTAGATTAGATAAAGTTGCTGCACCATTTCAATACGAATTTGTTCGAGTAGAGAGGAAAATATAGAGTATAATACATTAAAATTTACATTGATATTCAATTTCCTTCGCGATAATTTGCTAATACTAACGATGATCACGAAGATTACGCGTTCCGAAATAAATTGATGTGACAAATAATATCTTAATAAATTAAGAGATCGATTAAATGGATGATGTCAATGTGACGTCTCCATCGAATGTACCGAAATTTGCAATTTTCTTTTTTTTTATGACTAGAAAATCTCGAATGATACTTTGTGTTGTAAGAAAAAATGAAATGCATACGTGGATTCATACTTATGCACTATGCTCGGAATGACGTTTTCATTCAAAAATTAATTCCTCTCTATTAAAAACGTACGAAATTAAAAAATGCATTAAATAAAACGCCATTTGAATAATACTTGAGAGAAAATGAACGAATGATCAACAGCTGCCTTTACACAATTCTAAATAATTCGGATTACAATTCGTTACCCTAAATTCATATAAAATTAATATAAACTTTCTTGCAAACATAAAAATATCTGAAAGTCGACTTGGCCCTTCAGACAAAGTTTTTCATAGATTATATTTTCAGATAAATATCTGAAAATTTTATGGTTTGACATTTTCGTTAAAACTCGACTTTCAGAATGTCGCAAAAAATAATTCTATATGCCTGCACATTTCGTGAATCTGTCATTTCAGAAAAAAACTTAACAGATCCTTAACTCTTGTTCAGAATATCTTTCGATTCCTTGAATTTTTGTTCCAAAACTCGACGACTTCCATCAGGTCGGTGAAGAAGAATTACGCCGCTTCCGAGTCTTAGTGTATGAAGAGGAATATTCTCGCTTCCGAGATCCGGGAACATTCTTTTTTACACAACGCATATCTTAACGCGTGTAAGACGAGCTGCGACTCGCGGAACAGCTAGATCGATGACGGGTACTGGAGCAGTTGCTGTGTCTGCTGCTACTCGGCGACGAGGGTGGCGTCGGGGTGGGTCGATGATACGGAATCGGACGTTTCCTCGCGCTAAAACGAAAACATATGTTAGCACATTGCGATATTTTTTCCTCTCTCTCTCTCTCTGTAAAAAGAAAGCTATGTTACTTGAAAACACATATCAATCTTGAAAGAGCAAGAGAAAGATATTATATTTATATTGAGAGAGAGAATCAAGTTAATCACAAATGATAACAATAATAGTTATGAATAAAATTAATTATAATTATATATGAGATATTATTAAATATTTAATAAAATTTGACATTTTTTAAATAATGTAAGTAATTTATAAATAATGATTATCAATTATTAGAAATAACATTTATTAATTATGTCGATTAATATATTAATGGATAATGATAAAAAAGTGTAGAAACAGATAGTAAAATGCACATGCAGCATGAAAAAAATAAGTTAAGCAAGCTATAAAAACGGGGGACGTTCAAAATAAAAATGTAATAACTCACCTGTGTTTGCGAAATGTTTCTCTGAAGAATTTCAGCGAGGGACGAGAAAACCGTAAAAATGTAAATAACTAAGAAATTAAAAATAGAGAAATTATAACAAAGGAAAAAAAGTTTGTCTCTGTTGATAGCTGTTTTATTTTGCGATTGATAATAAAATAAAAGGAAACCTATCTCTCTCCTACTGTGTTGAAAACAATATTTAATTTACAATATTTAAAACATACACTCATGCTATATAATCTACACACAATATTCGTAGATCGAGAGCTACGAGAGTGAATTGATTAAAGAAAGGGAAGGGAAGAGGAATTAGAAAGAGGCAAAAAAATCTTACAAATGAAAAATCCGAGAGAGTACGCGAAATAAAAGATCAACTATAAGCTAAATTATTATATTCTACGAGCGAGATTGCGAATAATTACGACTGCTAATAATTACGGTTGCGATAATATTTGGTCATAGTTTTACATAAAAGTTTCTACGCTTTCACACTAATACATTTGTCAAGTAAATCGGTCACCTTTGATTACATTCATCTTTTATCGGCATATTAGAATTATATTCATCGCGTCGCTTAATACTTTGACCAGGGTCACTTTGATCGTACGAACATTTTTTTATTTACTTCAAATGTCCACACTAATACGCGATTGTGGAAACGGCGGTGAAAAAGTATTAATCAGCTCTTAGTACTCTTGCTCAGCGTTAAAAAAAATCTACTTCTATACCGAGGGAAATATTAATAAATTTTTAATGATATGTTCCTGTGGATTAATTAAATACCCTGACTCAAAGTATTAATCGTTTATATGTATATAAGTCTATATATCAGACTTTTCCTATTGCTATATATATATGTATGTATATATATAAATATATATATATATATATATATATATATATATATATATATGCTGAAGTGCCATAACTCTATCTTCTATGCCTGTCCCTCGATCTGTCCCTGTAGGACACAATAAACACAACATTAGCATATCGAAAGCCGAAACTTGATCGAGACCTCAACACGACCGTTTTGTTAAGAAGTAACTCTTTGTCCTATTATCTTTTTTCCATCAAATTTTTGAATAATTCTTTTAATCGCATTTCTCATTTTTCATGATTGCAATAATATAATATCAATCATTACGAGATAATTGTATAATGATAACTATAACAAAACTTTAATGAAAGAAAATGAAAAACGTAAATTAAAAAAAGTGTACAACTGTGATACAGTGGCAAATATTAAAATCTACGATTACGGTGGTAGCTTCACGATTTCAGTGCACGCGTGTGCGCGCATGTAGAATGCGTGATATATATGTATATATGTACCTGTATATATAAATTATCACGATGAATAGCAGACCTACACGCGATACCTACCTCGTGATGCGCCGTCTGTCGAGGAAGCTGGGTGAACCGTGACGTCGGGGTATAGACGGCGAACGTGATCTGGTGGAGGCGGAACTGCTTGAGCTAGAACGGGATGATCGACTGGAGACGCTGCTCGACGATCTTGACGAGCTGGAGAAGCTTCTGCTTCGACTATGTCTTGAGCTGAAGAAGGAAAATTACATTATTATTCAACAATCTCGTCTATATTAATTTAGATAATTTAATTAATTATTTTTTTAAATGATTTAAAGCTTATCAAATTAATTTATTTATGTTAAAAGTTGCATGAACACAAAACTCAGTTAAAAGTTGAGTTAAGCATAACTTAAAATTTTTTAATTTAATATTTTATTTGTTAATTTTTTTATATAGGAATGTATTTTTCTTTGTAGTTATAATTATAAAAAAATAAAGAATAATAGCATCTTTATTTTTTTTTTCATTTAATAATTCTTATAAGAATGACTATACATCATAGAATGATTATCTCTTATTAAAAATTTAATTATCCAATGTTTAAGATTTTATAAAAAAAAAATAATATGGCAATCAAAGACGAAAAAATGTTTGACTTAGGAAAAAAGTTGATAAATTAAAAAATAACTAAGTTAAAAGTTATTAACTTTTTATACTCGTTACTTTTAACTAATTAACTAGTTATTCCTCAAATTTGCATATAGCTAAGTCTTACCGAACGGAAGAACGCGAACTGCTCCTCGTACGGCTGCGTTTCTCCTTGTCCCTGGATGTTCTCGACGCTGATCGCGAGCGACTCTTAGACTTCTTAGATAGTGAACGGCTGCGTGATCTTTTCTGCGACAGCGATCTGCTTCTGGAGTTCTTCGACAGAGACGAGCGGCTGTGCGATCTTCTCTTTGACAACGATCGATTTCTGCTTCTGGACCGCGAGGCGGATTTCTTGCATCTAGAAGGCGACCTCGACACGCTCGTGCGCTTCGATTCCGTCGAGGATGATCTCGATCGGGATGAGCGTTTCGTTCTGACTTTGGGCGACGATTTCTTCGTCCTGGAGGCCGATCTAGAGGTCGATCGTCGCCGATCTGGCGAGGCTGATTTCTTGCCTCGTGAACGAGACCGCGATTTCTTGTCTCCGAATGGAGATCTGGAAGACCTCGCTTTATTCGCGACGGATGGTGATCTCGTGCACGACCTCGACGCCGATCTGGAATACGATTTGCTCTTCTTCGGCGATCTCGAGCGCTGATTTGACCTAGCTAGCGAAGCACTGGATGGCAATGGCGGCGGCGATTCACTCGGCGAACGTAATTTCATCGTCGCATTATCCTCTCTAGACATGATCGGCGCGGGAGAACGAGAAGACGATTTGCTTTTAGATATTGGCTCTTTCCTTGTCGACGTGATCGGCGTCGAGTCTTTCTTGCCGGAGAAACTTGGCGATCTCGATGATCGACGATTCATCTTGATTTTCACGCCGCTGGGAAGTGGTGCAGACTCGACCTTCTCTCCGCTGGGTTGCTGAGGTAACGGCAATGGCGGTGGCGACTCGCTCGGCGATCTAATTTTGATCGCGGCTTCCTCTCGAGTGAGAGGTAGAGCTGGTGAGGGCGATCTACTGGACACAGGCGATTGAATGTTCGGAAGAGCCTGTTGTACCGGTTCCTCGGATCTATCTCGAATTGGTGCGATGGTTTTCGGCGGTTCATTCGGCAGAGCGATGTCTAATACACTGTCTTCTCGCCTCTCGATCTTGATCTTTACGGGAGTGATCACCTTCTTCTCTAGCGTCTCCCGCGCCTTCGCTGCCAAACCGCTCTGCAATCGTTTTAAAGTATTTAGCTCCATAATTCTCGTCCTCTCCTCGTCTTCTTCTTGCTGCTGCTGTTGCTGCTTGCCAGGTTGCTCGTCGTCCACCAGATCGGTTTCGTCCTCGCTCGACGATCTCAGACTCACCCTAGGTGCAACTGCTATCTGTTGGGTTTTTCTGCTTCGTGATGTGGAACGCGACTTTTTATTGCTTTTTGTTTTCTTCTTCTGATCCTGCCGTTGCTTCCGGTCCTCCAAGATGTCTCTGTAGCGCTCTGGATTCTTTCTTACCGGCGAATAGCTTAAGGTGGATCGCGATCGAGATCGTCGACGTTGCTGTCGCCTCGGTGAACGCGATCTACGTCGAGAATCGGTGTCTCTGCGTCTCGAGGGTGACGCGGGTCTCCTACGGGAAGATCCTCCATAACGATCGTACCTGGAGCGACTCCTGCTCCTGGACACGGAGTATCTACTGTGCCTTCTGGGCGATCTCGAGTATCCCCATCTTCGTTTGGGAGATGGACTAGCACGACGCGATCTCGAATATCTCCTAGGAGACCTTCCACCTCTGTCGCTTCTGTCGCCCCTGCTTCTAGAAGATGACCTGTGTCGCTTGTGTGATAGCGGGGAACTTCTGTTGTGGCCGACTGGCGACTTATCTCGCTTCTCCGCTGTGCTTTTCTTGGTCGGGGAGTCTTTCTTTGACTTAGTGGTTGATGGTGGCAACGGCGGGGTGTCGTTTCGAGATATTGTTCGATCTGCACGTTTCGGCGATCGGGCTGATCGAGAAGGAGGCTCCCGCGAGGAAGTCGCGACATTTTCGGAAATTTCGTTTCTGGATGTCTTGTCAACCGCAGTGCCTTTCTCATGCTTCAACGATTTCTTCGGTCTTTCCACAGAACTGTAATTAAGAAATCGGATTAGAAATTAGATAAACAATGATTCAAGTAAATAAGTGAACTATTATGAAAGTATATAGTTATTTTTAAAATAAAAATCACAGTAATATGTATGTATAAAAATTAAAAAGGAAGGGAGTAATTGACGTACCTATCTGTGGAGCTTTCGGATGATTGACGTTTCCGTTTAGTCGAACTCTTCTTTTTCTATAAGAAAATTCAATCAAATGGATCAATATTGTTTATTGTTTTTGATCGGTGAACATCGATCATGCATTCGTCAAGAAAACAATTTTAAAAAATACAACAAAAGAGGGATGTATTTAAAGAACTTTTCCGGAGTCTGCTCCTTTCGGGATTTCTAATTAGCAGTTATCATCGATAGTGTTTTAGATTATAGATAATAGAAAATAAGAAGCAAAGTAGCTTATTTGTTATAATATATACACTTTGGTGTACACCTGGAAAAAGACAACTCAAAAAATAAATTGTTTTAAATATTTGGATAGAATAAAATGTAAAAGAAACAGAGAAAGAGAGAGAGAAAGAGAAAAGACAGTAAATATATTATTAATTTAATATAATAATATATATATTGTTACCATTATATCACAATCTATTATATGACTTTTGCAAATTAAATTCATATAATTATATTATAATGTATTTTAATTATTATATTATTTTTGGAAGATTACTCTTATTTTAGTATTAAAAATGACATATATACATAAAATAAATTAATACAAGTTGATGCAATTCGAGAGAAGCGATAATCTTGAGTTGCGACGCTTTTCCAGGGCATGCAACAAATTTAAGGAATATTTTAGAATACAAAATTCGATTTTTCCTATTTTTCTATTCTTTTTTCTTCTTTTGTTTTTGTAATTGTGATAATCTTCTTTCAGGAATATATTCCACAATCCCTCGTTAAAGAATAAGCAGTCTCCGAGATTGATCTTCCGTAATTGATGTGTAATATATAGTGCTCGACATACAACGAGTGAGAGAGAAATAGAAAGGCTCTTATTCAAACACGACAATAAAATTCGGTAAAAACTCGAAAAAGAGTACACGAGTACATATGAACCCACAAAATTAGAAATTACATTGAATAGCGGCATATCTGGTACTCACTCAGGGAATGTCTCCTGTCAAATGGCGCTGAATAATTACAAACAATACTGAGATTTATACTTTGAAATAATGAACTGTCGAAAAAAAAACTGGAAAAATTAGGTGAAAAATCGTATTTACGTAAAAACGACGAAGCAAACCGGAGAGAGATGATCATGCTACTGTTTCCGAGGGGATTGGCAAACTCAAGAGATATCGGATGACAATAATAATAATAATAATAATGATGATTACTTAACACGTCGAATTAACGAAAATTCCGAAGAAACGAACATAAATTAGAGAGACGTTGTCATGCACCTACTCTTTCACGTGCCGAAGTATATATAAATATATGTCTAAAGAGAGATAGAGAGAGAAAAAGAGAGAGAAGAGACGAAAAGATAATAATTACGTTTAGCTTTTTTAGAAGCATTATGCGTACCTCATGTTTGTCCTTTCCCTCAACTTTGAGCTTTTTCTTCCTCTTCTTCTTCCTCTTCTTTGATTCAGCCTCAGATGAGCTACACACACACATATATTTACATATATACATTATATTATTTGCTTCAATTATCACTCTCATGTATTTTTATAATTAATTTTTATTAAGTTATGTATGCCTTAAATTAAGCCACTCGACATTTTTTCTTTTTTATAATAACAATAATTTATAATAATTTTATAATAATAAGTAAAATTAATAACATTGAGTTATTAATAATATTACATCGAGAATGATGTTCGGTAGAGGATGAAAAGTATTCCAATTAACATGAGAAATGATATATTGTACTTTCGCGAATTCAATTAAGTCTATTGTCAATTCTCTTACTTGCTATCGTCAGAATTCTCGCTGGAATCTGAAGACGTAACTTCGGTCTTCTTGTGTTTCTTCTCTTTCTTTTTCTTCTTCTCTTTCTTCTTGCCGGACTTGGGGGCCGGACTTTCGGACCTATCAAAGTGGAGATTAAACAATCGTTAAAAGAGTCTCGTGGCGATTAGGATTTTTTTTATCAAATGATATTTAGTCTTATATAGATCTTGCAGTGGGCGTCTTCCTGTCGACAAGTGTGCATACCTTTGTGCTGACAATATATAAAGAAAGCTCTGTAGTACACAACGTGTATGTGAAAACCGATGTTCCGTTCTATCGATATATCAACGTATACGTTATTTATTCGCAAGTTCTACCCACTTTAAAAAAAAAATACAATTTCTCGCGATAAATTTAAAAATACATTTGCCATTCACCGGAGAGAACAAAGGTTCAATTTTCTTTTTTTCAACTCGATTTTAAAATAAAAAAATAAAATTTATTTATAAAGAATGTTTCCAAGATATATAAGCGAACTTGAGAGAGAAATATCTCGCGCATATCTCGAAATAAAAAAGAAGTTTACAATAGATGTAGAATTTGTGCGATATAAACTCCTCTTAAGTTCGAGTATTTTGGAAATATTCTTTGAATTAATTTCGAAAGTGATAATAACGAGAGAAATGTAATATACATATAGCGATGCGTGAAATATATTGACAATATTGCATAATATTGTATAATAATCGCGGCTATATAGCTAACAAACCGACTACGATCGTTTTGAAAGATTTGGTTTTGTCACTCGCGGAAGAGTTTTCGAAATTTCAGATTGGAATTGCGAAAAAAACCACATCTTTCAACAAAGATTTCAACGGAAGACAAGTATACGAATAATATATATATATATATAATACATAATATGAGGATTATTGATATAAATATGGGATTAGCATTACCTTGATAACCATCGATAGGGACGGACTTGTCAGAAAAAAATAGAGAGATGACATTAACAACAAGCTTCATCGATAAACAACAACAGAGAGATAGAAATGTATGATTTTCATTTTATCTTTTTTTTGTGCGCAATTTTCTCTACTCTTTAATTTTCTTGACTTGATTTTGCGTTTACTCTGCAAGTATCAGCGTTTTTTATTACAATACTTTGCAATCCCTGACAAATGTTTGCCTCTGATATTTGTAAAATTTAGAAAATGTATAATACAATATATATTTTAACATATTTTAATATAGCATATTAAATCATAAAATATAATCATCATCAAATTATTTTTTAATTTGGTAGTAATTGTACATAATCAGAGTCATAACCAAGCAAAAAATATATTGAAAATTAAACTTAAAAATTAAATTCTTCACTGTACAACATTTTGGGTTATAAAGAAAATATTTTTTCTTAAAAATTTTCGGATTTATAAAATTTATATTATCTCGTGATATATTATAAAATTTATAATATATATTATATTATAACATTGAACATTTTGCCAATTATAATTGTCAACGTCTTCAGGGTTCTTTAAATTTAACATAATATTCCACAACTCTTTTATTATATACATATTTCTATAAAAATTATTTACATGTTTTAAAATATGAACAAAATTATATTTTTAACGTAGTTTTAATGAGGAGCAATTTAGATATGATTCTTAGTTATACAACTCTGATTTATAATAAAAAGGACGAAACAATAGCAAACATTTGTTGAGGGATATCTAATCGCGAGAAAATCCCCAAAGAAAATCCTATCGATATCGCGCCTTAATCGCGTTCTTTTTCGACGTTAAACTTTCTTGAAGAGTGTGTTTCTTTTTTTTGTTTTTGCAAATTAATTCGCGACGACCACACTTACCTACTGCGCCTACTGGGTAGGCACTCAGTCCTCCTCAGTTCTGTTTGAAACAGAGAAAGGTGTACGGGATATGAGACAGTAGGTGGTGAGTCATGAGTTTACAGTTTCTGTATTTTCAGAGTATTCCAGCTAACGCGCGTAAAAAAAGAATAAAAAAGAGAAAGAGAGACAGAACGAGTGTTTGCAAAATCTCAATTAACCGATTATAGGAAGAGAGAAAGAAAGATAGAGAGAAAGAGAGAGAGAAAGAGAAAGAGAGGAGACTTTCTACTCGGATTCTGGTCGCTTTCGTATCATTTTTCTTTTCTGGAGAGTTTTCCGGAAACGGGTATATAAATATGAAGGGGTGGTCGAGTGTGCGGTCTTGGAGCCTCGATTCGCATCTCGAAGAACCGGATACTTAAAAAACGAGAGACAGAACGAAAGAAACGGAAAAAGAGAGAGACAGAAAAAGTAGAAAGAAAAAGAAAAGAAGAACAGCGGTCAAAAGGTCACACCGAAGAATCGAATCCAGCCTCCATGGAGCCGTACGCGCACCGTTTACGTTTGCTATACCTTTCCCGAGCTTTGTGCTTCTTGGCCTTCTTCTTCTTCGTGCTGGTGCTGCCGGAGCGCTTTCGCTTCTTCTTCTCCGAGGCGGAGGCCGCAGCGGAAGCCGCGTCCGGAGGCAACGGAGGCGGCGGAGGCGGCGGCGGCGGCGGAGCCGGACTTGGCGTGCGCACCAGCTCGTAGACCTTGCTCGCGGCGGCGGCGGCGGCTCGGGCCTCCGCCTCGCGCGCGTGCCGCTCCGGGTCTAGGCTACTGCCCTCCACGAAGAACTCGGAGATGCCGAACGCCTCGCGCAGCTTCGCATTCTTCTCCTGCTGCGCCTCGGCGATCTGGTGTGTCTCCCGTACGCTGAAAGATAAGCCTCTGTTAGTCATGTATAATAATGAGAAATTATTAAAATATACAATGGTTTCATTTATTATTTATAATATTGATTGTAAAAATCTAAGGATTCTCTCGGAGAAAAAAATTAGCTAAATTTTAATTGTCCATATATTACAATTGAACTGAATTAATCATACCTAAATTTTAGCTATATAACTAATATTTAGCTAATAGCTAATTGAGAAATAAATCGTCTTAGTTGTTGAGACATCATAATTAAAAATAATATTAATAAATAATTATTTAATTATATTTTTTAAAAATAAGTAACAAAAAGATATCTTTGTATTTTTAACAGGTTCATTTTTTTCAATGATAAAACTAATCTCGGACTTAACAGTTATCATTAAGCAAAGGGTGCTAGGAGATAATTTTGTTTTCGTCAGTATTCGATATTATTTTTATAAAAAAAATCAATTTTTTTTTAGAAATAAATTGTTTTAGTCATCGATGTAACTTTTATAATTAAAAATGCAGAAGAAAATATCTAAGAAAAACAAATTTTTACAACATAATTGTTATCAATTCAGAAGCGAGAGAATATTTGATATAATTCTCTCTCAAAAATCTCTATCAAATTTTTACAAAAGAGCATTAAAAGATTAATTGCTTCGATAATCAATTTTATATTTTTACATAATAAAATTCTTGTGGAAATTATTTGTCTTGCACATTTTTGCTCTCGTCGAACACGTGAATCTCATTTAACTTTTTAACGTTATTTCACAGCTGATTATGTCACGGATGACAGATAATTATTATCAAATGTCAGATACGAAAATTTAATAGCGCAATAAATAATAAAATTTTGTATTTCGACGGTCACTTTTACATTTTCAAAATTACAAACTGCGATATATTTTTACAGATAACACACTTATTTTCAAAGATGAGATTTTATGTACAATTGTGAAGAGAATCGTACATTCTCTTCTGTTCACCAATTATCAAATAATCGAGATGGTTTTGGATCACACAGAGAAATGCAAATGCAATGTAATAAATCGAAGAAACCAGTATCTATTTTCCTTTCAGCGAAATATTAAGTCACTGTATTTTTACAGATAAACGTTATCGAGATTCAGGTCGACCTGACGCACTCGCGACTCTGATTCACGGAGGAAGAAAAGAAGAGTAGACGAGATCGAGTACCGAGTCGAGATCTTCACTGTCATTCTCGGGGGAGGATCGCTCCTCGGAGGAGGTGACGAGAGAGACGTTCAACACCCTGTACAGATGGAGAACAACGGGAACGATGAACGAGGTCGTCCTTAAAACGGGCGTCGCGACGCTAATGACATAACACACTACTACAGGGCGGTTAGTAGAATGGCAAGCGGGAATCGCCTTCTCTCTCTCTTTCTCACTCCACTCTACTTTTCCTGCGGAGGTGAAAAGCGCCGAACACCAGGGGGGGTTTAACCGGGAGGGAGAGCAAGAGCCACCCCTGCGCGCCTGCACGCACGCTGCCGGAACACGGCGAATCAATACAATCCAGCTGTTCTCTTTTCTGGCATCCCCTTTGCGCCGTAGAGCGGAATCACTGTCGACCCGGCGCCGAAGTCGACCGGTAAACGAACGGAGAGTACATCAAAGAGGGCTAATGTGTATATAGGGTGTATCTAAGGAAGTGTGAACAATTTTTGATTCTTTATCGAAAATTGAAGGGGTTCCTTATATAAACATATACTCTTATATGTCCCTCCCTGAGGAGTTACTCTTTTCTAAAGAGAAAGGGAAAAATTATAATTTTTTAAAAATATTAATAAGTATACTTTTTATTAGTGGAAAATATCCACCAAGTTCCATTTTTTTAATTTGCCTGAAATTTGAGGAAAATAAATAAAAACTTAATTTTTCGCTTATTTAAGTACATCTCCCCTTCTACCCGTATAGAAAATTATATTTAAATTATGATACATATACATGCAGAGACTTTTCTCGTAGAATTTACCCTTAAAATCATGGTAATCATGGGATAATATTTTTATGAAGATATTGGAAGAATTTGATCAGTTTCTCTGATTAATATTTATCACAATAAAAAATATGAATATATGTATATAGTAAAATTAATCGAATATATTTTATATCTTATTGTGGTAGATATTCATATCTTTTATTGTAGTAAAAAAGAAATATTAATCAAAGAAACTCTTATAAAAATCTTCCAATCCCATATTATTATATTATAAATTTTTCCCCGAAGCAGAATTCTACAATTACTATGATTTTTAGGGTAAATTCTAAAGGAGAATTTTCTCTCTGTGTATGTGTAACTTCAATATATTTCTTTATTATATATATGTATAATATTGTCTTACTTTCGTAATGTAAAATTCTCATAAAATAATATTATCATATACAGGGTGTCCTAGAACTATCGTAAAACCTGCTAATAGCAGATTCTGGGTATCATTTGGAGACGATTTTTTCTCAGCAAAAATGTCAAGGCACTAATAATTTTCGAGTTATAAACAGTTGAAAATAAAGGCTTTTACGGAAACTAAGCCTTATGAAAATAAAATATTAACACAACTACATTCTTCTGTTAATTTCAGGTAGTTTACTTTAATAGAATTTTAATTTAAGGCTTAGTTACACAGATATATGATGAAAAATTGGAAACATGCAAAAATTGATGGTCTTCCTCTCGATATTTTCGCTGAGGAAAAATCGTCTCCAAATGATAGAAATCTACCATTAACAGATTTTAAAAATTAAAAATATATATAATAAATTATTTTGTAAACTCTAGTCTTTACAAAATTAAGATTTAAATTAAGATACCATTAAAGTAAAATTAGTTTTTGATTAAGAGTACGCGTTTATATAAATTTTTCCCCGAAGCAGAATGCAGTATTATTCAGTCTCCTTTTCACTCTGGATTGCAATCGATATTTTCATTGAAAATATTTTTTTAAAATATAATATTCTTCAATAAGAGAAAGTAATATGTAGATAAAAAGCTATTTTTAATGACGTAGGTTGTTATGTCCATCGGTAATTCAATCCTATGACCATACATTAAGATTTTATAACATAAACTATCAAAAGAACCTTATATATCCAAAGAATACATCTCGTTTGCATTTTTAATACAATTAAAAACAAGCAAAAATTTTGTTTGTGTTATTTTTACTGTCTTTTATATATAAATTATTTTATATAAAAATCATATATTATTATACATAAATTTTATATATAAAATTACAACTTTATAGAAAGAAAAAAGAATTAAAATATATCTTTAAATCGCGATAAAAAATCGCGAGAGGACATAAACGGTCATAGGATGAAGTTGAAAGTCGACAAAGGGGATTCACCTGACGACGGAGCGCACGTTGCTTCGCCGTCCGGCGAGCAGGTGCAGCTGAATGCGCTGGCAGCAACAGCAGTGCTGACGTTGCATCTGCAACAATTGCTGCTGGTGCTTCCTCTTTCCGCCGTTGTTGGCCGCCGCGTGATGCAACCTGCGTTTGCGCGATCGTCTCAACTGGACTTTTGCCGATCCAGCAGGAAGTTGCCGCCGCGCCAGAGCGTCTCGAAGAAGGCCCGGCCATCAGCCGGACCGCGTCCGCGCGCGGGTTTCGCCGGTGACACCGTCGCCGACATCGTCATTCCTCGGATAATTTCCTCGTGCGTGAATCCACCCTTCTCCGACTTCTTTGGTGACCAATCTTCTTTTAATCCGTTTCAAGAACCTCTTATTAGATTCTTGTTTTTTCTATTTTCTCGGATTTTCTTAATTTATATATATTATCTACACTGATCCCTGATTCGAGGATCAATTCTAATAATCGAGATGATTATCGTGCTAAATTTATTTGATGTATTCTTAAAGTAAGGAAGATCCGATGGTGCATAATCTTGGTAAGATAATTAGGCTGCTAATTGAAGAGAAGCTCGAGAAGCGTCGGTTGGCCCACGTTGCGCAAATAGCTCAATCCCTTCGCGAGGGAAGTAGAAGGGGATGAAAAGGTGTGAGGGGAGATGATTACGGGTGAAGGTAATAACCCTCTCCCACTCCCAGCTACCGTCGCCGCCTTTTGTATCCCGGCTTTTCTAGCTAGAACAATCATCCGGCGACGATGACAATGACACGTTCCTCTCTTTTTTTACGTCGTTATGTTCCATTTCAATATTCTTCTCATTGTCTCGTATCGATTTTTTACTCATGTTATTAACGTTTGCTTTCTTTGGTCAGAAATAATAGAGATTATTTATATATTATATTATGTATGCGATATATATTATATATTTTATTATTACTCACGTTGTCTGTTAAATCTTCCTCTTCTTATTCTATATGATATTGTGGAAGAATATATATACTAATGTGTATATTTGTATCGGCGAAAAGTTGCTCTATGCATCTTAATAGAGTTCAGGAAGACTTCAGATCCCAGGCACATCATTATCGTCGTGCTTTTCCTCCCTCTCGTTCTGTCAGGACGAAGCAAGACGTTTTTTCTTAGCGATGTACCGTCGACATGTTAAACGTCGACGACTTGGAGACACATGGATTTCGTAGAAAAAATTTTCCGAATTTCTTCTAGGCGGAGAGACACGTGGAGATGTAAGAAAGATTTAATATTCTCCATCCACATCTCTCTTTTTCATTTCTTGACAAAATAAAAATTGTAATTTACAAATGGAAGACTGTATTTTGTATACGTATATTCTTCATAAAATTTATTTCTCGAGTAAATGTCGATAAATTTAAACTTTTGTTTCTCTTTTCTTGATATATTTTCCTTGTGTTTATCTCCTCTTCTGCTCAATTCAGATTATTTCTATTTCATATATATCTCGTTGTAAAAATCTTGTTCCAGGATTACACTTATGTATGCAAATGTTGTAATCTTCCTTCTCAATATAATTTTGTCTAATAAATTTTTCTTACTGAAATTTTCTTTGCAAAAAAACACTTAATATATATTTATATTGTTTCATATTTTCCACATGTATTTGAAATATATAATTTAGGAAGACGTGATGATCGATAGTGTGATGATTGATAGTTCATTCCTCGATGAAATATACGATTCCTTGAAGATTTCTTCTGATTATATACACTGCTTATTCGATTAATAGTCGATATTTGTGCGTTATGATTAATTCGAATAAAACACACGCTTCTTCACAGAGATTTCCTCTCGGTTCGGTTATAACTTCCATTCTATGCAATATCCTCTTCGTGTCGTTGAATGAATGGCGTGAAGGGCCACTTGCTCCCGTGAGACATTAAGAGACTAGACTTAAAATTCATATCTTATCACGAAATATATATATATATATTATATTTATATTCTAACTTGAAACTTAGCTAGAAGAGCTGGAAGAGCGGAATAGCCGCGATTATTAATTAAACGCTAATGGAAGACTTTTGTGATTTGTTCGCAAATCACGTCGCGCGTCACATGTTCCTCCCTGGTGGGGTGTCACCCGGTGTCACCCCCTCCCCCCCCCCCGGATTAATCTGACTCTCGATGCACCACCCGTCGACGACGACACCAGGACGCGTCCGCTGGATGCATCAGTCCATCCTCGCACTGACGAGAAGTTGGAGACCAAAAGCAAGGGATGCTGCGTCCCCTCGCTCTCCTCCCACCCCCTTTTCGTCTTTCTCCACCCCCCGGGTACTCACCCCCGATGCATCTCTCCCTCCTTGGCGCCGGCGCCATGGGGTACGTCGATATCGCGAATACACCCCTATCCCCCGATCTCTCCTGGCGAGGAATGCAATGCGTCCCCGCCCTTTCGCGATATTTCATGTATCGTTTAAAACTCGGAAAATCTTCTCACACTCGTATTATTCGATTTCTCCAATTGGCGACAGTTTAATATTAAAGCAGCAATTTTAATTGGCATATTAATCGAGAGTAGAAAGAAACTCGTGTCAAGGGTATTGGTACAGTAGTTAATCGTTTCTGTAGTAAATCGATTGTATCCTCTCGCAAAAGAAACGCATTTTCCTGTCAAAATATATATATAATAATATATATATATATATATATAAATAATTAAATTTGAAAAGTATTTATCATTCTATATATAATTAATAATTTATTAATTCATTATCCTTTTTTCTCCTGTTTTTTAAGTAATATTATCGATAAAGATAATGATGCATTTTGATAAAATATACTCTATACAAAAAGGTTGAAAAAATTAATTTTTTTGTCATCTATTTTTTTATAATAGTTTTCTTTTATTTTGGAAAATTTTAGTATTTCTTCTTAAATAACACTTTTGTTTAAAATTAAAATATTTAATTTTCAAATGCGTGTCTGTAATCATCAAATCTTTTTAATTTCTGCAGTTTTAAACTTATAATCCCTTGTGAATGTATTATTAATTTTACTTTTAATTTGCATTTAATTACAACTATATGTTATACATAAATGTAACCAAGATTATAATTGATAATTTGTTATAATATAGAAAATCATGTAGCAAAAAAATCAAATTTAAATTGCATCTACAAAAACAACAAGAATGTCTCAAAGATGGTACATATTTTTCAAATACTTCTCCAAGAATTAGTTTCATAAAGTTAATAAATAGATAGCTATATAGATATTATATATAGATGTAGATGTATCGTAAAACATTTTTTCACGATCCGATATTGCGTTTGAGAAAGCTTTGCCTCATCGCAGGATCAAATAAAGCCGCAACGAAAATATGTTTCTACGATCTCAGAAAGCTCAGACATCCTTAATGTAACGTTATATATAATGTTTCATATAGCATCCGCGCCGTCGAGATTATCCTGGATTTGGCTGACAGCCAAGCAAATCAATAAAAGAGAAGAAAATTCTTCCTCTAGAAAATTCTTGCACTTTCATAAAATAATATTTTATTAGCCCATCTTTTTCTCAGTTATAAATTGAACCATTATATTTATTTTTAAATGTTGTATATCGCTTAATTTATCCAAATCTACCTCAAATTCCCTTCTTTTATATATGTTTATATTTATTTCAAACAATTATATATTATATTATACCTATTTTATTTATACAAAATTGTGTTTCACTTTTAATTTACTTTTGATTAATAAATTCCAATTATTATTAACATATTCTGTGCTTCATTATATTACTTTTCGCATAATTTATTTTCATTATAAGCTTGCTAAAATTTTTGAGTTTAAGAGAAAATTAGAAAGAGAAATGGATAATAAATGTACTTACTTAACACGGCCGAATTCATCCTGTGGCATAGATGGTTTGATATCACTCCCCATTAACAATGTTCTATAGGATTCCACCTTGTTGTTTATTTCTTCGCTCGTAAATCTGCAATTTGCATCAAAGATTAGATGAAATTGTATTCATATCTATTCTGCATTCAAATAACTATTAACTATTTTGAGTATAATCTGTTATTAAAATTTAAGTCACATGTTGTGAGACACATATATACATATGCCATATGTACTTCTATTTTTTGCACACATACATATATATTTATATTATATTTATTCTGTACTTTGTAAAAATATGATACTGAATAACTTAAATCTCGATAGAGAGTTATATTATTGTCCTATATAACTACTGTTCTTTCAGACTTAATTAGATTATAAACTGTAATAGGATTTGCTTTGCCTGCCTTTGGCTTCAAAGCACAGTTTAAAGATGTATTTGATTATCAACAATTATCTTTGATAAAGACAAAAATTTTATGTATATTAATGACTACTGATTGTTCCAAAATTTCAGATATTAACATAATCATGTTTAAAAAATGAATTGTTAACATGACACAAAGTGTTAAGGGACTTATTAGATTAAAAATTGGGACAAAACAAAATAAAGAATACAATTTATAAATATTTACCCTTGGTCCTCTAAAATGTCAGCCAGCTCTGCGCATTTGACTTCAACTTTTCTCTTTCTGACATGATCAAGAATTTCTTTATTCGGTTGCTTATTCAACTGGTCGATTTTTGCATCGTCCGTCTTGTAAGTAACTTTATCTTTGTTTTTACGCACAATTGCCCAATTTCTCTGAACATGTCCATTGGTTCCGGAACCACGTGGAGTTTGAAGTCCAATGCCATTGTACATCTTGTGTTAGTTCTGCAAATCAAAGAAAATGCTCCAGTTGAGGTATCGACAAGTCACACTCGCATAAACTCTTTAATAATGTTACATCAAGTTGCACAATTAACATATTTAACACACAATTAACATAATTAAATTATTTAACACTTCAAAAACATTGTTTCACAAAAATATTAGCTCTGGTGCACCTACATGATTCTTCATATCAACTGTAACTCTTGGATTACATTGCTAATAATAATAATAAATAATATAAATTTTAATGTAGATATCCCACGCACAAGTCGAATGTGTACCAAACGATAAAGCGGCAGAATAGGAATCAGACAAATAAAAATAAAAACTTCACTCGGAAATTGTCATTATACATTCATGTATAAAAATAGCGCGAACAATACAATAATTAATTATACAGGAATTATCGTTTCACGAGTCACCTTAAGCTAAATCTCGGAGGAAATCGAGATTGACCTTTAGAGTCAGGTAAGTCAGTCAAGGATTGTTATGCGCATACCACTGTGCTCTCGTCGATCGTGAAAGAAAAGCGACAATCTACCGTGTCGTTCCGTTCCAGTGTCCCGTGTCGATTAAATTATGTCAGCGAATTGGCCGTTCGTGTTGAACGACGTCGTTATCGCGTTATCGAGTCACTCAATAATATATATATATATGTATGTATGTATGTATATATATATACGTGCTTATATATATACATATATATATAAAGAAGCATTTAATAATCTAACGTATATTCACGGAGACCTAGGTTAGAACGGTGGATGCACACGGTAATCAATTATCGATCCGGTAGCGCGGCGCTGCGCAAATCTCGCTCGTTCGAACGCGGCCGCATTGAATATAAAGCGAGAATAGGTTTATTTTTACCTGTCTGGCGCCTCTCGCCGGAGAAGATTCAAGACCTCGTCCCCGCGGGCCGAAAACCCTTGTCGCCGTTCTTCCTCGCCGCACGCGGACGAAACTACTCCGCGGAGTACGAGGCGCGGAAAATAACTCGCGAGAAACCGTGTGCGGCGAGTTTCCGGATCGTTGCGAATTTACGTTCGGTCTTCGCCTCGGCGATTCTCGGCGCTCTTCGGCGCGATGAAATTTCCCTAGGTTTCTCTCCCTCCTAGTTCCCTCCCGGATCGATGGAGAGGAGTGGGAAAGTCGTGTTCTTAGAGGTTGCCCAGCCTCAGTCTGGAGAATCTAGGAATTTTTCGTGCGCCGACCAATCGACGCGGTTTGACAGACGGGCGAGCGAAATGTCAAACGCGCGCGTCATCGCGCATGTGCGAGTCTCGTCCCGCGATCTTCCCACGCCGGCCGCAGCCAATCGGGCGCGTTCGACGAAACTCGGTCGCACCCACACGAGTGAAACGTCACGTCTACGTACAACACATTGACGGCGATTCTCTCGCGAGGTTCGCGACGACGACGACGACGACGTTTGACGTTTCCCATTGACGTTTCCTCATTGACGAGGGCCGATGCCGAGGGGTGCGCGTAACGGGTAGCACGGGGGTGCGGCGGTACATGGTGCGTCTTCTCCGTGGTGTTTTTTTCGGACGTGTTCGTCGCGCCCCTTCCGCCCCCTCCTTCCTCTACTCCTGCGCCGTCGACTCGACGACTCCTCCCCGCACTCCAGTGCGTTGCTCCCTAGAATCAGCAGATAATTCGACGCAACACGATCGAGAAGCGAATCGAGGATGACGGATGTAACGTAGACGACATTCCGAGACCGCGTTGCGTCAACGGTGCGTGATCGCGCGAACCCGACGACCGGGAGTCCGAGTCCCTTTGCAGGGGACGACGACGACATCATTCTATCGATCTCCGATCGCGGGCGATGCATCCTCGCGTTGTTCATGATAAACCATCGACCTCAACACGTCGGTAGAGATCAGACGCGAGAAGAGAGAGATGGAGATCCTCGGCGACTACGAGTATAATCCCAAGGACCTGATCGGCACCGGCGCCTTCGCCGTAGTATTCAGGGGTAGACATCGCAAAGTGAGTGTTCCCCGAGTCCTGGCTCCGATTGTGCACCTTTTCCGTCACGAGTTGATCATCTGGAAATTGTTTTTGTTTAGTGTCAAATGCAAAACCTTTGTTTCGTGAAAGTCCATTGTTCAAATTGTAATTTTTAGAATATAGGATAGATACAGCTTTTTGTTATTTGATAGAACGATATTATAATTTTCTATTTTTGGAACTTTGTTGTTAAATAAATAAGATTCAAAGAATAATTTCCACTACTTTTAATCATTCTTTTGTGAACCTTCAGTGTCTTATTTTCTTGGATAAGATGTAATAATATATTGAACAAAATTATAATTTAGAAATCTGATTAGATTTTGATTTTTTGTATTTAATTAAATTTAATATTTAATATATGTTTGCGATACAAGAATTGTATTTATATCATTGCTTTATATTTTGCAGAAACCAAACTTGGTGGTGGCTATCAAGAGTATCACAAAGAAAACTTTGGCTAAATCACAGGACTTATTGAAGAAGGAAATTAAAATATTAAAGGTATATTTCTTTGTACTTATCTAAGTAATTACAAAAACTCTATAGATAAGAGAGAATTATTAATACATTTTTAAATTATATTATTTATTGTAAATATCTTGTAATATATTTTTTGTTGTAAAAATAAAATTGGAAAGTAAAAATAAAAGATTTGTATAAATAATGCTTTGTCTTACAGGCATTAACTAAACTACACCACGAAAATGTTGTTGCATTGTATGATTGTAAGGTAAGACAAATCAAATTTATAGAACAGTATTTAATATTAATAGCAATGAAAACATTAAAATTAATTTTTTCAATGCAGGAATCTAATCATAATGTCTTCCTGGTTATGGAATATTGTAACGGTGGAGATTTGGGGGATTACTTAAATGGTGAGCTTACTTAAATAATTTAAAAGAATTACAATAAAAAAATATTTGACAAGATAATTAAATGAAATTGCAATTAATATCAATTTGTCATGATGTGAATTATATATATATATATATTGTCATAAAAAATAAAAATAATCGTAAAAATAATTTATACCTTTTCTTGACAGCGAAAGGTACTCTCTCCGAAGATACCATTAGATTGTTTCTCAAGCAATTGGTGCGTGCGATGAAGGTGTTGCATGCCAAAGGGATAGTCCACAGGGATCTCAAGCCACAAAATATTCTGTTGAATCATAACTGTGGGAAAGCTTGTCCACAACCACACGAAATAACATTAAAAATAGGTAAGAATGGTTTTATTTTAATTTTGAATGTTATCATAATGTTGTCAGGTTTCCATTGTTTTTCTTTTGTAAATTCTTCTAAAATTAATATATATATGTCGATTTTTGGAAGGTATATCAGAAACATGTTTCGTTCTGCATTTCAGCGGATTTCGGTTTCGCTAGGTTCTTGCAAGAAGGTGTAATGGCTGCGACCTTATGCGGATCGCCGATGTACATGGCACCTGAGGTTATCATGTCTCTCCAGTATGATGCTAAGGCGGATCTGTGGTCCATCGGAACCATATTGTATCAATGTCTCACCGGGAAAGCACCGCACCCCGCAAATAATCCTCACGCACTCAAGTCAATCTATGAGAATACGGTCAATCTTGTTCCTAGGTATGATATTTAACAAAGACTTCTCATTCTTTCATATTGTTGATAATTATATTTAATTTTCATTCCTCAGAGATCGAAAAAGATTTGAATTATAGATATTATAGAAATCCTGTATAAAACAATCCTTTTATTTTTTTATATATATTTTTCACTTTATTATCATTTTTATGTTTGACTTTCTCCTTTTGTTGAATTTCTTTTGTTCTATTTCAATCTTTTTTTATTGTACTAAAAAAAGAATTATGATATAGAAAGTATTATAAGAATATATACCTTTTTTCAGTATACCACCTGGAACGTCGCTCGAACTGACGAATCTCTTGATGGGCTTGTTGAGGCGTGAAGCGAGCGATCGCATGGATTTCGATCATTTCTTCGGTCATGCGTTTTTGACGGGTGCGCGAGACAGTCCTAGTCCGAGTCCAGTGCCCACCGAACTACCTGCGTCTCCGGGTACAATGGCGATTCCGATCGAGGAAGGAACGCCAATTGTCAATAGGTCAGAACCCGAGGCAACGGAAACTCCGTGTTCTAGTCCCGAGGACGATTTTGTTCTTGTACCGAGTGATATCAGCAGTGATACCGATAATAATCCACCAGTGAAGTAAGTAAAAATAAAATAAAATTAGATTCTTATATATATATATATATATATAGCAAGTTTTGATAATTACTAACAAAATTTTTTTTTTTTTAATCTGCAGAAATTAGTTTTCAATCTCCAAATTTGCATATTTTAATATATAGTTAGTTTTATAGTTTTTCATTTGGAAAACATTTTATCAAATTGCCTATTCTTATTATTTTTCAGATATACCAAACAAGTGAGCAGAGAAGCTATCAGCCCACCTCGACCCTGCTTATCGAAATTGGGCGAGTACGTGACATTTCATTATACTTTTTTATATATATTTAACGTAAAAGTATATATAATTACATACTTACAGTTGTATTATGCCAAAATTAACTTTTATTAGAATTTATACTATAGAATTCATAATATACTTTTGTTGTATAAGAAGTTACATGCAGGCTTATAGATATCAACTTAACACTTTACTTACATTTTTCATATAATTAATATATTTCTACGATATCTATCCAGATATACTAGACAAACGAGCAGAGAAGCCATCAGCCCACCCCGGCCATGCTATCTGCCAATCTCTGAACCGATTCCCGTTCCATGTCAGCGAAATACAGCAGCTCAGCAACCTCCACAGTCCCCTTCGACGAATGCCGCCCATACCGGCGGCGGCAGTAGCGTTCCTCGTTCTCAACCCATCAGCATGAAACGCAGTGTAGACTCCCACAGGAATCATCCGCCAGACATCGGTTCCCTCAGTCCGCCTAGCGTGCAGTTCGTCATTGGTACTCCACCTGGCAGAAGGTACAGACATTTCCTTGCAGACAAATAATATAATAAATAAGTGTTCAAATTAAGCTAATTTGTCAATTTTTAGATTGAGCGAAACTCCGCCACCACCCAACACGTGGCAAGTGAGTCCTGTAGCTAGACATACGCATACGCCAAGCGGGACCTCGCCCTTGCGACGTTCCACGGGAAACAACAGCGCGTCCTCGCCGCTGCTCACGGGTCCGTTGGCTGTGTTCGGTTCACCTACCTCGCGAGCTTTTCAAGATAACAACAACACTCTCAGGCATTCGCCTGTTATACCCTTTGGCACCAGAGCTGTCACTCTTCCCGAGATATCTGGTAATACTTTTAGTCAAAATTCTTGTATTGTTATTCACAATAATTGGAGTAATATTTTAAGATTTGTGGAATCTTTGTCTTTCAATAATAGTTATCGATTAACAAATAATTTCAATATCGCTCGAACTAACGTTTCATGTTTCTCAACAATCAGGATATCATATAAAAGAGTTATATAGATAGAAAAGGACCCTGCACCAAATATATAGGAAGCTAAATGATAAACAGTTATTAATTTACAGCTAATCATATATAAAAAACTGAGCTCTACGAGTTTGACTATTACTCAGCAACTATATTTAGCTTTGAGGCTATTACATTTTTGTTCAGCAAGTCATAAGCTACAATATATGAAAAAAATACACAAACCGAAAGTCAAAATGCTATGTATTAGGTGTGGGATCCTTTATTACATGTTGCCTACTAATAAACTGTTTTGTATAAATACTATTCTCTCTTTTTTCGTTCGTAGAAGCCGGCAGTTTTCAAAGCCTCTTTCCGGATATGCCGCCAACGACGATCGATGATCGTCCGTTGACCTTTATCGCACCGGAGCTGCCGGAGGAGACACTGATGGAACGTGAGCACAACGAAGTCCTGGCGAAGCTGAACTTTGTCGTCGCATTGTGCGAGTGCGTGTGTGAAGTTGCGAGATCCAGAGCCGGACCGCTTGGTAACATCGAGCAGCCAACGCCGCTCAGTGGTATCGAGCAGATCGGTAATGCGGCCACCAGGAAACGTGCCGAGCAGGTGATTCTACTGGTCCGGGCTCTTCAGTGGCTTAGTTCGGGTCTGAATCTGGCTACTCAGGAGCTCAAGGCTGGAAGACTGCAACCAACAGCCACCGTGAAAGAAGGTGAATAATAAATACAAATAAGAAAGGCTTAAGAGCCATATGTTCCTTGCATACATTTCCAATTTTAAGGTGAATAATCTTTAAATTTTTAATATAATATATATATATATATATATATATATATAGAAAGAAATTTACGACTTATATATATTTAAATTAAAATCAAATTTTACTTACATTCTATCTATAATATTGTAGTTGTCAGCACCATGAACGAGAAATTCAAGTCTTGTTTAACGGAATGTAAGCAACTCAATAGCGCAGGACTTCTTCGTCAAACAGGAGCCACAGCAGACAAGATATTGTACAATCATGCGATTCATATGGTAATGATTCTTTATTTCTTTTGTATTTATTTTCATTCTCTTCAGATATTCCTTCTTCTTTCTTTGAACGTGTATCTGCATCCTCTTTGATAGTTGAAAAATAATTTAAAAAATCCACATTGTCGTTTGGTATACATACATAATATTTAACGAGATTATTTTTGCAGTGTCAATCTGCGGCATTGGACGAGCTATTTGGTAAAGGCGGCGAATGTTTCCAGCGCTATCATACGGCACAGATATTATTGCACTCTTTGGCGCAGCATGTTAGCCATAGTCAAGACCGAGCTCTACTCATCAAATGTATGTATTGTACATAAATGTTTTTTATAGTGAAAAATATTAGCGCAAAAGTTCCTTATTTTTCACGATTCTGGTTTCCATTTATTCAAAATTTTATTCAGATATGACAAATTTTTCAGCATTGATTTCATATTTATTAATATGTACACCTTGACATTTTATCTTTATTTACACGTTGTATATAAAAAATAATATCAATATTCTTGTTAAATTTTTGTTCTCATTTCTTTCTTGGAAAAAAAGGATTATAGTTCCTCGACATTTTTCTTCGAATTTATCGCAGACTCTATGATCGCATTAATCAAGATTTACTGGTGATTTTCAGACAAAGAAGCCGTGGAAAAGCGGTTATATGTGCTACAGCAGCAGGGATACATCTACGCGACTGAGCTTACGTAGCGCTTATGAAACACGACAGCCGAATTTGGCGGCAACAGCCGTCTGAAAGATGTCCCGCCCGTGCAACAGCCGCCCGTACCATCATATTCGATATCTCTCTTATGTAATATATTCTGCCCTATTCTGTATAAAAGACGAAATTGAAGCTGAGAAACTATAAATTTTATAGCTCCAAACGAAGACGGGACTAAATTCTCGCGGCTGATTTTATTTTACTGAGGCTAATTAACCAAAAAAAAAAAAGAAAACAAGCTCCATGTAGTTCCATATGCGGAATAGGGTAGACGATAATGAAGGAAATGAAAGTCTCCCTAAGTCACCATGTTCCCTAATTCATTCACCCGCCTCCGCCCCTGCCTCCCTTAAGATTTCTTTGTATGGTTTATTAAAATTAAGTACAACTAAGGTATTATAATTGTACACTATATAATTGCACGTACACGTCGATCGATTAAGTAATCTTTATTTCGTATATCGATTAATAAACATGTGTATACTAACGGCGGTTGTGCGTTTAATGCAAAGGCACGTTTCGTCGACTGCGGTGGTTAACAAACAATAATGACAATTGTACAAAAGTAAAGTAGCGAATAATGGGCATACTCGATTATTTCTCTTATTTTTTTTTCTATGAAGCTAGATCCAAGAAAGAACAGCGAGTCGATAAATTAGGTTTTTTTCGACGATTGTCGATGCGAGATTATCTTCTTTAACTTTAAATAGTGATTTTTGCATACATCATCTTTCCTTAAATAACTAAAACAAAAAGAAAAAAACACTAATTTACAAAATACTTTATTTCATATTAATATAAGTGAAAAAGTAATAGAAATTTTGATAGAAATATTTTGCAAAGATATTCTCTCTTTTCACTTTCTTAAAATTATATACATATAATAAAATCACAAATATTATATACATATATATATATTTATATATATAATGAAAGACAATTTTAAGAAAGTTAAAAAGAGAAGAGAATAAAATCGAACATTTGAATATGAAAAAAGGGAAAAATTGAATATTCGCATATATACATAGGCGAATATTCAATTTGTATATAGTATATCAAAGTAATTCGTTGAGCCCATCAGCAACATCAATCTCGTGAGATATGTTTTTCCGACACAAAAAGCTAATTTTCTAAAACAAAAATGTATGGCTTTCTGTCTCTTTTTTTATTCTTATTTTTTCTTTTCCTCAGTTTTCTCAGCAGCAGGGAGCTGTTTGTTGTCCCGATAGAGGACATAGTTGAACGTTGTGGCGAGAGAAGTCCACACAAAGTAGGGAATAATGAGGTAGCCAGCGACAGGATTGACGTTGTAGAATGCAATGCCAAGTGCCGCTGTGCTGCCCAATAATGCTACACATTCGTAGAGAGCCTGCGTACAAGTATAAAATAGTAGTTTTAACAAAATTTTCGATCCCAAAGCGGTTTTATGAATAAGCATTCTGCGAGTGTTTAATTCTCAAAGTTCAAAAGACGAAAGTTAATTATCAAAATCTATGAACGCACGGTCGATCTGTTCTTTTCTTAGGATTTCAGCTTGAAGTTATATTGAGCCATAGTTGTACTTGAAATTATTAATACACAAATCGATAAAACGAAAGAGAAAGCACAATTCTTCGAGAGAGCGAACATGATATAAAAATTGAATTAAAAATCGCTCTCAAAGCGATCCAAGCAATTTTGATTTTAAAATTTGCTAACATATAAATAAGATTTTTATTTGAGCTAGGAGACAATTCGAGCACTTATTAGAGCTTATTTTTTATATTGTTCTTTTTTGTTTAAAAAATATGAAGACTCATATATATTATATATTAAAAATTAAATAATGGAAATTATATATATACAATATATATTATATGTATATTATATATATTATAACACAAAATTGTTCATATAATTTCCATTCCATTTCCACACGCGTCATATTTAACATTAAACGTATAAAAAAATAGATGTTTTTTTTTTTCATTAAAACGGAAAAATACAATTACAAATTTTTGTAAATGTATTGTTTAAACTAATTTTTTTAGTTTTCAATAACGTGTCGCATTTACTCGTAAATTAATAAGATTATTCTCAAGTGACGTGAGAGATTTATCTCAAATATTTTTCCAACAAAAATTAGTAATAATTATGAAGATGCACTCGAACGGTCTCGAGTGCTGTCAGATTTTTTTAAATTAAAAATATACGTATATGTGTGTGCGTGCATATCGAATACCCATTTAACGTTGCGAGCCCCGAAGAAGAGCGGCGTCCACGACCAGTTGAGGGCAAGATTAAGTCCGTACACGCTGAGCGGTACGACCGCCTCTTGCATGCCACCCCCGTCTCGCCACACCAGGTACGACGAATAGCCCATTGTACAGTAAAGGGTGGTCCATACAGGTCCAAACACCCAGCTCGGCGGAATAATTTGCGACTTTTTCAGCGTCTAAAAAACAAGCACAGATTTATTAAAGCGTGAAGGATATTTAGCTGCATAAAAGCGATATTATATCATATCATTAGTGATAAAATATGTAATTTATTGTAAACAGTTTGCAATATCCTTTACGATAGTAAATGAAGAGAATTTAGTTTGCTTTCTTATGATTTATTTAAGTATCACGCGTCTCTTTTGCGTAAGCAAAAAAATAAAAATATTCCGAGAAATAACGTAATATCAGTGCTATTATTTGCATGTTATTTTAAACTCCTTGTGATATAAATATCTGAGAAGTAGTAAAGATGAATATGAAAGTTGCTAAATAAGTACAAGCAATATTAGAGATTCATGGAACTGTAATTATTTACCACATTGATTAGATTTCTTATGAATTTTTATATTATTTATATCTCGTTTGTGTCCCATGTAATTTACGTTTAGATGTAGATATTATAAACACAATTGTAATTATTTGTATAAATAACACGCAACTCTAAGCTTTTACAACTACGATATATTTACGTATAAAAAAAATATATATTTATAATTATATATAAAGAATACGCGCACACACATATAGCTATACGAACATATTTATAAATAATGTATAATTATAATTATTATATATGATTATAATTCTATATGATCAGACAAATATAATTATAAATAATTATATAGACACGATATTTTTATTGCAATAATAATTGTCGCTACGAAAATATATACGTTTACTATAGACGTTTGTGCATAATACTAGAGCAAAATGGATCGATGTAAATAGCTGTAACATAAGCTTGGCGCGAATCGCCTGTGTATATCGATTCGCGCTCAATTGAACGACCTTCGTTTACAAACACTTTCGCGAGTTTAAAATTAAATCGGCAAAAAGCGCGTATATCGAGAATAATATTTAAATCGATCAATTACAGCTCTTCTGAATGTTTTCATTACGTCGTGATAACGTAATCTTCGACATCCCCGGCGCCGGCTTGGCGTCGCATGACATCACAGCATATGACACATTTGCATGTGATTGTGATCCTCACCTCGTACCAGCTCATATTCTTCTTGGTGATGTAGCCGCCGACCCAGCCGCCGATGTTAGGGCAGACTGTCGCCGTCAATAGAGGCCAATTGATCCGGATCGGCATCTCTTTATTCTTGAGCTAGAATAAAATGGAATGTATTGTATATGTACACGATCGTACGTTCGCGGCGAACGTCGATAGACTGAACGGTAAGCTTACCTAACGACGTAAATTGTGATGACTATTGCTTTCCATAGCAGTGACGTAACTATCGCCGCACATTGCTCAGTGCTAGTTAGCAGTCTTTGCTACTTAAGTATTTTGTTTTCAACTTGCTGCAATCCAGAAGATAACGTATCGTCGAATCTCTTTATATCTTGATGATCTAATAGAAAAAAAAAATTAAATGAAACAGCATGTTTGAAATTTTTTCAAGTAAACTCAGACTTACATACATTATTTGAAAAAGAAAGCACATGGAAGTACAAAGCATAGATGTGTGTAGTGGTTCATTTAGTGGATTGAATCTATTGATACATGAGAGCTCTTCGGTTACTCAGTTTCTACTGAATTCGTGGAAAAATGTATAATAAATTATTATTAATATATATATATATATATATATATTTTTCATTTATATACATATATGAATGATAAATAATTGTTAACTTACTATTTTTTTCATTGCAACAATCAAATTCAAAAGAACGGTGCAACGAAGACAAATCTTTACAATTTTTACGCAAAATTCGGACGGTGATTAAATAATATACATAAGAGAGAGATAGAGAAAAAAAATGAGAGAAAATTATACAATACATGTATATATACACTATGTGTATATACACATTTGTATATATTAAACTTTTGCTATCATTGTTACAAATTGCGCATATAAGTACTAAATTATATACACTCGTACAGATTAACAAAGTAGGTTTTCGCGCTTAAGTGCGATGCGGATGGTAGAGAAGTGCGAAAAAAATTAATGTTTCAAAAAGAATTAACAGCTCGGTGCGTAGCAGCTTTCAACTGATACTTCTTGTTTGTAAGATTTAAATGGCTCGATACGCTTTTTATTTACACATGAATAAATACATTTCAATAAATATACACGTGTCAGAAACAAAGACTAATAATAATTTTATAATATACATTCGATGCACTCTCTTTATACTACTTTAAGAAATAAATCGAATCGCGATCGAATTATATATATATATATATATATATATATATATCAGAACAGTTGCGTAATTTACATGTGCGTGTACATACATACATAGTTTGTTTCATAAAATATAGATCACACTTTAGTAGAATAGTGTGTGTGTATGTATACACATATGTACATGCATATAGATGCATATAAAATTTTTCGATACTTATCATGCTTCAGCTTGGGCGTATATTATCAACTTTATATCGATTAAATGTTTAATCAATATAAGTTTACAAATGTATCAATATAAGGTAACAAATGTTTAATCGAGAAGCATTAATGATTTTTTATCAATTAAATAGTTTAGGACTAGCGCATATTACAGTCTACAATCAATTAACAGTCGCATTCCAAGAATATGAATATATAATTATATAATTCGTCTCTCATAACTCGTCTAAGAGTCTTGACGTGTTGTCAAACCGACACTATATTTGTTCTTGACATCTTAAAATTATAATTTTATTTTTATTTTCACAAATCACTTGATTAGGACTCAAAGAAGGGTCGAAACGTTGTGATTTAATAAATAATATTTGCCAGTACTGTCGAGAGAAGTTTTACTTTTTTAAATTCTGTCTAGCGATTCTCAAATATCTACGTTTTTGTTTAATTATATAATTTTTATGTATAATATATATATATATATATATATATATATATATATATCATTTAAATATAAAAATATATATATATATTATATGAATAAATTATATATTATAAATAAATAATATCATTTACATAAATTATAATAAATGATTAATTTACATAACTTAAATTTAAAGAATCGATAGGCAATTTTCAACACACGATCGATTGATAGTTAATTGACACTTTTCTAAACGTCATCAAACTTTTTTGATTTTTTGATCAAATCAATCAAGTCCATATGCGCGCTCTTATAATAACTCGAAGCTTTTTAATAGTTGACTAAACTATGAATCGACAAAAAGTCAATAGTATGCGCCCAACCTTGTGGCCATTTTTTCAATCGAACTACAATATCGAATAAATGTTATCAATTCGATAAATGCGTGTATTCATAATGTAATCCAAGCAAAAACAGTATGCAGAGTATTCCGGAATAATAAAGTCAAATTGTAATGATTCAATTTCAGACTCTGATTTCAGTTTCTCTCTGATAAAATTATCGAGAAATGTCAAATAAAAATAATTAATGATTTAAAATAAAGCCTTTTTTAAAATAAGAAAAGATAAAAAATAAATTCAAAACTATATAATATATATATAATTTATTTGAAACAGGTTTTAATAACTTTTTTATTCGAGACTTATTTACAAAAACTTTGAAAAATAGCATTAGAGTTAGTAATTTTGTTTTTTCTTAAAAATATATATATATTTGATAAATAATTTGCCGAGAAATTTATGATTGAATCATGAATTAGAGTTTATATACTCCGGGATTTAACCGGAGAGTACAAAAAAAGAGTATTCACGAGAATACTCTACAACGGACTTATACTCAAACCAAAATCTATAAAAAAAAGTACACGAAATCGCGATGTTTTTCGTTTGCGGTCAAAATTACTTGCGTCGTTATATGTATAAATGTAATTATAATTTACCTTTACAACGGCGCAACAAGTAAAGTACTGTTCATTACATTTTAATGCCAGCACCAACACCACTTTATAATATAAACTCTCATCCCTGCTTTATAATTTTTCTTCGTCTTACTCAGCTCGAGTTTTTTGTCAGCAGAGAAATCTTAAGTTCTTCCAAGTTCTTCTTCTCACTCACTCTTTTCGCTTTTGTTGTCTTTATTGTGTATAGTTCTTTCCTTCCTACGATCAGACTTAGACGCGAACAGATGATTTTTGACACGTTCTTTGACCAGCTTTTGCGGAATCACCATGATGGTAGTAGCAGTATTGCCCAGGAATAGTACAAGGAACATGGCACTAAGTACCGATACATGCCACGTTGCCTCTGGATGATATGCCAATTTGTATAACGTGTACGCGTTGTAAAGCTGAAACAGGTAGCCGACAAAAAGAAACGGTAGCAGAAAGGAAAGGCCGCGCCACATCCACGAATGAAATCCTTCGATAGTAATGTCCATATTGTCCCTCTCACCCAGAGCTTTCAATCTATATAAAACGCCGCGTTGGTATCGAAACTGCAAGTATTGAACTACACCTAAAAAAATATTGTTATTAAATAAAAATTAAAATGTTATAGAAACAGTTGAATAATTGTTTGTCTTGTTAAAAAATTGTACAATACTTACTGATGTATACGTTGAACCACATGAATTGGCTACGAAACACGTACCACGGTCCCGTGTTTGGCCACACCAGTAGAACAGCGGATACAACAGTCGAGAGAAAATGATGAAATCTCCACCATCCTTTAATCCTCGATCCGTTCACCTTCAGTATACTTTCTCTTATCGTCAACGTGCAATAGTACCAAACGAGGAGAAACATAAAACTAAGTTCTAAAGTCCTAAAACAAATAATGAAAATATTATAATAACAGTATCATATATTCTTTTTATATATATAAGTATATTATATATGTGTGTGTGTGTGTGTGTGTGTGTATATATATATATATATATATATATAATACACTTATATATTTTTTAGATAGAAAATATCATTCATATAAATATGAATTGTATAACAGATATTTTATACATGCCTTATATTGGTAAATAGATTTATTACAGATAGTACAAATCCAATTACTGATAAAACTAGTTTAAATTTTTCATACTCGTCTTTGTACTTGAATCTGAAATGTAAACAAGTGTTATAAAACCATTCTGTATGCAACATAAAACATTTCAGATTTGATTCTTAATAATATATGTTAACATACTTGTCGCTCTTATTTAGTATGGAGACATTAACATTGCCAAGAATAATTTGGAGATATGTGCCATTTGGCTTAGGTAATGTTTGTTCTATCTCGTACAGTTGTTGCTCTCTTCTTGCTATAGATTTTTGTAATTCTTCTTGCTTTTCTCTTGTATTCAATCTGAAAATAGAAAAATCACAGAGATTATCGCATGTGTTTCTTTAACTTTATCAATATCAGGTACTGTATTTTTATCAATATCTTTCCAAGTATAAATATAATAAATAAAAATATTAATTTCTTTAGACTCTTACATTCGCATAAAAATATCTAAATTCTCTTAAAATTTATCATGTCTTTCTCTTGTATCCTAAATTGTGCATAAACTTACCGCTTCAACATCTTGTCTATTATGCCCATCCGGTATTTCTGATGCGAGAGACCCTTCACACATTTTGCTTGCAGCTCACTAATCTCATCTAATTTTGCAAGATACTCTCTATTTAGTGTCTGTGAACAGAAAAAAAGGTCTCTTAATAAACAACCAGATTTTTATTTGCTCCTTCTAATTTATTATCACTAAGTGACAATTACAGATTCATGAAACATGATTGCTCTCAAATAATTATTCCCTTCTCTTATTATTCTTCAAATTACAAATTCTCCCATCCATTTATATCATTATACACATTTTATTTTAGATTTACATTTTGCATTTTATTATTATTTCTCTTTATATTACCTAGTTATATCTAATAATAATAGCATTATTAATTGCAAGAATTTAATGTAATCTTTATTAAAATATTGTAGCGTTATCAGAAGAGTAATTAATGCAAAAAAATTAATCAAAAGTGTAAAATAAAATAATATAATGAAATGAATAAAATGTGAAAGAATGTAAACCGCTTGTGTACACATGTATAAAATTAATCAATTGTCACGCGAGTGTTGTGAAATCTCTCTCCGATTTTGTCCACCAGGTTAGGCCACATCTGTGCGAGGAGACGTGCAACATAACCCAACCTCGCGGATCGTGCTAAATCCACGATGATGCTCTCACCTCGAGTTCCTTGTAGTCCTGCGCCAAGTCATCCCATTCCTTGGTCAGGCCCGGTTCGCAATTCTCGGCTTCGGGGTCCATTTCGTCGGAGAAAGCTCGGAGACGACGTGCTCGAGGTCAGGTATAGGCGATCGTTTGACTTCTCGTCGATGTTTCCCCACACTTCCTGCACTCGTGATGCAAAAAAACCGAAAGAGAGGGAGGGAGAGAGAGAGAGAGAGAGGATCAAACGTCAAAATTGAAAAGTGCAGGAAAAGATGAACGGAAAGGACGACGGAGTTAAGGTACAGCGGTTCCAGGTGCACACGTCATCCTCGTTCACCTTCGAACGGCGAAATGTCGAGACCGGAAGCGGGAGAAGCGAGCAAAGGACAACAGCCGGTGCGCCGGAGTTAATGATACATCAGCTGTCGCTGATAACGCTGATAATGATTAATAGCCGCGCAACAAAGGTCAATTAAAAGATGCTCGCTGATGGACGCGCGAAGATTATTTTGGATTATTAAAGTTTAACGATCGAGCGCTGATCGATACACCAGGATATCGATATATCTTATGCTTGGTAGGCAGAGAAAGCGAGAGAGAAGGAGAAAGAGATATACTTTGCGAACTTTGCGCGCGTAGAATTTTTGCTAGAAAATCGAAAATTATATCATCATAAATAAGTATAAAAATATTTAATGCGAATGAATAAAATTAAAATTAATGTTAAAATTTATATTATAATATTTAAATTATAATTGCAATATTTTGTTTTTTCTTTTTAATAACGATAATATAATGTATATATTATATATTAATATTAAATTTATTATTATTATCAATAATAATATATCTTGAGGTAGTAATTCAAATGTATATAAAAGCAAATTTTATTATTATTGATAATATAAAATAAATTAATATAATATTTAAAAAATGGATATTGTTCATAAATATATTTAAATATACATATCTGTCATTTTTATCTGTATTTTCTTTTTATTTTCTATTTTCTTTTTTTGTAAATTCTTTTCTATTATATTTTTTAATTTGATATATTTAATATTTTATATATTCTTATTAAACTTGTAAATATCGAAAATATATGTAAGTGTAATTAGAAAAAAATAAATAATGTATAATAATACTTGAGGTCCTACATTAGAGAAAAACTCTAATCAAAAGATAAGTTTTAATTTAAACTTACAGGTAAAATACTATAGATTATTTATAGAAATGAAATAATTTAAAAAGAAGAGAAACAAGAAAGTATTTTTATACTCTAAGGTCTAAAATATCTCTTATATCGCCAAATTGTCTAATAATATAAGATAATGTATTTCAATAGTATGCAAAATTTCAAAAATTTTTCAGTCAGAAATATTGAATAAAAACGCAATATAAAACTTCTGAAATTTATATGGTTGTGATTTATTTTGAATAAATTGAGCATATTTTAAGATAGAAGTGACTTGTTTTTTCCTTTTCCCTCTTCTCTCTTTATGTCTCTTTTTTGTATTCTCGATAAATCGTTTCAACTATTTTGACATTCAAATATATTCCTTTGCATTATTTATAGGCGCTTACAGCTTGTTCCAAAATTTATTGTTGAACAAAAGAATTCCTTTTTTCTAAAAATGTATATTCAAATATGAATGATTCTGAAGATTGAAGCTTTAGAATTAAAACGAATTTCTGTCATCTTTATAAAGATGAAAAAATTAAAGCAATACCAAGAGCTTTTTATTTATTAAGAAAAATTATTTCTTAAAAAGATTGAACAGATACCGATAATCTAAAATTAAATTGAACATCTGAGCATAATTAATCTAATCTTCATACAGAAAATCGAAAAAGAATTTTGATTGCATATACCTCTGATCAAGATGAGAGGGATGACAGAGATTCTATATATAGATAACAACATACAGCGGCTTACGATCTCCCGTTGCGAGTCTGAACGACTCTGTTGTAAAAGAAGGTAGAGATGATCGGTTCAGTTCTAGTTTCGCTCCGTTTCCGGTCAGCCGTGTTTCCGGTTTACCACCGCGACCGGATATCAGGAAGCCGAACGCGGCAGTAAGCATCGAGATACTCGCCAGACGAGTCCGACTCTCTGTAGAATGGCTTGTTAGATTGACAGAAACATTCGACACAATTGGGTGCAACTGAAGAACGGTATATATACTCCTGAAAAAAAACAATAAGCATATATTGAGTACAATTAAAAAAAAATATATATATATTTCATAAAAAAATATATATAAACAAGTGTTTTTAAAATGTTCTACAATGAAGAGAGATTATAATTCGATAGTGATTTTATACGAGAAGAGCCGAGCCAGAATATAACTGTGTATTGGTGTGCATATAAATATTTTATTATTAAAAACTATTTAAACAGTGAGATATGTATCAATTGTTCCAATGTGACAAATTAAAAGTTAATTAAAGAATAAATTAGTACATTTAGCTTTCATATTAATAGTTTGTCGCTAAATAACGTGATGGATTTATTTAATTAAATAATTAGATAAATTGACATAAGTCAAATTTTTATTAAAATTTTGAACCACTTTACGAGTGTACGTTAAAATTACTAATTAAAAGTAAAAAATTGTATTCAAAAATTGTGTAAACTAAATTCACATACACATTTGAGTTTGAGAAACACTGGACCAAAGGATAGCATCTTATCGTTGATGGCGTGCTTTCGAGATCTGAAGAGTCGTTTAACGCTCGCTCATTAGGATGTTTCGGCTTATCGATATTTCACACTTTTTCTAAAAATAAAATGTATCTTTTTAAAAACCAGTCAAACGAGAAATGATAACGAGCGAGATTATAAATATCTTACCTGTTTAATGAAATTGAAAATGAATAAACATTAATTGTACGAGATATTTCATGATACTATATATGCGTTTCATTGAATATCAGAGAAAGATTGTATCGCGCGGCAGCATCATTCTGCGGTCGGATGATGAAGAACGCTCATCGTCGACGAGAGATAAAACTTGTCAATTTCTCCCGCCGAAATGCTTATGCATACACATGATACGCACTTCGTTTCTGCTATCATCCTTCTTTGTTAATCGCGCTTTTTATCTCCCGACCATGCAGCACTTTCTCAGTGCGTGAAGAAACGCATCGCATTATGTTAATATAGTACGTAAGATTGGTGCGGTATTTCCGGTACAGAAAAATAGAGATTCTCTCTTTTAGCCATTTGCAAACTGAAAATAAAATAAATTATTATTATTGTATTTTATATAATAATTTTGCGTTATATATATATATATATATATTATTTATTTTAACACGACTTTTCTATATATATATATATATATATATATATACATATATAGAAAAGTCGTGTTAAAATAATATTCTTTTTGTCTCTTAAAATAAAAAATTTATACATTACTCTCGCGTTACCTTTGTCCTGATAATTTCTAATTTCGTCGACTCGAAGAAAAAGATGCTGAATCGATGATACGATCTGATTTCTCTTGTCGACAGTGAAGATTCGCGCACAGTCGTCGCACACAGTTCCCGCGAATTCATATACTCGGTGTCGTCGTGAAGATGCACTGGGTGGTGCGAAGAATCTCGCGTAGAATCTCGAGGTCGGCGAACTATTGCAGTGAGTTCAACGTCTCGTTCTCCAAGGAACGCGGAACGCTGGGATGCTTCGATCCACGAGTCTTCGTCCTAGAGAAGAGAAAGAATGAAAAAGATACTGCTCGTTCCTCGAGGAACTTCGTCGGCCAGAATGCGACGAGGAGATCGGCGTTTTCGCAAACATTCGTGCGAGACTTTAGCACTTCTGCGAGAAAACCACCGCCCGAGCCACAAGGAATCCCCTTGTTCGGTACGATGTTGTCCCTATTGATGGCTGGAGGTGCGCAGAAACTGCACGAGTACGTGGACAGAAGACATCAAGAACTGGGCCCAATCTTCAAGGATAAGATCGGACCATTGCAGGCCGTCTTCGTCAAATCGACTGATGAATTTCGCAACATCTTCTTGCGACTCGAGGGTCCTACGCCGCAACATTTTCTACCAGAGGCCTGGAGGCTGTACAACGAGATCCGAGCGGAGCGCCGAGGACTACTCTTCATGTATGCACAGAATGTTCTTTTATTGACACTGAAAAATGGAACTGTAGATGTTAGTGATTTAAATTGTAGTAATAGAAGAAAAAATTTAAATTCTATATAACACACCCGTTTTGTTTTTTTAAACAGGGATGGAGACGAGTGGTTGCACTTTCGCCGTATCCTCAACAAGACGATGTTGCTTCCTGATCCAGCAAAATTAATGTGCACACCTTGCCAGGAAGCCGCCGAGAATCTAGCGAGAAAGTGGATGGATCACAGTTTAGTCGGTTCTACGATACCGAATCTGGAATCTCAGCTCTATCTGTGGTCTATCGAAAGTAAGCCTTTACATATATATATATGTATTTAGTTAGCGCTTACGACTGATTGAAGTCGCATGTTCTTGCAGCCATGCTGGCGACTCTGATAGGTTCGCGATGGCGAGATTGTAAGCAGCAAATGCGTTCCGAGGCGGAGCATTTGGCTCTGATGCTGCACCAAATTTTCATGTATTCCGCCACCCTGTCGATGATGCCGGCCAAGCTGGCCATGAAACTCAAACTGTCGGCATGGACCGAGTTTGTTCGCACTGCTGACACAATTATGGTCAAAGTACGCAGTTTAGTTCCGAAAATGATCCAGCTAGACAGCGACGGACTTTTACAGATGATGATGAGCAACGGCATCCGCGATGATGACATTGTCAGAATCGTCGTCGATTTCATTATAGCTGCTGGCGACACGGTGCGTTCTTCAATTTATCAATATATAAAGTGCCTGTGCATAAAATATATTTAAATTTGAAAAAGAAAAAATGTCATTAATTTTTTCTGATTTTTTATCAGAAATAAAATCTTTTATAAAAAAAATTTATTCTACATTTTTCATGTATTTAAATTGAATTATTCTTTCGCTTATACGAATTAATGATTAGATAAAAAAATCGTATTTGTAATTTGATATAGATTAAGATGTTTAAATTATATTCACAATATCAGATACAATTATTTGAAGTTGTTTTAATTCAAATATCAGCATTTTAGAACTGAGGAAAAGTCGACTGATAATTATAATTAATTGTAATTAAAGTCGCATAGAATATACCTTATAAAAAACGATTATTTTTAGAATCATTTGATTATTTAGACGGCAATCAGCATGCAATGGGCGTTGCTATTGCTCAGCGGTCGTCCTGAGCTGCAGGACCAGTTGTTTCACGATATCAAGGACCTGTCGACGGAGGAGATTCTACGGCATCCTCTGCTGAAAGGCGTGTGGAGGGAAGCTCTAAGGTTGCACCCTATCGCGCCATTTCTGACGAGATATTTGCCGGCGGACAGCACAATAGGCGATTACTTCGTTTCGAAGGAGGTAATCCTGTGGAATAATAAATTTCTGCGTTATATCGTTTCAAACTATAGACTTGTAGATTTCTACATATTACATAGACAAAAATGTTTGCAACTTGTAAGAGATAGAACTTTCAATTTCCTAGGATTTAATCATCATGTCGATATACTCGAGCGGCCGGAATGGAAACGATTTTCCGAAACCGAATGACTTCAGGCCGGAAAGGTGGATCAGGACGAAAGACGGTTCTTATCAAGGTGTGAAGAATTCGTATGCCACTCTGCCGTTTGCGATGGGAGTGAGGAGCTGCATTGGTCGCAAACTCGCGGAAACGCAACTGTCTCTCACGTTGGCGCAGGTGAGTCTAATAAATTCCAATTCGACATTGTTCCAATTCTGATGCATCTCGTTTTTTTCTCTTCCTTTCTGCAGCTCATCAAGAAGTTCAAGATTGAGTGCGTAAATCGCGACAACATTAAAATGATTTTGCATCTGATCTCTGTACCATCAAAGCCCATACAATTGAAGCTGACTGGAAGGGATGTGTGAGGAAGATGTTGGAACTATAAAAGAAAGAAAAAGAATAAGAAATTGATAAAATAGAAAATAATATTAATAGTACAATATAACAAATAAAATAATAAACATATATCATTAATCATGCAGGTATTATAAAAGAAATTACTTGCAATATGGTATATGCTATTAATTATTCTACCAATTTCTTTGATGACAAATTTAGCTAGATTTATCTAGATTTCACACAGCTACGATCGTGTGGATTTCATTTGACGAATGTATATATTTTCACCCAGCTACGGACGTGTGGATTTCATTTGACGAATGTATATTTTCACCCAGCTACGGTCGTGTGGATTTCATTTGATGAATGTATCATATCTATTCTCCAACGCGGATATATATTTTGTGTCCATGTATAACAAAAGAGGAAGAGAGAGACCGACTCTTCCAACACATATTTATACTTAGGCAATACTCATTTATGTTCGATGACTTACTTTTATTAATATTTAATAATTACGAATGCGGAATTATTCTTTCACTTGACGGAACTGTACAAATTCGAATAGACAATATGCGATATACTTACGCATAATAATAGTCGTCACGGCATTGCCGAAACTTTTCTCGACGTTCCCGATATTATTTTCGATACTTTTTTCGACAATTCCGATGCCTTTTCTAGCATTTTCACTTTTTTTCTGGCCTTTTTCTCAGCATCTCTGCTCTTCTTGGCATTTTCGCTGTTTCTCCCGCTGTTTTTACCCCGACTAACAACTGTTGCCAACTTCCGATTTGCAAAAAATGGAAGAAGCATGCATTATTCCGCCATTTCCCGCCATTTTATCTCAACATTTTCGGCGCTTTTCTCGACTTAAACGAATACGTTCTTTAAAAAATCTCGATAATTTTACGCATGTTGCAGACGATGTACGCAATGTATATTTGTATCCACATATAGTACAAAAAATTCGATACTTTTTTAGCACTTTTGATCGTATTTATTTTCAAAAATACCATTATATATATATATATATACATATAACATATAATATAATATAAAAATATATTGTATAATAATTTTTATCATTAATAAACGAGTTAAGATATCAAATATTATAATTGTTTTGATGTATACATATAATTTATATTAATGTATAGAACAGATAAAGATATAGAGAGTGTTCTTGTGTTTTATATTGAGAGAAATAAAGAAATATTTCTATATGTACCTTACTTTAATGAGCTGATTAAAGCGGGAGAAAAATATTCATAATATCGTGTAGAGGTACAACAACCATAAATTTACATGATATATATAGATCGACGTACTTAATTCTAAAAGTGACGCATGCGCAAATGTTAGAAAATACTTTACATTTCATTGACCAATCAGAAGAAAATGTTCTTTATTTTGATTGGTTAATGCAATGCTGCGAAGCATTTGTAGCGTCTACTGGATCACAATTAACGCGTCAGATTCGAGCGTAAAAATGTTTCCAGTGTCTTCCGCCTAGATGGCATTAGTAACGCAAAAAGTGCTTGAATCCTGCATTTTGAGAGCTAATTATTTTTATATAGACATTTTCGCGCGCGTCCTTCTCTCTTCTTTAACAAAATATACGTTAATCGGTAATTTAACAAAGAAAAATATTGAAAGTGTGTGTCGTGTTAATTTGATATGAGATTAAAATCGAGTGCAAAGTGTGATTGTCTTTATATATTGATTAGTAAACGCGCGATCATAATAATAATAATTATAACCGTGTTTTCGCGAATGAAAATGTCGAAAAGGAAACGAAGAAGAAGAGGAAGAGAAGAAGGCCTGGAAAAGCATCCAACAAATCATGGGAAGAAATTGTAGGGTAAATATATGTATAGCTTCCCAGACAGCATATGCAAAATTGGAGCATAAGACATCTTTAAGAATTCTTTAAGACATCTTTAAGAAGTCTTTAAGACGTCTTTAAGAAGTCTTTAAACATCTTTAAGAAATCTTTTGATATAATATCCAAAACAAGATGTCTTATGCGCCAATTTTGGACATGATGTCTCGATTTTACAGCTTTTTGCGTTTAATATTCATATATTTTTATAAAAATAATTGTTCATATTTATTTTCGTTGAGTGATTCATTTTACATCATTGTGTAAATTAATATAGGGAAAGAATTCTATTATTGATTTTATTTTACAGTTTTTTAAAAATTTTTACACTAAAATTCTTATATATAATGATATATATAATAAGTTATATTTATATATATAATATTTCAATATTTGTTTGTTATAATTTATTGTTATTTAATCTACTTATATATAAGAAATATACTTTTGATATACATATAAAATTAGATTTTTATTTATTCTATAAAAATGTACTAATTTAAAAAAATTTAGGGAATTATATATATATTTTCATTATATAAATATTGATTTGCAATGCAAGTAAACAATTCAATTGCACACAATTATTTTTTAATTGAAATATTAAATGTATATGTGTAATATGTATATATATTTGTATGTTACACAGATCAACATTATATATGTAACTCTACCATATTTGTTGCATCGTATTGGTGAGTACGATTAAAAACAATATCTGCGTACATAATTTAAAATTGCTGGCAGTTATTTCTGTATTGTTCTAATTTAAATATGCAACTGGCACTTTAAGATGCTTCATTATAAAAAATGAAAAAAAAAATGATTTCTCAAGTGTTAATATAAGTCCTCAAAAGCACTGGGTCAAAATATGCTTAAAAGGTATGTTTAAAAATGAAAAATAAAATGACTTGAGAGAAAGTATGACAGAGATTATTAATAGATTCTTGATTACTATTGATATTGATTTTAATAACATGCTTAAAATCTCAATAAAATAGTGATCTCAATAAAAGAGTGATTTTTGTATTTAACAATTAATCTTTTCAGACAATTATGTTAATTCAATTTAATAAATTTGAATTATATTTGTTTTAAACTTTCGAAGAATTGCAATCTGAATTGAATTTGATTTCTATTTCTGTTCGTGCAAAAGTGAACATACATTTTTTGATATCTTTAATATCTTTAGTCTATTGGTAGAACCAAAAAAAGTTCAACTTGCATGAACTTACTTATTTCTATTTGTACACTGGTGTAACACGTTGAAGTGCTTGAATATCTGAACTGTAATCCTTCCACAAAGAAAGATCTATTTGCGGTAAGTCATCGCATCTCTCAAGTGGATTTCTGGAAAATTGTTTCATTAGAGAATTATTGCATAAAGTTCGATTCAAATTAAAAATCGAATAACACAATCAAAATTAACGTACGAATCGGAGACTCTGGTGAATCCAAATCTTTGCATATTCTGGATATTGTCTCCATTATCGCACATCAGTCGTGATATACTTGATTTACGTATTTCGTTCAATTGTTCTGCAATAATATAGAATAATAATTATACAGAATGTATTTAAATAAGTGTGACAAATTTTAGGAGATGATTCTTTGTCAAAAATTAAGGGAAGTTTCTTATATAAATATATACTCTTATTATTTAATAAAAATTAAGTTTTTCTTTTTTTCTCAAATTTCAGACAAATTAAAAAAATGAAACTTGAAGACCACTAAATTTTATTAATTAATAATAACAAACTCCTCTTAATTTTCGACAAATAATCATCTAAAATTTTTTGCACTGATTTAGATACATCCTGTATATTATGATATTTAATTTATGCACTCAAAATTATTTATTTAATTTAATCTTCATACAATAATCGATTTCTTATCTCGACAATGCTTATTAAAGTATTTATTATTGCGATTTTGAGAGTTCCGGTGAGTTCTCTATGAGTTCTGTAAGTTCTTAACATACCTAATGTAAATGCTACTGCCGGATTTCCGGTCTCGAACCAGTAGCGATCACCGATTCGGGTTTGTTGAAATTGTCTCGTTATAATACACTGGAACGTTGGACCAACTAATGCTTCGTTTACGTGTCTTTCCAAAGCTCCGCCGACAGACAAGTCGACGTCATCCGGACTAGCGTACAACAGGGAGAGTTTTTGTATATCCTAAAAATTAAAAATTTTTTTATATTTTTAATTTAGAGAAATTACATCTCGATTAAAATTTATCTTGATTATCGAGAGATCTTTTTACGATTTTACTCACCGAAACAGGTATAAGATCGCCAAATTCGTCAAAGGTTCTCGCTCGTTGTAACCCGCAATATTCGCGATAATCGTTGTAAGAAGCGAGTCCGTGATCACGATCCCTTTGTATATCTATTGCTCGTAAATCAGATCCTAAAGCTCTTCCTCTTCGGAAGAAGAATTGCGTGATCTGCGAATAAAATTACTATTAATAAAAAATCACATTTTATCAGTCAAAAAGTCTTGATACACTTTTATGAGTCTGATGCATTTTTAATTTTTGTTTTGTTTTCAATTTATTAATTTTATCTTTGATTTCATGAGTACCTCTTTGTCGAAAAATACATCGGTATCACTTTGTGGTTGCGAGGCCAAACCCCTCGTCAAATCGTCCAAATTGTTGCCTCTCTCTATGATGCCAGGTCTATTGAAATGATCGCTCAATCTTAGAGAACCGTAGGGAGAATATTGTCGACCTTCTGTCACTAAGCTATCGAACAAAATTTATTTTAATTCAATATGTTTGCAATTTTATATTGCGAATGTTTCATTACTTTCATGTTTGTTCAATTAATTTCAGTATAAGAACACAACTGTCAACACTCAATCGTACAAATGATTTACAAAAGGAAATTGAGTTTAAATAAAAAATATAGTTGATGAAGTATATTTTTAATTAAAAGTTTGATTCAACATAATTAAATTATTAATTATTTATCTGTATTAAAATACTTTTAATTATTTCTAAATTTTTACATTTTTAAAAACTTTTAATGCCATCCAAATTTTTAAATATAATTTGGAGACTATGCACGTTAATGAAGTGTATCAAGTACTTACTGAAGACTGCCAACAATGTTCGTATGGAAATATCTATTAGCTGCATTCGCATGTTCGTTCAGAACATTAGCAATAACCGTTTCATCGTAATCATTTACATAATCCTTTGTATCGTATATGACTTTGTTCTCGTAAACTTGCGCAGTACCTGCAATATTGATTATTATCAATATCTTAATCTATAATAAATAAATATATAAGGAATAAATAATAATTTACAACAAATAAAAATAGCGAAAATAATATCGAGAAAGAAATAAAATATATGTATTCCCAAGTCAAATTTTTACATTATTTTTAAATAAGCGAGATTTATTTTACTCTTCGATAAAAATTCGTTTAATTATTTTTAATAAATATAAAATAAAAAAAAAATAAGAGAATGTACCTAAGAAAATCGGCACCCATTCATAATACGCGATGTTTTGATGTTCAGCGATCACAATTCGACGTGTTTCTTGAAATATCGTTTCATCGGTCCAGTGAGGATTTAATTGCGCCAGATAATCGGCGATGCGATTGTGTTCTCGGAGCAATATAATTTGTAGAATTGTCAGCTGTGGATTCTGATTAGCTCGCGTATCGCCTAAAATCGAAGTAAAAAAATTAATCGCTTGTATTTTTTATCCCTCCCTCCCCCAAAGCAATGCGGTAATCCCTCATCATTACGTTCACTGCGTGAAATATTGAATAAAAGTAGACGTCATGCAATCAAATTGCATGCGAATGTGCGTTTATTCTTACCGGCAGCGTAACACGGTTCGAATTCGTATATCGTGTCGCAAGTGGCAGATTTGTTAGCTGCTGGTGGTGGAAATTCCCTGTTATTTTTCACTTCCACGTTTAGCCTGCCGCCGAAACCGGCTCGTAAACTAGCTGCCACTTGGTCGTTCGATCCGTAGACGATCGAAAGGTCCAAATAGTGAGAGACGGTGTTCAGCTGGAAAACGTAGCACATAAATATTCAAGCAGATAAATCACGCGAATAAATTTATTTTTCTCTACTCTTAAATAAACATTAATTTTTTTGCAAAATCAGCTGATTAAAGCATCAATTTTACTAATAAAATTTTAAAATAATAATTGTTTTAAAAATTAAAAGAGTAATGTTTTAAATAATATGTTATAGTTTATTTAACTCGATTTTTGACAGTTATCAGCTGATTTCTGTCAAAAAATATTATTCGAGTTTAAAGTATTATAACATTATTTTTACAACATTATTATTTTAATTTTTATAACATATTTTTATTTTAAAATTTAACCAGCAAATTAACACTTTAATCAGCTAATTTCTTTCAAAAATATTAATCAAATTTAAATACACATATATTTTTTTAAAAATATTTTTCTAATTATAAAATTGAAGCATACGAGATTAAGGGAAGGATAGTTTAGAGATATTCCGATCGCGGATAAAAATAAATGTAAGCACGGTGGAAAGAATGGCAATGCCAAGTTCGCGTCAATAGCACAAGAACATTTAATTAATGATCATATTCTAATTTTCTTTAATTTTCTCGCGTACGCGCGAATGCAATCGTGAATGAATAGGCGAGATATAAGTTTGAAACCTGTTCTGCTGGCTTGAACGAAGACGAACAGCCACGATCAAGATCGGTTGTACTACGGACAAAGTTCATGCACTGCATGGTCCTGCTGTCGTACACCGGGTCGTCGTTCGGTATGAGAATCGGGTAACACTTGGGTAACGTCGTCCAGCCAGGAGCCAGCTGACTATTGAACGTGCAACATCGAGTACGATGTGATTCTGCATGAGAGAACGTAAATTAGGGGGATTTTCTAATGTAATTAAGCAAGTAGCAAACTGACGTCATTAAAAATTTGTATAAAAAATTTCGAAAATGACGTATATGCTTGCTGAAAAGCATTATTTTTTGTTTTTTTTATACAGAACAAATACAAGCTTTCTGCATGGGAATTTTTTTACATATTTATTAGTATCTATAGTGTGTTCGCAAATTTTTTTGGTACAAAAAAATGAAAATTAGCTGCAGTGGATTGCTTTAAAATTATCTTATTTTAAATTATCTGTAATTTATATACATAATTGGGCCCGCTTTGCTCAATTGAAACAATAAAAAATTCAAAATGATTTCTAATTAGTATGTCTTTGGCTATCGCTCCTACCACAATTATGTTAAAATACTTTTCCTCTCATTTTTACAGTTTTTTGAAAATAAAAAACATTGCAAAAATCAAAATACAATTTTTTAAATTATCAATATTTTTTTTTATTCTGCTACCTGCTATAACCAAAGACATACTAATTAAAAATCAATGAAATTTTTTTTTCATTTTTTTTGTACCACAAAAAATGAATACACTATAGATATTAATAAATATGTAAAAAAATTCCGATACAAAAGCCTTTATGGGTGTTGTATAAAAAAAATTCGAAGAAAGAGAGAAGTAATGCTTGTTACAGCATAGAAGACCCTCTTAATTAAGAAATGCTGATTATTATTAAAATCGTTACGTTACTATTGGCGCAATATTTTACCGCATCATTTTTTGTATCCTACAAAAAAGCACATACTTGATTGAGTTGTGCCGTCTATCAAACCCATGTCGTGTGTCACAATCTGTCCGTATTGCATCGCCACCAGGGTCCAGATAGGGTCTTCGATTTTGGCGTTGGGGAATATCGTGAAACTGACAGCTCGGGCTAGTGGCAGTTCTGCACCGGTGACCGAAGTGGGTGGTGTTCGAATTCCTGTGTTAAATAAATTTTGAAGAAAAAATCTCTTAAATTTTTCAACAAAATTGCGCCAATCTCATTATTCATATGGCTAGAAGAAAGGTGATCGTTATTTTTTAATCAGTGCAATGACCAAACTTTAGAAAGTATTCGTATAATTTTCGCACTTTTTTTACGGAGATCATATAGAAAGTGTACATTCGCCTCGACATTTGCTCTGTATATAGGTTTGAAAAAAACACTCGAACCAGTTTTACTTGTCATGTTATGATTCAATGCGCAAAATTTATTAAATATATATATATATATATATATATACATATATTCGTACTTATGTCAAAATTTATCTCGACAAAATCTGTCGGCTGCAATTTATTTCGTAATTTAAAATTAATTTATCGTAAAAAGTCAATCTATCCTTTAGCCTATCAGACTTGTTAATACGAGAAACGTAACAGCGTTAACGAAGTAATAAAAGATTTTTTCGAAAGAGCAATGTTGCATAAAACTAGAACTTTCTAAAATATTGAAATATCAGAGGAGAAAAAATTTCGAGATTTCTAAAAAAATATTTATTCGTATTTTTAATTCATATTTTTATTTTTGTAACACGGCTGAATTTTAATTTTATTCATCGCGCAGAAAGAGATTTTTAATTTTTAAAAGACTCTTAGATCAGTATGCATAAAACACAAAACACTATTACAAGGTTTACTTTTTTCTATCGAATTAAATTGCTGTATTGCAATCGCATTTTTATATCATACATCGGTTACGGAACTTTGGATGTAAAGATCGCAAATGAGTGTCAATATATCTTTTTGTTCACACTACATTAGTCGCATCAAATCGACCGTGACAGATTTAAAATGAGAGTACTACATCAGCGAAACGAATGAGAATCGATGTTATTTAATGTTACAAGAGAGTCTAGTAGAAATCTTTTTTCCTACCAATTGAAACTTTTAACAAATCATCAACTATAAAATATGTAATTCGCAATTGATTATCATTCTTTTTTTTCTTGGATTATATAGGATGCAGAATAGTAATTTTTTTGGCGATAATTATATAATCATTCTCGAAAAAGTAATTAGCAAATCATACATTCTCTTGTTGCCTAACTTTTAGGCTCTTCCTAAAATATATTATTTTTTTTTATAATCATAGAAAGGACAAATGAATGAAAAATATTTTAATAAGCTTCTTTATAAGGTGTAATTTGCACTTGATTCTCATTTTTTTGTTTCCGATTAGATTATAGGATGCAAAATAGTAATTTTATATTGGCGATAATTATGATCACTTTCGAAAAAGCAAATTAGCAAATCAAATCTTCTTATTGTTAAAGTTCTTTCTATAAAATATATTATTTGTTATATAATCATAGAGAGGACGAGTGAGTGAAAAAAGATCTTAATTATCTCTTTTAATTTAAAGATATGTAACAAACCGTATCTTGTTACATATTTTTCACGAAATCGATAATTAAAAAAAAATACATTTTGCACTTCAGTCACATATATTATATTATAAAATAAAATAAAATAATTTTCTCACCATCTCCATAACGTGGGCGTACAAGTCTTCCGTATCTCGTATTAGCCAGACCCCACGTGGGATTTTGAAAATTATTGCAGGAACCGTCGTAGCTTCGATATCGCGATGGTTGACAGGATCGGAAAAAAGTGTCACCGCACTTAATTTGCCGATGAATATTATCGCTCGTGTTTTCGACGGTCGAAATGAAAGGATAGTTTGAGCTGGAATATTGAAAGATATGTATTAAAAATATAAACGTTCCGCTCACAAAATCGTTTTATCGCTATGCTAAGTTATTTGCGTTATTTCTTTTTCTTTCACTTACGTGGAAGTTGGAAATTTTGCCGAAGGTGGAATAAACGACAACGGATTTGTCGAAAAATAAACGGTAGGATTATAAGAGTTGAAGAGATTGTTATGAGCTGCAAACGTTCCGAAATACGAAGTCTCCGAACCTACTAAATCCGAGGGCCGCTTTTTTTCTTTCCCCTCTGAAATTTTATAAATAACAATATGAATTATAAATGACAAATTATGCAAATTAATATAAATGATGCGTATAAATCACGGGATATTTTATGAAAATAAATATAAATATAAATATATTTATATACCTATTTTTATTTATAACGATTGCTATTGTTAGAATTGTGAAATATTACTCGACTATGTCATAAATACTTTCAATAGCCTTTTATAAAATGATCGTCCTTCGTTTTTTGCCATCAGTAGCAATCGATTTGTTTCAAGAGTAAGAGCCTGGCTATAACTTTCCCACGAAAGACGATAGAATATTTTATTCACGACGGAAAATATTGATCTTTATATATCGCGCTCTCGACGCGAAGTAAGATTTTTCCTTAGTTTCCTTTATCGTATTTACCATCGGATTTAGCAGTAATCGCCGGCAAGACAATTAACGTAGATCCGTCTAATAACGACATAAATCCCAATAGACTCGGGACTTAAATCAGATCCCCGAGCGAGGGAGAACCTTTCACTACTTGACGTCTGAACGTTAAATGTTACACAGAGATGACGAGATGTAATTGGTTCGCCTCTATGTTTATCGTCATTTGCACAATGAACTCTCTGGTGTGAATACTTACATAAGAGCGATGTTTTTTTTGTTCTTTTAAATTACTCAACCGGACATTTTTTTCACGCATCCTCTCGAGAGAATGTCTCCAGAGATCATCTGGTTAGATCGACGAATATAATGAATCGCGTGAGTTGATATATGATTACGAGAGATCGTGAATAAAGAAGAACTTTTTCGCAACACATTTCGTTAATTCAATGTTTCATTATTCAGGCGATAAATTATATTCGTCATGATTCAATAATGGTCTAATAAATTCTTGCTATATGTTCCACAAATAGATTCGCAATGATATACGATCTTTTTCTCAAATAAAAATCATCTTCTATAATAAGAAATATATAAATCAATTTTAATAAGAATTTAATATTTAAATATTTAATATATTATTTTGATATAATATATAATATATAACAATAATAATAATATATAACATATATATATATATATATAATATATATAATATATATATATATAATATCTAATATATATAATACATAAATAATTATATCAAAAATAATATAAAATAATTAATATTAAATAAGATGAAATATAATTAAATTAAATTTAACTTTGAAAAGGCGAATTGATTTTGATCAAATATATACTTGTTCGTGCATTTGCACATATTTGTCAATGTATCGTGACTCACATGTAAGAGGTTTGTGCTGTTTTGCATGCGCGTAATTTCATGTGCATACATTTCACGGCTAAATAGCTTCGCGGAGATGGAGAACTCTCGATCTCGATTATCGCTACGGAGCATTCTCCCGCGATTTCTGTGATCGCCGCATGAACGCAAGCACCTTCTCTTGAAAATGTAACATGCATTCCGGCGGTGCACACGCGCGCTTTTTTTTCTATCTCACGAGTCATTTCTTGCCATTAAAACTCCCACCTGGGTTGCACAAGGAACGTGCCGCGGTATACGGTCACACAGTTTCTCCTCTATACGCCCTGTCCCGATTATTAATCCTCTTATTGCTATTAGAGAAAGCAGAGATATTCGAACCAGATTGCTATAATATTTCCTGCATGTATACTTATATAAAGAATAATGAACGCGCCGAGATAAAATGCTAAGTATCTTCGAATCGGGTCAAACGTGCGAGAAAAATGTTTTGTCAAGATTCACTGGACGCAATCGATGATAATAGAAACAACATCTCATTCATCAAGTCTGTTTAAAATTTCCTTTTAAAATTATTGTTCTCATTTCTTTTTTAGATTAAAATCATTTTTATGAGATGCTGTGTCAAAGGACATAAAATAATCCGTCAATTTATTTGTTTTCTTCAAATTAGAGATTAATTTTTAAATAGAATATCCGCAAATTGCATATAAATATTTTGTAATGATATAGAAAATTACAAAAATATACCTCGATAAGATTAAAGCATAAAATCTCACTAGATCGTTATTATAAATTAGTATAAAAATTTCACGCGCGATATGTATCGGTTCGAAGATAAAGTTACCTGCATCCGATGGGGTAATCTTTTTCTTCGTTGTAACATCGTCGGTGTTTACAACTTCCAGCAAGCAAGCCTGAGTGAGCACCACAATAAGAAACCCAGCAATCCAAAGATTATTTTGACGCAGCATATCCCTGAAATAAAAATGTCACAATCTATAAAAACGATTTTTAATGCAATATTATTCGGAAATTATATACATCTTTTTTTATTGCGATCGTTGCAAGTACTAATCTGGAAATAAATAGTGTCGATAATTTTAAAATGATTTTTCTTAAAATAAAAATTAATAATATTATAGTAATATATACACTTCGATATTTCACTGAGAAAAAAGTTGTTAACTATAAATCGCGCAATTAATCACTATTTTGTTAATTGAACATATAGAAGTATTTAATTTAAATACATATATAAATTTAATATAACGTGTTTTGACTTAAATACTTATATATATTCAATTAACAAAATAATAGTTAGTTGAACGATTTAGTCAAGTTAGCAACTTTTTTTCTCAGTGTAATTAATTTAAGTAGTTTAATATTTAATACAATTCCTATATTAAAATTATAGAAATGTCACAAAATTATCGAATGTCACATAAATATTACGTGGATATTGATATATACTAGTTTTACACTATCTCAAATTGAAAAAAACTGTGTTATAAACTAAGCAGCTGCTTTTATAGAATGTCGATTGAATATCTGTCTTGTTCTTTAGAGATGCATAATTTAATTTCCGTGCATATCGAAAAAATAGAGTGAATTTACAATGAAGCAGATGGCACGAGCACTCTGTTAGCGTTACTTTAATTATAGAGTTACCTTGGTACTATTGTCATGTTCACGGTGATAATAATTTTCTGAAGTCAAACGGGAACTCTATTCTCTTCCAAATAAAATTTTACATTTCAATATCAGGCAGGGAGAGAAGAGAAATATGTAAATTGTCTTTTTCTTTTTGCATTTTGCCGTTAAAAAAATTTTAACGTCCGCAATAAATATACGATAAATAAAATCGCGATGAGTTTTGCGAAGAAATTTTCCGGCTTGCAATATTAATTTTTTCCCCTTGAGTTAATATTAAACTTGCTGACATTGCGATGTCAAGAACTCAATTTCCCGCTAATGCATGGAAATCCAACCGCAATATTGCATTCGTTCTCCAGACGCAATTTGCGGTATTTTTTCCGACCTGATCGCTATACGAGGGCGTGCGACGTTAACAGACATTCATGAATTAAGGTGCATGAATTAAGGTAAAATAGCGAACGTGGGATGATGATGCATCAAAGCATAGCATTATATTTCGTTATCGCGTTTAATAAAATTAATTTAATTAAATCTCTTCGCACGCGAATTATTTAATAATCGACCTGAAATCAATCCTGTCATCATAAATTTATGCAAAATATGTGCGCGCGTTCCTATATATATATAACATATCCGAATATATAATTTTGCTAATTATCGGAGCTCGCTTTCTTCCTCTTCCTTTCTCCCTCAGGTATTTTCAGTTCGTACACGTGGGAAGAAATTCCTAATAAATTTTAAATCAGCCGCTATCTCGAGAGATAACTCATTTTTAAAACGTGCGTAATGAAGTTACCTAATCACTTTGTATTACGTGATCAATTACGTTTATTGAGTGATATATTACTTATTAATAACTACTGATTTATTTTTATCAAATCGATTGCGATTTGTTGTTATACAAGCTATCCCATGTGCCAGTAGGAAAAATGCTTCATTATTTGATTTATATCGTGCAATAGAAATTCTTGATTGCACTCGTTTTATATGTTTCTATACAGCGATTACATCGCGGTGAATTTTTAACACGGTGTAACACCATACAATGCGTATATATAATAACATGTTTTTACGCGCTATGCAAGTATACGTTTCGACATATATAATTAAAATGCGGTTCCGCAAGGATAAAAAGAGAACTCTAGTATATAATTTAGCGTCGGGAAATTATTGAACATCGAAGTAGAATTTAACAGAATTCATCGATGAAATACACATCGAAAAAACACGATCGGAAGAGGCGAATCCGAGAAGAAGTTTGCATCGTTACGGAACTTTCGGTTGTGATCGAAAACAGCATTCAACAGCAGAAACTGGATAAGAAAAATATCGACAATTCTATACAAATTCCACGACAGAAACTAAAGCTATAATGTGTAATCCTTGTTTAGAGAAGACACGAGAGAATTTGTACTATTATCGTCATAATTTTTAATTAATAGTACAATTAATTTTTAATAGTATACAATTAATTTTTAATTATGACAATAATAGTGACATGATAAGATAAAAGCTAAAGATTATTGTGTGTTATCTGTCACTCGATACTTCTGTGACAAAATTAATTTATATACAATTTTTCAGAATTGTTTCAAAATTAAAAATATTATCTGCGATATAAAATCCAATCAGAATTAATAATATCGAGACAATTATATTTATATAAATTTTTTCTTTGACAATAAATTAAATAAATGTCTTTGAAGTTCACTCTTTTTTGGAGTAAAAATCTAAAAACTATCTTTTATCTTGCACATCAGAGAAAGAGAAGTTTCACTTCGTGTAATGTAAAGTAAATCATAACTTTTACATAATTTTTACATAATTTACATAATTTTTAACTTAATTTTTTTATATAATTTACATAATTTTTGGTACAATACAAAATAATACTAAAAGCAACTTTGAACTTGAAGATTGATTTTAATATAATAAAATAAATCAGTTTCGTCTCACTAAAAAAAAAAAAAATTAGATGAGACTCGTAAATCGGAATGGCCATTAGCAAATATATTTATATAAATGCGTGAAACTTCAGATTAAAACCTGAGTATTGCAAGATTCAACTCACAAATGAATTCAGATATTCGATATCGCGGTTTTATGCATAAAACATCGATGGAGACGTAGATTCCACGCTTCGTTTCTCACGTTTACTTCGCATCATTATTTACATCATTCCGCAGCAAAATTCGTTGAAATTACAACAACGTAAATATATCACGTCGCAAATTACCTTCCGGTTTTGCGCGACGCGATTTAACCTTCGCGCAGAAAAGGCGCAAAAAGATTTTGCCGCTCATTTGCTTGCTTTCCTCTTTATTGGCAACGGCTTTGCACAATCCGCGATGCAGTTCGTACCCCATCGTTGAAGGTCGTCCGATTTTACTTGCGTCGATTGTCGAATAACAATGATATGTCTATATTTCAACCGGATTTTTCTCGTGGCGCAAGGATTGTGAAACGCGAGATTTGTTCTCGGTGAATCCATCGCAAGAGTTTCAGAGGGAAATACCCGTATCCGTTTGTGTCACGCGATGATTAACACATCGAAACTTTAGTTCCGAAACTATGAAATAGCGTACAATAAACTTCCAACTTTTATATCATTACTTATACTTATTTTTTTATATACTGAAAACTTTGTTAACTTGACTAAACCGTTCAACTATATTATACTATTTTGTTAATTACACATTTATATTAATATTTACATATTTTGTTAGATTTAATATTTTATATATATTATATATATTTTATATATTTATATTTTATATATTTTATATTTTTAATATTTTATATTTAATTTAAATATTTTTATATGTTTAATTAACAAAATATTATATTAGTCAAGTTAACAATTTTCTTTTTTCTCAGTGTATGTAAACACAAAATATCTTAAATAAAATGTCTTGAAATAAAAATGAGATCATGTATACAAATAATTTTGAAATGCATATTTTCTGGTTGAGGCGAAAATCTATACGTGCAATATTGTATTATATTTATTCGTCAAACTGAAATCAATATAGTTAAAAATAGATATAGATTATATCATTTGGTAAGTTTTAAACTTGCAGTCATCGTCTGATTAATAGCATGAATTTCGAATAAGTGATTCCGTCATGCTCGCACGCATGAGGAAACTTGTGTATTATTTACATTTCACGAGCAAGAAACTACGAGAAAATGTGTAAATAGCAATTAGAATTGCAATTAATATTAACGAGGCATTTGCGCTACTGTTATTTCAGATTTATTATTGAAATTGAAAATTTATATTATATAAAGAAAAATCGCATAATAGGAAGTCGTATAAAATTAGCATTGAAAAATAAATAGACATTTTTACCACGGAAACGTGATAGTAATCAGTCTAATAATAATTAATTTTTTAGTTTTTTTAATCTTACGTGATTATACATTTCTTATAGATTCATTAATTAAGAGAAATTGCTTATTACTATAAATAGTTTTAGTTATACAATATATATTTATGACACGCATGATATATGATTATAATTGCAATGTGATATCAATTTTTTAATTAAAAACACGCCAGATTAATGAAATTTTTTATTAATAAAAATATTTTTTAAAATGCAGATATATTTCTATTTTTTTAGTAATTTGCATTGTGAACAATTAATTATAGCTCTATTTGAAATTCTTTTTCTACATAAATTCAAGGGTAGTTTTAGATATCCGCGTCAACTCAAAAGATTTTTCGCTTTATTTCTTTATGAATCACGATACTTTAATACGGAATTAAAACGCGCCAAATACAATTAAACATTTTAAGTGACGCGATGCTTCCGTAATTATCAACCAGAAGTTGGCAATTAAATTAATTAACACGCAATCATCACTTTACGTATCATATATGGATAATTACAAGGCTGGCAATTGATTAGGTATTTTTCGACAGCACATACGTTTATAAAAGGCAATTACTTTACACTATACTTTTAACTAACAAAGAGCCCTCTCTGATTTTGATAATCTTTGAATGGCTTTATAAAACAGTTCAAAGTAAGAGAAGCATATTTTTTTTACAAGTTTCACGTCTTCAACACATCACTGTATTTAATGTCGCGAACGAAGATTAATATTGACAAAAATGCAAACATCTGTTCATGTTGTTTATTGTGATCTGCATATTATGCATGCACATATTGTGTAGAATTTTAAATAGACAAGTGCAAAAAAATCTCGATAGTTATTACGCCTGTGATAAACTTACTACTGATAGTCATAATATATGAGAATGCAATATGCATGTAGCACAATATTTAAATCATATCACAAAAATAATTTTAAGACAATATGAATATAAATGAATTTTTTGACGGAAAACGCTTTTTAATTTTTATCTTTCTACAAATTCATAATTTGCAAAATTTCGATGAAAGTTGAAGTATTTTAAAATATATATTTAAAAAAATTTAAATAATTAATTATAATTTATAGTATTTGATTTATAGTATTTAATCTATAGCATTAAAAGTCTGAAATATTTGTCCGAGATATTTTTTCGTATATTTCGTAACGAGATTACAAATTAAATAACAGCAAAGTTATCTTTGAAAAATTGTTTTGAAATACTAAAAAATGAATATATGAGTTTTGAGTATGAATAATGAGTAAAAAAAAATGATAAGAAATACGATTCTTTTTTTTATGTTAGTTGTAAGCCATTGTGCGTGATACATCTAAAGTTTGTTAAAGATCTTTTGTTAAAATTAAACAATATTTTTTTATTTCATTATTAGACGTGATTTTAGGAAACGTGTATTTTTTAAACTTGATTGTAAAAAAGAGAGATAATTATGCTTTTTTTAATTTTGCTAATTTGGCGCTGAAAGTTTTCTCAATAAAGCCAGATCAATTTAAAGAGCACGATTTAAAGAACAGACTTTTCAAGAATTTTGTATAAAAAAATTTACATACATAATTTTATTTTCATCAAAATCCCACTTAAAATCATTCCACCAAAATATCAGCAATTAAATTAAAAATTATTTGGCACACAATTTTAATTAAATTCAGATTTCAGACGTTAGAAAGAATGAGTTTATGTTTAATCATGACAATATAAGTGTCAATTTATTAAAAATATAACTCACCAAAGTTACACTGGTTTCAACCCCCCGATTAATGCAAAGGCTATCGAATGTCAGTGTGTTTTGTTTAATTTCGATCTCACAATATATAAGTAGTGAGTAGGCTAAATCTTTGGAACTATTCAAGAAGAGACGTATGAATTCCTTACTTGCAATATTTGTTATAATGTTTCGGCACGTGATTGAGGGAAACAACTGAACGAGCGGCAAATACGAGCCAAACTTTATAAATGACGGGAGAAAGTACAGAGACACTACCTCGTCGACAACCCCACGCTACCAAAGGTTCAATTTAACATGCACTAATCGCAAATATAAATGCGCAGCTGTGATTCATAATGAGACAATTTCCTACATATGCAATTATGTCTAACAAATCACTTTTTGTCTCGGAAGACATTTAGCAGATTGAGATTTTTTTCTCAAAGCCATTATAGAAACGCTTCCGTATGGTCTTTGGATTTACAATTTTAGGAAATAACACTGCAGCTTAAGTAAAATGTAAAATATATATATATATATGTAAATATAATTTGATCACTTATTCTCTACTGACACTTTGTCAGTTGAGCAAATTCTAGTGAAATCTTGGAAAAGCAGATTTAATATCTCATGTTATTTTTCTTATTTTTTAAGGTTCACAATAATTTGCATAGTATATGGAGTTATAAAATGAAATTTAGCTCGTTAACTGGCTACTGTTTCAGTCATTATTTTGATCTTCCTTTGCAATATGTACAAGAACAAATTGTTAAACAATTTTCTCTATTATAAAAAAAATGATAAAACTACATCTGAATAAAAGCAATATAGAGCTATATATATAATATACATAATTAAACATTTCATAATTGTTTATAAAAAATAAGTAATGTAAGAACAGAAACTGAAGATCATGAGCAATCTATTGTTTGAACCACATCTTTTGTCATAATCAGATTAAATTAATGTTAATATTAAGCTAATATTTTAATGTATTCATATACTAGCGCATTAATTCTGTTCTAATTATCCCCGAACGGAAAGAAGAATTGCATTATACATAATTGCATATACATAAAATTAGGCAATTGTGAAAATATCTCGATATGCAATCTTGAAATGCATCTATTACAAAACACGCAGACGCGTCTCCTGTGACGCTTCGCTCTAACTATTCTCACAAAGTCTGGAAAGAAGAGAGAGGCAAAGGAATTTACTATAGCGCAACATACTTAAAGCGTTGTAGTAAAATAATATAAGTAAAAGTTAATGATATAAATACTATGGGAAAATTTTAAATAAGTATTTTTGTATTATATACAAATATGCTTTGACTGTATGCGAAGCGTACATATTTTCTATATATATATGTGTATATATATATATACTTCGTCTATATATGTATATCTTAAAATATATAATTATAAATATAATTATAAATGATACAGCATTATTATATACATAATTATCGAATTCGCAATTAAAAATATACAAGCTCATGTAAAGAATCTGCTCGGAAGGGTTTTTAATAGAACGAACAGATGTAAAGGATTGAAAGGACGCAATATTCGCTTTAATCCTTTACATTAGTACATTCATTAGAGTCTTCTTTCTATCATAATTTAAAACGAACAGATTAACAATGTCACAAGTTTATTCCATTTTCAACCAAAATTCGTTTTTCAAATATTTATACTACAAATCTTCAAAGTATTCTCCTCGTAGATCCATAATTGCACTGTTCCGAAATCGAGAATCATTCAATATCTTTATTATTGGCACAACACATACTCGATTATGTCCCTGACCTCGTGCAGGAACTCGTCAAATGCGTCGGTAGCGTAGAAATCGCGAAACGTCTGCATTGTCTCACTCCACGACAGCTTTGCAGTGAGGAAGCTCTTGACGCAATAGGACCTCCACTCGTGGCAGGAGTAGTTTCTGCCCCAACACCAGGCTTGACACAAGTTCTCGTGATTAAGTTTGGCCACGGAGCTCTCGGTCAACGCGTCTGCCAGGTCCGACATGAGGAATTTATCAGCCAACAACGTCGCGTCCAACAACGACTCGATGTTTTCGTGCTCGAACGAAGTCCCATTCGCAGCCAGGATTAATGTATTCAGACCGTCGCGTGATGTGTTCTTCAATCGCACTCGTCTCTTGCCCGACTCGCTAAAATTGCCCTCTAACATGACGGAGAAGAAGTCCGAGCGCCGACACAGCATCCTTTTGCACGCCTCTACGGTTGTGCCGTCATCCAACTCGAATGTCACCGTCGACGACACCGTCGGCTTCGTGTGACTTGTCGTCTCGTCGAGAGATAGCCTCGAGTAATCGCTGGTCTTCATCGAAGCGACCGTGATCGAGTGATCGGACGAATGGATCTTCAACGTCCTCGCCAACTGGCAGATCGACCAGATCGCCCGCTCGTGCAGTTCATGTGACGATTCCCTGAGCAAGCGGAATATCAATTCCAATCCGCCGTACTTGTCCAGTAAGCACTTGAGGTGGCGATGCGTCTTGATAAGAAGCGGTATCGATACCGCGGTCAGCAATTTGTACTCGTCCTCGCCGCGCAGCAATATAAATGATAGTTGACCGATGGCACCGCCGGTTTCCGCCACCATACGTAAACGTCGCGTGCAATCCTCCGCTTCCGGTAAGGTCTGCAGGTCGAATACCAGGCCTTGTTTCAGCAGCGGTAGAAAATACGCCGTGTTACTATAGACAAAGAGAATCGAAAGATGATTAGAAATGCGATAAATGAAATTTTTCTAAAATAATATTAAAATGACGGAATTTTATTTTTTCAAAAATCTCTTACTTCATGATTCTCTTTAATATCTTGATTGCGATGTATCGATATTTGTGGATGTTTTGTTTCCTCGTATATTTTATATAAGTCGTCAGTGGTATGATGATCTTAGGGTCGGCTAGCTCGTCGATTGGCTCGCGGAAAAAACTCAATTTGTTCAGCAACTGTATCGTATAGAATTCACAAGCATTTATCTTGCCGGATGTCTCGGAGCTGGTTGTAGGCGAATCGAAATCAGTTTCGGCGGTCGTCAGCGATTTGTAGCTCTTCAAAGAAGCTACTTCCTCTGTAGCGATAAAATATTAATTTAGACGAATAAATTGTTGTGAATAATTAAATAAAAAATTATGTCAATAAAAACTAATAAAGATAATTTTGTACCGTCTTCTTCGTCGTTGTCGCCCCATTCGGTGTCACTGCAGATCGGACTATAAATGTCGTCATCCTCAGTATCGTCAGTCTCCGCATTGGAATCGGAACAAGGCGGCAAGGGTGGTGTACTAGGTGGCGACGAGGAGGAGGCGCTCGTGACACTTCTTGGACTCCAGTCGTCGCGATAAAAGTCCATACTAAACCTCGTTCTAAAACAAGAGACATAATTAATCTCGATTAAAAAAATAACAAAGAAAAATCAGCTGCATGTTATACACTTTATAGAATAATTTTCTATAGATTTTGATATTAATATATATTCGACAAATATTTCGCTGTCTTTTTCACCTGTTTGCATATGTCCGATTGCACTTTAAATGCTTCGAAAGGTATTCGGATGGACTATCACTAAAACGTTTCTTGGAGTTATTTTTGTCATCTTTCAATTTCACCAGCTCCATGTCCTTAGCAATCGCATCTTTCAATTTCGCCACGAGAACATCCATTATACCGTGTTTGGTCAAAATGTCAAGAGCATTATCGTCGTAGACAAACTGAACGAGGGCTTGTAACAGCATAGAATGATAACGTTCGTGTTTCGAATTGTTCAGCAGCACTATAATCAGTTGCAATCCATCACTGTTCTTGATTCTGTTCCGATTTACCGATTCTCGACAAAACAGGCACAAGCTAATCAATATCTCTTCGTACATTTGTTCCGTAGAGCTGTTCTCCACCGAATTGACCCAAGCTATGACCTCCTCAATTGTGCCAGAAATGCCTAACTGCAATCGACACTCAGCTATTTGACAGAGAATATAGAGGCATTTCATGGCCATTTTATTGTTGCTCTTATTGCAGCATCGCATGAGACACTTGTAACCTTGCTTGTCCTTATCTACTTGCATTTGCGCGCCGCAGCGCGGATCTAAAGTGACGAGAAACGCACACATAGCTTTTAAGCATGCATCTACTAGTTCAGCATGCTTAGCGTCTTCATAAGACTTTTCTTCAGCCATGACGAATAATTGAGTAATCATCTTAATAATCTGCAACTCCACCATTGTTTCCCTAATGTGTACATAAAAACTCCAAATATTCCTGCAAATATAATTAAAATAAATTAATTGACATTTTGTAAATACGCGCACTCTATAACACACAAAGTATTAAGAAATTAATAATTATTTTTCTATAGAAAATAACTAAACAGATAATATCACATAACAATTAGAACAATAGAATCATGAAATATTAAATGTTAGTTTATATAACTATAAAAACTGATAAGACATTTATTATTTTTATTTAATATATTAATTTTTGTTGGTATTTATTTTTTGTTTGATTTTTTTAGCATTTAATTTTGAAATTTTTTATTCTAAGTGTTTATATGGAATTTACATAAATACAACTGAAAAATATAGATAAAAAAATTGGAATAATTTTATACCTCATAGCTCTGATGGCCATGCAATAAGTTTGTGTACTGGTCTTTAATATTAGAAGTGGTACAAGTGCTTTTACCACTCCAGCATCGCATAACTCTTTGACATGCCAGCTAGATTCAGACAAGTTACTGATAAGTCTGCAAGCACGGCAGTGCAGTTTAGTATCCAATTGGAGATTTTTTATTATGAGCACTACATTGATTCCAATCTTGGTGTCTTTTACCTGAAATGTTACATTCCATTAGAATCATTAGATAATGAAAAATATATTTCATTAATATATAATATATATATATATATATATATATATAATGTGCATATATAAACATGGATATTATATTCAATTTTGTTTAAAGTCAAGTTATGCTAATATCAATCATGTGTGTTGTAACAAATATTATTATTATTTTAAAGTAGCACAGTTTATCATTCCATCATCTCTTCTATCTTAATATGAAATTTCTTTCGTTTATATAGTGCCTAGATACAATTTCATGAATATTATCATCATCATTAAATATATCTAAATATATTACAAATATATTTCCTATGTTAACGCAAGTGCAAGAAACATACCAAAGCATTATATAATAATATATTATTCTAGTTTCTTTGTATATTATAACATTAAAGAAATCATTATTTGTTCTCTGCTCCAAATGTGCTACAAAATAGAATTTTTAAAAATATGCCTTTTAAATACAAATCCTATGTACACCCCCGCGAATATTATCATCATCATTAAATATATCTAAATATATTACAAATATATTTCCTATGTTAACGCAAGTGCAAGAAACATACCAAAGCATTATATAATAATATATTATTCTATTTTCTTTGTATATTATAACATTAAAGAAATCATTTGTTCTCTGCTCCAAATGTGCTACAAAATAGAATTTTTAAAAATATGCTTTTTAAATACAAATCCTAAGAACGCCCCCGAATATTATCATCATCATTAAATATATTTAAATATATGAAAAATATATTTCCTATGTTAACGCAAGTGCAAGAAACATACCAAAGCATTATATAATAATATATTATTCTATTTTCTTTGTATATTATAACATTAAAGAAATCATTATTTGTTCTCTGCTCCAAATGTGCTACAAAATAGAATTTTTAAAAATATGCCTTTTAAATACAAATCCTATGAACGCCCCGAATATTATCATCATCATTAAATATATTTAAATATATGAAAAATATATTTCCTATGTTAACGCAAGTGCAAGAAACATACCAAAGCATTACATAATAATATATTATTCTATTTTCTTTGTATATTATAACATTAAAGAAATCATTATTTGTTCTCTGCTCCAAATGTGCTACAAAATAGAATTTTTAAAAATATGCCTTTTAAATACAAATCCTATGAACGCCCCCGAATATTATCATCATCATTAAATATATTTAAATATATGAAAAATATATTTCCTATGTTAACGCAAGTGCAAGAAACATACCAAAGCATTATATATAATAATATATTATTCTATTTTCTTTGTATATTATAACATTAAAGAAATCATTTATTCCCTGTTCCAAATGTGCTGTAAAATAGACTTTTAAAAAATATGCCTTTTAAATAGAAATTGTAGGTACGCCCCTGAACTACGCAGCGCACTTGACATGAATGACTTGAAATGAAGTCGCCTAACAAGAGACGGAGAGGAAAAACAGACCTTTTCCCTGACGTCGTAAGCCATGCAGGCGTCCGCGAGGACGCTCAGACTCATGTTCATGATCGTGTCGCTCTTGCAGCGCAGAAGCTGGACGAGGATGTCGAGGCCGCTGCTCCGCTGGGCGAATTCCTTGCGGTGCTTCGGGTCGCTCTTCAACTGGGCGAGGCAGGTGACGATGCCGCTCTTGTTCTTCGCCCGAAAATGCCTCGCCAGCTCCGGCACGATCGGGCACTCGTCCGTCGCGTCCTTCCGCGACATCTTCGACGGCGAGGGCGCGAAATTCTCACGCGATCACGACGAAATCCGGGAAAATCCGTCGGCTGACATAACCTCAAAATCGTCGAACGGCGGAGACCCGAGACACGCTCCCGTTTTTCGGTGCCACCGAGCGCGCCACTCTCGATATTGCGGCTGGCTTCGCAATTATCGCGCTCGATAATGCAAGACTTTGAGGAGATCGATACATATACTTTTTCGATCGCGATCACGACGATGGAAAGATAAACATATTCGTGACAGACGCGAAAGAAGAGGATTTTGCGATCTCGAGGAGCTCCAAATTATTTTTTGGAATCTCGCGCTCTCGTGGACTTTAAATTTCCCACCCTTTCGGAGCGAACTGAAGTTGGCGCTGAAAGCTGAATCCGTCATTGATTATGTAATGCATGATGATGTGAAAGTTAGGCGTGAAAATATATATACATGTATAAAATATCTATATTATATCTAAAATATATATTATATATATATTTATAATATATATATATATATTTATATCAATACATATATGTATATATTATTATCTATCGCACGAAGATGGCAGTCTCTTCTTTAGACAGGCCTTTGGCGATCTGTCTATTAATCTGTGGCGCTAGAGAGAGAGGGAAAGTCTGCGCATGCGCGCGTAATTTTCAATATGGCGTCCATCTCTTCGCGTCACGTGACCGATTTTAGTTTATTCGTATCCGAGAACGTGAGCGGCACTGAACTCATGCTTTTCCACGATGGAGATTGTGCATTCTGATGGGAACGAGGCCCAAGTACAAATTCGTTTTGTTACCAAACAACAGCGGTAGGAATTCCTTTTTTCTTCTTTTTATCGCGTCGTGAATTTCTTGAATTTGATTTATGAATATCCTTTTCAGATATGCAGTACCGAATTATCCTCTGTCAGTCCACAGTTCGATAGTTGCCAGTGAATTAAACACTATAATAAATGAACTTTTAAAAGGTGAGGAAGAATTTTCGTTTGAAAATGTATGAAATGTCTTTCGAGCTGTTGACCATCTTATTTTTTTGCAAACATCGCAAACTTTCAATATATATCACTGTTTTATATTTAAATATGTGTCATGTTTTGCCTAGCACATGTTCACAATTTTATAAGGAATATCCGATATATATTTAATTTGTACATGTCTAATTTTTCGAGTTACTTGTAAGAGTGTCTATAATTTTTATCAATTGATTGCAGAGTCAAATGATGTCGAAAATGAAGTGGAATTTGATTTCTTGGTTTGCTCACAATTCTTACGTACTCCTTTGGTGGAACATGTCGCAGAGAGAGGAATTTTTACAGAAGAGGTGATAGATGTAGAATATGTAGAAAAGCATCCCTTGCCAGAACCAAAGGATTGTTTGATACATGATGATTGGGTGTCAGCTGTTGCTGTTTGTAACAAATGGTTGGGCTTCTTATGATTATAAAATTTAAGAAAATAGAAAATTTAAAAAGTATTTTGTATCTCTATATATTTATATTTATAATTAAGATATTAACACTATCCATTTTTCTATTTAGGATCCTAACTGGTACTTATGATAATAAACTGCACATTTGGACATCAAAGGGTAAACATCGTCTTGTGATTCCTGGACACATGTCTCCTGTCAAAGCAGTGGCTTGGATATCTCTCAATGACGATAACGCTTCCTTTGTCAGGTAGTTGTTTGATAAAATGTCAATTTTAAATACCCTTTCTATGAATGTAATATTTACCTTTTTTATACAAATCATTATTACAACAAATGTTCAAATTTCTGTGTTATACTTGAAACATAAACAAATAGAAAAAAGAAAATAAATAGAATAAAGTTTACATATATCGCACACCTAAATAGAAAAAAGTTTAAATATATTGTGAAGCATAAAGAGCAATTAATAACTGACTTACAAATACACGTATACAGTGCATCGATGGACCAGACATGCATGATATGGAGTTGGGATATAACAAAAAATTCTGTGGAGTGTGTACATGTTTGCCAAGGACATAGAAGAAGCGTCGAAGCAGTCAGTGTAAACTACGACAAAACGTTAATGGCAACTGGCGCCTGGGACAATATACTTCTTATATGGTCAACATGTAAGTATACTAATGAAAAATTAAGGCACATAATTTTTTAAATAAAAGTTTTAATTCAATTTTTCATGGTTTTGTGAACAAAAAATTTGCAAAAACATTTACTATAAAACAGTTTAATTAGGGAATGTATTTCGTTAATAAACCATTGCATAAAATGACAATTAATAAGATTTCTTTTTTTGCTGATTAAGCTACACAAGAAGATGATGATGTGGAATCGGCGTCAAAAAAGGCAAGATCAGAATATGCTAGTAAAACAAAGGTACGTCAAATTAACATGTTAAAAAATTGTCTTAAAATATTGTATGATTATCATGAATCGTTTTACATGCAGGCTCCAAAGCGCGCGATGAAGGGACACAAACAGGCAATCAGCGGGATTGTATGGTCTGACAAAACAGAAATCATTACGAGCTCTTGGGACCACACCATAAAGATTTGGGATTCGGAATTAGGCGGTATCAAGCACGAGATCTATGGCGATAAGTGTTTCTTCGACATTGACTACTCGCCATTGTCGCGTGCTGTGATAACGGGATCGGCCGATCAACACGTGAGGCTGTACGACCCAAGATCTGCAGGTGCTTAAAGTTTTGATTCGGAACATCTTGTCGATCGTATTTAGAAACACATAAAATATTAAATATTAAAAAATTAAAATACTTTTAAAAAAAATCAGCTTACATATTTTATCTATAAAAGTCGCTATTAAATTTTTTCCGATTTCGGATTAACGCAGAAAATCTTAGTTTTCCATTTTTCTAAATGTTAATTCGACATTTAGTTTATAGATGTTTCAGATTAAGTATTTACGTGTTTTATGATTTTATAGAGGGTGCGATTTTGAAAGTTAAGTTCACCTCTCACTCGCAGTGGGTGGCATCGGTGCGTTGGTCGACTGTAAACGAACATCTCTTCATCTCAGGAGGATATGATAATCTTGTTAAGTTTTGGGATACCAGAAGGTAAGTTATAAAATATAACATAATATGCAATTTTAAAAAGGACTTTTCGGGAAATTGCATGCCTTGTAATAGAATTGAAAAAATTATTTTTTCAGAAAATTAGAATTTGTTATCTTAAAATATGTTTAATATATATGTGATGTGCATTATTAAAATTATTAAATTCAACATCGAATTGTTTCTTGAAAAATATTTTTCAATTAAAATTACTTGTTAAAATTCAGATATTAAGAAACATATGAGAGCAATACAAAAATATAAAATTTCTGTATGTAAATTGAGAAAATGATTTTAAATTTTAATTCATATGTAATACTAGATTATGCATTAACGTTTTATTCGTCTTCCAGCCCTAAGGCACCGCTGTTTGATCTCATGGGACACGAAGATAAGGTCCTCAGCTGCGACTGGTCGAATCCTGAGTTGATAGTCTCTGGTGGTGCGGATAACACGCTAAGGATATTCAAATCGAAGAATGTGGGACGCTAATTATAAATGTGATACAAGTATTTTAAAACGGAAACATCGTATACAATCGACGCAAAAATAATCGAGAAAATGCTCGTAAACAATTTAGGTATGAATTCGCAATATTAATAGTAAATAATTGCGAGAAAGCTGGAAAACATTTAATATGCTTAATAATAATCGAGATCGCAAAAGAGATCTTTATATTTTAGCACCGATTATTATACAATATATATAATTACATGTTGTTATATATATACATACGTCATTGTATTTGTGTATATATATATATAAGCATATATATTTAAATATATGTATATAATTATATATATTATAATATCGGGAAACTGCATTCAATCACATTATTATCCCGTATGTGAAGAATGTAAAAACCGGACCGATACACGAATGCAACAATAAAAAAAATGTGATTTTATTAAATAGAGCGTCTATTGGTTATGAATGTGCTTCATTCTTGTGTTAGCGCATTTCTCGTTGCATCTCTCTTTCTCCTCAAGGAAACTCATGCCGGATAGGTGAAGTAAGAGAGTCGTGTCGCTCGGCATAAATCCCCAAAACAGATCGTTTATTGATCAAAAATAAGGGACGATAATCGTGACGAATTTGGGAAATTCGCTTCCCCGCATCGCGAAGTATTTAATTATTTACCAAACCGTTTCTTCATTACTCGTGTAATTCTAAAAAGACCACCGATTCAAGTGTGCACGCCCCTATAGCAGAGACACACATTTTTAGGGTGTATGCGTTAATAATACAGGAGCAGCGGAGAGCGTGCACCCTCGCAATAGCGCGCGCATTCTTTTTCCCCTCTTTCTTTCTGTACAAGTTCTGTGTGTATGTATGTATGTGTATATGTGTGTGTGTGTATGTGTGTGTATTCTACACACAAGTGTGTCCTGTAGTTTCTGTATGTAAAATAGGCAGATGATGGTTTTCTTCGAGTACGCGTTTTATCTTTCTGCTTTTTTTCCTTTTTCATCCCCTTTTTTGAAGTTTATGGCATACACCTACGTACACACACGCGCACACGTTCCTTCTCTCTCACTTTCGCTCGCACATTCTCTCGTCGATTCTCGTCGTCTGCTCGCAATATTTTTTTCGTCGCGCGCGATTTTTCTCGTCTCTTTTTTTTTGTCCTTTTTTCCGCTTTTTTTTCTTCTTTTTTTGTCATTTGTTTGCTTGTTTATTCTCTCCGAAGATTCTATCTAAAAATTCCCACGTCATCTCTTCGCACACAAAGACTAGCGTTTTTTTTAAACGATCCAAAATAAACTAAGGGCACTTTTTAGTGGCTTATGCTCCATGTGTCATCGTCGCGCGTGTTACGTTCCCTCCCCCCTCTCTCCCCCTTCGCTTTACGTTCTTCTTCGAGCTTTTTTTTCGTCATTTTTTTTCATTTTTTTATTTCTTTATTCATGAAAAATCTAATTCTGACTTGTTTCTTGTGTTAAACTTTGTTTTATTACAGCACCTATTCGACTTCCTAAGAGTCACCCTAGATCTCTTAACTAGCTATGACACAACTTGTCTTAACGTCTAAAGATTTTTTTTCTTATTACATGCTAAACGCCTTTTTTCTTCGTTCTTGCCTTAAAAGTACTCTCGAAATTCTACAAATTGATCCTCGCGCGCGGATTTAAAAAGAGACCTCAGCGTCCGACGACATCGTTTATCTTTTTTCTCCCCCGTTTTTCTCTTTGTTCCTGTATTCATTCCCCTGGGGGGACCAAACCTCGGAAAGACGACGCAAAATAAGCGGGGTACACGGGGTACACGTGTCTCACATCTCTCGGTTCCCATCTCGTATCAGTGTATTATTACATTACCCAGCAAACACCGATATATAATTGTTACACTGCTATAATAAAACGAAATATAACAGGTAATATAACGTGTACGTTACATGTAACATCCATGTTAGTTGTAATTTCTCACTCATAGATGTAACATTTTTAATATAACATACGTTACATGTAACATTTATGTTAGTTGTAATTTCCCACTCATAGATGTAACATTTTAATATAACATATATTACATTGTAGTTATATTGTAATTATATACCAAATAGCACATTGATGTATTGATAAGTCAGTGCTATCTTGGGATATAATGACAATATAACTACAATGTAATATATCACAGAAAAAACAGTATCCTTGAGAGAATGCAAATATGCCTTGATTCAAGTATATTTTATCCTTATAATAGTACCAAATATAAATAATTTTGGATAAAGGATAATTTATCCTTAAAACAAAGTGCAAAATATTCTTGGTTGAAGCTGAAATTTACTTATAAATATTGCAAGGACAAGTGACAAGTGTGTATCGGATATAAGCGGATATACTTTCAAATAAATATAATAATTCTTAGTTCAAATGTGACAAAGTTTGTTTTTACCATATACGATTTTTAAAACAAGAATATATCTTAAGGATAAAATATACTTTACACAAACTTATTTATTATTAAGGCAAATGAAAATTTGTGATTACAAAGAGCATTCTATGCTTAAATCAATCAAATAGCGTTCAAGAATAAAAATATACTTGAATCAAGGATTCCTTTTTTTCTGTGATGTAATATTAAAAATGTTACATCTATGAGTGTGGGAAATTACAACTAACATATACGTTACATGTAACATGCTTGAGTATATAACATTTATATACTGTGTTTGCTGGGATACGCACACAGATCCCGCTTCCTTCGTTTCACAAGTTCGTTCGTCGCCGAACACGAAGGACGAGCGGAAATACAAATGCAAAAAGAAAGAAGGGACAAAAAGGGCGGGGGCGGAGGGGGAGGGAGGAAATGCGGAAGAAGAAACAAAGATGTCGACTAATTACAACTATGTCGCTTAACAAACACGTGTAAAAACAATGACTTAAAAACTTGGAAAACTAAGGACTGTACAAATCGAAGTACAAGACGATGATCTAGTCACCTCGGACCTCGCTTTTTTTTTTTTATTCCCTATCGCTAAAGTTTTTCACACTCGCACTCTCGCACGCATTCGCACTCTTAAGCCGATCTCGACTAAACATTATTTTACTTAAAAACATCCTATATCATTTTCGTCTCTCCTTTTCACGCTCTCTTAATCGATTCCTCCTCTCTCTCTCTTACATCTTCTTTTCTACAATCAGAGCCTATCGACTATGGTATGTCTAATCTAAAAAAGTGTCTATGCTAAAATTCTAGAGAAAGCTTTACGCTGGAAAGCAGCATCGTCCGCAATCGACAGCAAGAACCGTCTTCTTGCCCCCGAAAAAACCCTTGTTGGTGGCTAGACACCGCGCGGAAGCTCGCGAGCTCCTTCAACGGCAAACAAAAGCTCCGCGTTAGAAGCAAAGAATCGTACAAGAGGAGGAAAGAAAAAGGATTCATATGATTTTTCGCTTCCGACGTCCGTTCGACACCGATATACATACACCACGAAGAAGGGAGAGACTACGAGAGGACCGTTTTCGCGCGCCGAAAATCTGGATCCTCCGGAATATAATGATCGGTATCTAAGATGACTGCGGAAGGAGGTGTATGCGTGGCGTATTCTTTCTCCTTGCCGAAATTCGCCGCGAGCTCCCGCGCCCTATCGTGGTGATTGAAATTCAAAAGCCCACATCCGGCCAGCCCACGCACCCGACCCGCGGTGCGCAGCAAGCAAATAGTTCCTTACTATTTATACAATTATACAAGTATAGCTCATATATATATAGAATAATATATATATATTTATCAATTAAAATATGAATAGCCAGTCAGTCTTGACGGGTGCGAGGTGCATAGGCTGAACGGTGCCCCATGTCCGTGTCCTCCTTCCTCCCCATGACAGCACGTGACCTTAAGGGTGGTAAGGGGGACACGGAAGATGAGAGGCATATATAATATATATATATCTATGTTATTCGTATATCCTAACTACTAACTATAATATAGCTAAACTATTGTTCTACCTAACTACCGTTGTAAATCTTAGCCGATAAAAGATCGCCCCGTTTCATTTTTATCTCCTAAAATTCGAGTGCTCGTCGCTCACTCGCGCTTAATCCTAGGGATTTTTTTTACTCTTCGTCAAGTTCAACTCTCTAACTATCCACGCGCGAGACACGTTGCCGCGCGTGCTTAAAAAAAAAAAAAAAAAAAAGAGAAAAGACGCGTCTCTCCGCGCGTTCTCTGTACACGTAATTAATTATGCTTTCGCTCACGATCGCTTCTTCTTTATCTCGCCGGCCATCTTTTCCATTTCTCTCTTCATCTCTTCTACGAAAATCTTGTATTCCGAGGACGTAAGATAGAGCGTCCTCATCATCCCCTTCTGAACGGGTCGGCGCAACTATTTAATGCTGCTCTATTTTCTCCCTCTTCTTTCTTTTCGTTTGGTCGGTCACGATAATTACTTTAGTTTTTTTTTTTAGTTGTATACAAGTCTATTTAGTAAAATTCTCAAAATTTACTATTAAAATCACATATGGATTTTTTTGTCAGTCAATTGGTGACAATCTCGCCTTGTGCAACAAATACACTATACGCATTCGCTAATGGATGCTTCTCTCACTCTCCATCTCGGTTTTATCCTCTCTTTTTCTCACTCTCTCTCATACATACTCTCTTTTCATCTCGCACTCACTCTCTCTTTCGCACTCAGTTTTTTTTTACTTTTTACTTTAATGTGTGGAGTCAAATCGAGTAATAAGTCTGTCTCTTAAAAAATAGCTCATACTTCGCCTTTCTACTTCTTCACCTTCTTTTTTTCTCAATTTATCTCTCTCACTCTCTCGTCATCAAATCGTGATGTACCAAAATAAACTAAATATATTATTTACTTCAAGTCTCAACAGTGTAAAAATCTTTCATACGTTTAGATGACATCAATAATAGTAAATCGTTAATTATAATAATACATCGTCTCATTATTGTAATATTATAATAATAACTACACGACTCGGCTTGCTTTCTTTCGCTCTTTCGTTCTTTCCCTCTAAAACTCTAACTACTTGTCAGTTTGTTGCCATCGCCACTTATTCTCCTTCATTTTCATCATTTTCTTGTATATGTCGTGCGAGTAGCTCGCAGCTCTCGCATATATTTTTTGGTAAAAAGCTTTTCTACATTTTCTCCTTCTCTTTCGCGCTTTTTTATTCGATCCTCGACTCTCAATTCCTAGACAGACAATGCAAAACTTTGCATAAACGATGACGGTGATGAGTATAGGGAGAGGAGGCATTCACAGGAGAGGGAAGATCTCGCTGGACGTAGGTGTAAAACGTGAGAATAATCAAGACTTGAACGGGCAATATGATGATTTTAATGGATTCAAATAATATAAATCATTTACTTTTGCAAATCCAATTTTTCCCCCTTTTTTTTGGCAAAATATACTTACTTCAGTAAATACAGACTTATCGCGTAAAGTCGCGTAACAACGCCCTAAAGATTTTCAACCTTCGAAACTACTGATTATCTTGACGAATATTCTCGCGCGATGTTACTTTACGATTTATTTACAACTATTAATTTTAACATTTTGAAAGATGACAAAATGTCGTCTCGATTACTCTCTTCCTCTCTACTCGATCTGTTTGAACACGCGCGCGCGCGCGCGTGTGTGTGTGTTGTGTGTGTGTATACGTATACATGTGTGTACGAATGTAGATCGATGCATCTTAATCCGTGCTTCCCGTCTATCCTTTTTTTTCCGAGAGTAACACGCGTTTCCTCGATAAAATAAATTAATTTACACTCTAATTATATTCGTCTTGTGTAACAAATCCACTTTTATCATTTTTTTAAATCTTTCTCTCAATCTCAGACATACTCGCATCCTCTCCTTATCTCGCGTTCTATTCCTCGATTTGTCGCAATTTGATTTTTTTAGAGACTTTCTCTCATTTTTTTTTAAATATTTATTTTTATCATTATGGACTGCCCGTGATATATACGTGTACGTGTCTATTTTTTCTTCCCTCTTACAGTCCGACAATTCCGTTCGATTAATGCATGCATTTACACGTACAAAATCTATCAAATTGATAACGAAAACAAATGTATATAGAGATATTTATAACGTGAAAACAGATATATTAACTAGAAAACCAAATTTGGCGTCGCATCTGAATTTATCGATACGTAAAAATATATTAACAATCCTTTTCTTATACTCTTCATTCCTTTTCGCACTCTTCCTTTCTCTTTATCTTTCTCATGTAACGGATCTGTCTGCAAAGGCACAATTTAAAAAAAAATTGTATTTAAACTATACAATTAAAAATCGATATTGATCCGTAACGCAATCATCGTAAATATAATTCTACTTTTTCTTCCTCGTACAATAATTATATCCAGTATATATGTACTCTGAAATTTTCACATATTACAAAAAAAATTTATCGTATTTCCTCTTGTCCAATTTGTCTCCAAAAAGTTATCTACAAATTAACAGAAAAAAGCAAGAAAGAGAATAACAATTTTTTCGTTTTTTACATTGAATACGATTCCCAAATTGCTCCATCATGTCACATTCTAAGAAATTTGATTAAAATTCCCGAAACGAGCTGTTTTCATGTATTTTATCATATTTACTGCTAGCGTATGTGATGTCAGACATTTTGTCGCGCAATAAGGATTAAATATAATACAGTAAAATACACATTACAAAATAGTTTTTTAATCACAAATTTTTCTAAACGTGATGGAACAATTTCAGAATATTATCTTCATAAAAAATAAATAAAAAAAAATAACGAATTGATTATCCTCTTTCGCGTGTTCGAAAAGAATTATTTTGATTGAATTGTAATAATTTATTGTTACAAAAAAAAAAAAATTAAAAAGATACTTCTACGCAACAATGTGCTCGACGATATATGTTCGGCTTGGAATGTCTCTGAACATCTTAACAAAAACGGAAAAAAAGAAAAATCCGAAAAGAGAACTCGTGAACAATGAGAATGTATGATGTTTCTGTCGGTGTATTCTGTGTTAGTCTACGTAATCTGTATGTGAAATATTAATGTGGATGAAGTGTAAGTTCGCTCTCGTGGAAGACGCGTGCTTTCAAAAGCACGTTCTCGACGAAGAGGCTACGCAAATGAGCGCCTTTTTCGAGATTTGCAGTCATAATTCTGAATTTCTCCTCTCGATGTTATATCTGTCAATCCTATCACACATCTGGAAGTAGCGCATTCTGTCTTTCGCTCCCTCTCTCTTTTTCTCTCCGTATATTATTTACTATTATTTCCTTAGGAAGAATTCTCCTTTATATATTTCTGAGCAGCATTACTTTTTCTTCTTCTTTATTCGTTTTTTCCCTTACAATTTGCACACGCACATACTTTCTCTCACTCTCTCATTCTCTCTTTTACTCGTTAAAATACTTATTCATACTCTCGAATTCTCGAGATCAGTTTCGATCAGTTTCTGTCTCATCTGTTCTTAGTAAACGTAATACCTAAAGTTACATCATGGAAGCCTATCAGCTTGACACTAAACTGTCCTTCGTAAATAACTCGGTTTTTTTGTCACTGTATATGTGTGTGTACTGTATTTGATGTATTGTATATCGTTCTCTCTTTGTGTATCTACGTGTGTATAGGATTGTATGTGTTACCGTTACATAGATAACTTTAACGGAGCCATATCGGTGCGGAAGCACATGCTGGTCCGCGCGGATGACACGTGATTGCTCTCATGCGTTTCTTCTCTTCTATTTCTTCATTTCTATGTTATCTCTCTTTCGCTCTCTCACATTCTTTCAACATTCATTCTGCCTACTCGTTGCAAAATATCAACTACTTTCCCCTATTTACTGATGGATAAAACGTATAAAACATCGCTGGCAAGTCAATTTATCGTGAGGAAGAATCTTATCCGTTACGTAATGTAGTTTGTTTCAAATCTATATTCTTCTTAGTATAATTCCGCTCGGTGTCGGTTGCTGTCGCTCGTTCTACGCGTGTCTCTTCATGCGTCAATCAGTATGCCTTTTTTCTAACTTATATAACTCTTAGCGCGATCGTACATCTGCAAAATCCGAAAGATCGCTTTAGTACACGTTGTGTCGCTCTCCTGCGAGCGAAGGATATCATAATTCGGCACAATATTATCGCATCGTGCTTCATTACGAGAGGGAGAAAGTATTCTGACCTATTGTAAACCGTGGCCTACTTAGGCTGCTGAGCCTGGTATTGTTGATAGGAATCGTCGGGGGACGCTGCGTTACTCGTCTGCTCCGACTCGCCCAGCGGCATAGTATGAATGATGCTAGGGGCGGGGTAAGTGGTGTAAGGATAGGGATGCGGGCTCGCTATGTACTGAAAAATAAAAACAACAAGACGATTAACTCTCATTTTTGGGTCGTTAAGGCTCTTGGCCGGTCGTGTTGGAATTGTGACAGAGGCGAGAAATATGATCGTGATATCAAACTTTGTCATACGAGATGACTGCGCATGTGCGCAAAAGATAGATTTTTATGTATTTTAAGAATGTACTAAAGACATCTCTAAAAATTTTTAACGTAGTATGTTTTCTCGCCTCTGATATCACAATCTAACATGTCGCAGCGAGAATCCAGGAGTATCAACTCGAATCAATCTAGTTCGAGCAACACGTACATGTTCGAAAGACGATAAAGATTTTGAAATTTAATTCTAGAAGAATTTTTGGGATCAATTTCGCGCAATTTCTACATATTTTCTCTACAAATTTTTCATATCAAAATCTATAAACGTTTTAAATCATAAAGTCATTCCTTGAGATGTTCTCTATCATTGAAATAATCTTTAAGTTTCAATCTTGAAGACGTCTTTCGAACTTTATACTTGGACAGTCGATAAAAAGCTGATACTTACGGAACCAGTGCCGAGATGCAAAGTAGACATCTGCGTGGTAATCTGAGGAATCATACTGTACTGCGGATTGCTAGGATCGGCCGACGGTATCATCTGTAACAGAGAGACGAAGCTCGATGATGACAAAGCAAGTGATTAATATTATCTTGAAAAAGAAAAAAGAAAAATACTCGAGAACATAAAAACCCCGTAATAAAACTAAAACAGCGATCAAACATGATTTTTCTTTCAAACAAGCACGTAATTCGACAATATGGTTCAATAATTATACAATTTCATAGACATATTAATAGATATTTCTAAACACCGCTAGATCATAAACGCTAAAACGACTATGTCTTGAAGAAAATCTCGAAAGAATTATATTAAAAGTATATGCAAAAAAATCTGCTAATCTTTTGGACCGTAAAACCCGAGATAAAAGTTTCTTCAATTGCGTGAAACGACGAAAACAAAATGAACGAAAAGTGTATAAAAACTCACGTCAACCTGTTGCATATGTGGTGGGGAAGGATGCACGAGATAAGGTGCCACCCAGGGAGTGCCTGGCACACTGTAACCAGGCAATGCCTGGCCGTAGTGACGGCTGTACTGCGTCAGGGTCGCCGCGGGAAGCATGTGAGTCGCAGCAACGCCGTTCTGGCCGACGCCGCTCGTGTCGTAATTCAAAGTCATGTTCTGAAATAATGCAGAAACAATTGTAAACTGGCGTAATTCTATCGGGATTATTTTTTACAAGACCTTTTTGCATCGATGAAATAAAATACGTACTTCTCCGGTTTCTCTCCATATTGTATTCTTGAACAACGATTTTTTCTTATTTCCACCATCAGCGAACTTGACTAATAATGGATCCTTTGCGCCTGGCAGCGCCTTTCCGTTAAACATCTGGATGATTTGCTCGCATTTTTCTTTAGATTCCATTCTGTAACAGTTATTAGAAATATCGAATCACTCTCAAGTTCTGAAGCAATTAATATTAGTATGCATACAATTGTATAATTATAATATTAAATGACAATTTTAAATCGTACTATAACACGAAATAATATAAGAAAATGATGCAATATACAAATTATTTTATTTTTTAAAACAAGACAGACGAATCTTGCAAACGCAAGCTCTCAAGGGAAATCAGTACCAATGTGACTATCAGCATATCATGAATTTTATACGAACCTTGCGAATCCTACACCTTTGCTTTGACCCGAAGTGTCGCGGAGGATGCGAGTTGAAATGACCTGTCCGTATTGAGCCAGTAACGCCTCGACGTCATTCTCCTTGAAGGTCAACGGTAGATTGGCAATGTACAGATTGGTGGGGTCCTGCTCCTGTTGCTGGGAAGAGAGTAAAGACACTATGCAATTACTTGTGTAACAGAGCAATAAGATGAATATATCGAGATTTGCAAACAAATCTGAGCGGACTATCATTTTAACTTCCACGACTTGTATATATCGCCGCTTTATTTATTTACTATTTTTTCATCACGATTACAAATGGATGCACAGGCGAAACGATTTACAGACTCGAAACTCGACTTGACACGCCTGCAAAATTTCTTCAATTTTTATATTTCAGAAATATCCTGTACAATATAGAGAAATCATTATTTTAGATTATCATAAATTGATATGAAACTATGGATAAATAATAGAGAGAATCTTGCGACGAATGAGTGTGCCATGTGTGATTACGTGATTTTTTTCTTAGTCTGGAACGTTAAAATGATATTGCAAGTTTTGCCGAATAATAAGATTAAAATAATAATAATAATAATAATAATAATAATAATAATAATAATAATAATAATAATAATAATAATAATAATAATAATAATAATAATAATAATAATACACGGAAAGATATTAATTCTCGGAAAACAAAAAGAACGAGACGTAATCTAATTGTAATCTCGAAAAAAGCGAAAAGTAAACGGTAAAAAGAGCCTCGTCGAAGTACAATCAACGTTTCTACAAATACATTGATACACTACGAAAAGATCGTGAAACTATATATTAGGAATCATCATCTAAATTTCGAAACAAGCGCAAAGTAGAACGAATGGGAGGGTTTTATATTGAAGACCGATATCGCAACGTGAAACCGTATTAAAGATAATTATTATTCTCAATGTCGGGAGGTTATCATGCTTCATGGCAATTTCATTACCACATTCTGGTGGCTCTCTAAATTTGCTTGCTTTTAGGATGCATTCGATTTATCTCTCTCGGCTAACAAATATCTATACATATACATATACATATACATATATATATATATATATATATATATATATATATGTAAATATATATACGCTATATTGCTAAAAAAATTCGATTCTCTCGAATTTGTATCCTTCTCGTGCGGAGCATGCTCGCACGAGAATAAGATATTAGATAAATCTACACATACACATCGTTATACAGTCATTAACAATCCTCGCGTCAAAGACTCCAGCTCTATCGAAAGAAAGATTGGGTCGTTTTCTACGGATAAGCCTAAGAAATAGAGGCACAATAGAGACAAGAGCGAGTGAGCACAGCTAAAAAAAATCAGATATGTAATGAATATAAATAAATAAATAATTAAACAAGAGAGTTAAAAAAAGGTCAGACATTTGTATAATAAAAAAAGAAAATCACAATTCTCTCTACTGCAGTTACAGACAAATTTTCATTGATACGAAATATATATATGTTTCTCGTAACATATGTGTACGAGATAACGATAAGAGTACATTGCCTGTGCATACATTTCGTTCGCGTTTCACGGACAATGGAATGGGAACAAATTCGACGCTATTGTGCGCACGTAGGAGTGGAATTATTTGATGCAAAACGCGCCGTTTGCGCAATGATCGTCTCGAGTTGCATCGGACGGTATTTAAAAATTTCGTGACGCGTGTAACCGACACGCCCCGGTAAATGTGCATTAACGCCGGAATACGCGGATTAAAATTTCTGTACCGGTTCAAGGATTATGTAGCTCGAAACCTATAAACTCTCCGTGTCCATTTAAAATCTCTAATATATTATGTACACGTGTCGAGAACCGTCTCCGTCGTCTTTACAGATAACCATTCAAAGCGGTAACAAAGAATAGGTTCAAATAACAAATGGCATTTCATTGGAAATAGAGAGAGAGAGAGAGAGAGAGAGAGTGAGAGAGAGAGAGAGAGTGAGATAGAGAGAGAAGAGAAGAGAAAGATGTAGAAAAAGAGGGAAAAAGAGAGAGAAAGTGAAGCGTGATAAAAAAAAGCACAGATATTTTTACGTATACATATATACATACATATATGTATATATACAGTTATGTAAGTTAATGAACGGACGTGAAGAAAGAAAGCGAGACTTTGGACGAACACATGTCGCACAAAACACATAATATATGTATATGTGAACGTGGACACGGATGTACATATACATATGTGTTCATGCTCCGTTTATGCCGTTGAACAATTCCGTTAGAGTAAGTGAAAGAGAGTAAAATAAAATATGAACTTGAAAAAAGACGAGATAAAGAGAGAAAAAGATTAAAGAAAAAGAGACAGAAGAGAAAGATATTGTGTACGTATTTTGGATGATATACTGATGCACCCTCAAGCATATTTCGAGATGCCACCACTTCTCCGTCAACATATAATAAATCAATCAAAATATCTACGATTACTTGAGTATACTTATACTTTACGACAATTTACTTCAATCTTGCGAATGCATTAAAACAAAAGAACGAATAATGAAAATATCATGATATATAAGCCAGGCTGATGGCATTTAAATATATGCGAGCTGTCGCAGAATGAAGCGAGATTATCGTTTTTACGACTTGTTCGGAAATAAACACGCGGGTCCATCGACTCTTGTTTTCCACTGTAACGCGAATTTAATCGCGTTATTCATCGCGCACACAAATCCATTCATTCTACGACATTCTGCATATACATATATGGATGATCAAACACAGATGTAGAAGCTCCATTGTTCGAATGTTATTTAACAATTGATTATTTGAATGATGATGTCAAAAACGGTGCAATTATTCCTAAACGATGTTTTCTCTCAGTGGCCAACATTGTTCGAATAATCGGACGTTTTTTTCTTTAGCATCGTTCAAACAACATTCGAATAATCAAGCTTCCGCTGTTTATTTTAAATGTACTCTTTCTTAATGTATTCTTATTCCGATAAAGTTTATACAGATTCGTCGAAGATACGACTCGTGCATTCGGAATTTTGCGTAAGATTCGATAGTAGCTTGACTTTTCATCTCGATGACATTTTCTCATTTTTCCCTTTTATCTGATTCAGACTATTCATTTTACTCGTGTGACTTCTATGACTTATCCTCTGTTATGTATAACAATCTGCATATAGGATAACTGCAATATAAAAATAAATATATTTTTATATTTTTATTTTTATACAACGAGTATTCACATTTTAACAATTGATATGGCACAATTGATTTTTTCTCATATGTAGTACATGAAATAATTCAGTCAAACTTGAATCTTACGACCAAGCTCCCGAATGCACCTTGTAGGCGTCTTGAGAGATTAAACTTTTATTATCGTAAGATAAGTGTACGTGTCAATCAACGAGTCAACCAACACCCCTTCGAGGAAAGATAACGCCTGATCCGAATATAATACCGCGCATCCCTGAGGGGAAAGAATATAGGATTTTAATCGAGGAGACAGAGATACGATGAGAGATATCGCGCTTTTAGTTATAATATCATATCGCATGCCATCGACATCGTCATTATCATCACACAGCTGCTGGTCATCACACCCCGTGCTTTTTTTTACCGCGGTCAGTTTAGAGGAACCATTCCACTTGGAGTTAGTCTTATGGGGTAAATGGTACAAACACAGGCGGGGAAGATCGATACTTTTTTTTTCTCGTTCGGCAGCGTGTGCTTTTTCTTTTTCTTTTTTCTCATTTTGCGATTTCGGTCGAATAAGATAATTAATATAATACAACGTATAAAGAAGCACCATCTTCTTTATCGCAAAGAGATAAACAATTACATTATCGAATCTAATTTGGTATAACACAATACGAGTTTTTAAGCTAATACTCTCTTTGGATCACTAATGTTACAAATACGGAGAACATAACGTTGCACAATATATCGACATTACTAGAATTATACTACTGATCGCGCTTATGCTGCCATACTTCCAATGCAATATCGTTCTTTTTTTTAATTGTTTCAAATTTTGTTATCGAGTCTTTCAACAATTCCGTGAATAAAGTTTTTTTACGTCAAGCTCTAAAATGATGGTATTGATAGACAAAAATTAGATTACTGTCGATTTATCTTGCAAGCATGTAATTAATTAATTATATAAATTCAGATTGACACAAATTGAATTGTCGACGACGGGTTATTATTGTGTCTTTATAGGGGGGGGGTCTCGAAATTAGTGCCGAAATTCGCAGAATGCAATTCTCAGACATGACGATTGTAAACATAGTGTTGGCATAACATAGTATCGGCTGTATTTGTGGCCGAGGTATAGCAGCAAACACCGATAGAGAGGTCTGGTAGGAGTAAGACAGAATTACAGACAAAGTATCGGAGAGAATTTCTAGATAAATGAAAAAGACAGTAGAGAAACACAGAGAGAAGGAGAAAGAAAGAGAGAGAGAAAGAGAGAGAGAGAGGCTCTTCGTGGAAAAAATATATTACAACCCCCCAAATATTTTATTAGATTTAAATTAGATGGAGATTCTTAGCATCTATAAAGCAACTAGAGAGAAAATGAATTTATAAAAAAAAGATTTCGAAATTTTTTCGTTTCTGATATAAATCTGTCTGTATACGAAGTGACAACTTAATAGAACTTAATAAGTACAAATCGATGTCTTTCGTAGAAAAATGTTCAACTTAGATTTATAATGTTAATTCGTTAAACGTAAAAACGTACCAAGTTTAAAAATAACAATTGTAGTATATCGAAACATTGATTGTTGTTGCGTAACATTTCCAATATTGCATACAACAAAAGAGAAATTCGAACGTGCGCGTTTTCGCATTCTTTTGTAAAGATCGAAGAGAGTGCGATCTATCTTGATTGACTCTCCGAAGTCTGCGAATAAACCGGGGGTGAGAAAAGGAATGTATGGAGAACACAATAAAACGCAATGGATAGAATGGGATAAAAAAATATAGAAACGACAATGAAAAGAAAGATAGAGAGAAAGAGAAAGAAGAGAAAGAGAGGTTTACTGTTACTCTGGTATTACTCTGTACTTGCATGCACAACCACGTACACTGTCCAGTCTACGGAGCAACCAGATACCCACTTTCGCCATCTGCGCTTGTATCCCCTTGGCGACCAGTGCTTTGACAGCACCCTCTGCCGCCATCGGTGACTCGAAGTCTACAAATCCGTAACCTGCAACATTGTAATCAATATAAATCTTACCGATTTCTTCTTGGAAAATTTTTATATAAAATATATATACTATTTTTTTATAATTGATAGACTCTTGACGTATTTATTTTTGTTAAAATTATATTTTAATTTTTTCAAGTAAAGAAAGATTTTTTTCACGAGTGATAGTCTTGTTACATACAAGAAAGCATAATAGAGAACTTCTTTTATTTATATCAAGTATATATATTATATATTTATTGCGTTATCTAATACAAATAGTATTCTAAGAATTTTTAGTCAACGCTAATTAATCGACATTAACAAAATAAATGTATTGAAATAACAAATTAACTTAGGTTAAAATAAAGAATGTAAGTGTAATTAATTACCTTTACATTTGTTTGTATTTTTGTCTAAAATTGCCTTGGTGGAAGTTATAGTTCCATATCTGCAAAAATATCAGATTTTGATGTAACATATTTATATTAAACCTAAATATTTGTTAATATTTTTATTTTAAGAGGAAAACTATTGATAAAAGTTATATAAGATATATAATAATTAATAAAAATTATAATATACTCTAATAGTTGTACAATTTCACAATAGTCATTTATGCTGGAATAAATTATAATTAATATTGATTTATACAGTATATTCATTTTTTTCTGATAAGCTGTCGGTTCTTTCCGATAGAATTATGATGAATCAACGATTACGCATTGATATGACGCGTATAACAAACTTACTATATAATACAACACCACTTACTGAGAACACATATTAACGAGGTCTTTGTCAGTCGTATTCTGATTGAGGCCACGGATGTATAGATTTGTTTTGGACAGCTGCTCCGCCTGTTGACCCTGCATAGCGTTGTTACTGAGACTCGTGCTCATTGTCCCACTTTGGCTGCCAGTGGCACTACTAGAGCTGCTGTTAGTATTCGCCGGAGATGAAGCTGTAGGCACCCGCTGTCCACCATACTGCAAACACATCATTAATAGTCAAATATTTTAAGAGTCAAAGGTAATTGATTTCGTACGGAGCATTCCGCTTCTTTTTTTTAACCAGAACGACCACCATCGGTATACAAATCTTAAATTCGTAGTCTAACACGATAAGTCAATTATCTCTATGAAGTTAACATTTTTAATATTTTGATATAGTTGATAATTTCGTATATACAATGAAAACGTGAAGTTGTCTAAAGTATCTATGAAAAGTGACTTGTTTATTCCATAACAATCAATTACATTCTATATCTATTATTAATAAATACCTACTATTAAAGAACGATCCATCTTCTTGTTCTACCTCTCATGAGTAACAATCTCATGCTTATATCTCGTCACATGAAAATCACGTGGACTATTGACCGATATTGCAATAATGACGAATCCTCTTTCGATTAAAAAGTACTAGAGATGCAACGAATAATATATTCGACCGAATAGCGAATATTATGCGAGATTATATGCCGAATGGCCGAATTCGGCAAAGCGCGACATTTCTCAGAAGCAAATAATATGTACGAAGAAAAAAAGAAATAGACTGCTTTTTTTCCAATGCAGAAAAACTTATTTCGCATTAAAACTTACGCTTCTTAATTTTAATTATAATTAAATTTAAAAATTATTAGTATTAAATACATCTCGTGTAACAATAAATGTGTTTTATCAGATATATACATAAATAATTTAGATACTCGAGCATATTCAAACTATACATTCACGGCTGAGATGGCAACAGTCTTTAAACCTAGGTAGCAAACGTACGTCATTTTGACATCGATGACGTCATTGGAGGTCAGTTTGCTCCTTGGGTAAGCCATTACTTCCCTTCAATTTTCCATTGAAAACTACTCGGTATTCCACCGAATAGTATTCGTTGCATCTCCAGCAAGTACTTTAAAGCGAGCAAAGCGCGACTTACCGTCGCGTGTTGCGCGTACGTGGCGGTGACGAAGGGATTCGCGGAAGCTGGCAGCTGTTGAGGACCACCGCCGACCGCGGCGGCGGCCGCCGCCGCCGCTGCCGCCGCCGCGCTAGGATATCGCGTGTAAGGCGGATAAGGAGCCGCCGCCGCTGCCGCCGCGGCCGCATGAGACGGCGCCGTGCTCCAAGCGGCCGCACCGCCGCCGCCACCTCCTCCGCCGCCTCCGCCACCACTCGCGCGATACTGCACCGGATTGCCACCGCGCGGCCCGCCACCCGTGTTGCCCTTCAATCCGTGGCCGCCGCCGCCACCGCCACCGCCGCCACCGCCGCCGCCGCCCGCGCCGCTCGCGGGTCCCACGCCGACGCCGCCAGTGTTTGCGGCGCCGCCGCCGCCGCCACTACCACCGCCGCCGCCGCCGCCACCGCCGGCGCCGCCCGCGTTACCGTTGTTGGCGCCCACGTACGTCGGTCTCGGACCGTTTGTATTCTGAAAATCAAAAAAAAGGGACTCGATTAAAACGCAGGAATCTCTCTTGAATCTCGCATTGTTCGTAATATGGAAATATGCAGTGTTGGACTTGCAATTTTAAAATTAGTCAAGAATGGAATGGAAATATGTAAAATCTTAGATAAAATGAAAAGACGATTTTGTTTTAAATATATTTAGATAAAAGATAAAATTATATGACGGTTATGTAATATAAAAATATATTTGTATTTTTATAAGTCTTATGTGCTATGATTTTAAACCAAATTATCTGAAAATTATTCTAGATAAATCAGTAAGTCATAACACTTTTATCTGAGACATAGATAGATATAGATAATTTTTATTATCTATATAAAGATAAGATGACGGTCTACAGGGAGACTATACAGATATAGATAGATATAGATAATTTTTATTATCTATATAAAGATAAGATGACGGTCTACAGGGGTTTCTAAAACTATGTCAGAGATTTTAAGGATGTATTCTAGGAATAAAATAAGAAATTCCTCTAAAGATAGATTCAAAAATACTTTTCCTTCAAGTTATGATTCCCTTAAAGTTGAGTAAAAAAGATCATAAAATGTATTGTAGCTCTCAGAGATTCGATTTTCTCCCAACTTTAGGGGGCTGTAACTCGGAGAAAAAGCAATTTTAGAACCATGTTTATAGAAACTTTTCTCTTTTTTTCTCTTATTTTGATTTCTAAAATACGCTCTTAAAATCTGACATAATTTTAGAAAGACAGTCTCTTCAATAACATATATAGATGTTTCAGAAGAAATGGTCATTCTAAGACTTGATTGTGCACATCATTTTTAAGCAAAAAGTTTATAGCATGTGTCTTATTCTAGACGATTATGAAAATACAATGTTCAAGTTTAAGAACGAATATTTTTAATGTAATTAAAATCACTCATATTTACTCATGACAAAATTATTAATTAATTGAAATTATTGTTTATTAATATTAATTATTCAAATGTATCGTAAGCTTATTTCATGTAATTATTTCATAGAATTTGGTTTTAATAAGTTAAAGCTTAAAATGATGTGTATAATCATATTCTAGAATATTATAACAATTCTTCCTGAAACACCTTGAAATACATAAAAATGGTTATGAGAAAAATGTGTAATAATATGTAGAATAATGAATGAAACTTGAATAATGAATGAATGGAACTTCAGTTAAATGATTAAAGAGAATATATCATATGATCATGTTATTGGTTTCATATATTTAACGATGCCGCGTTCGAACAAAAATATTGAGAAAAAAGTCAAATATATTTATCGATTATTCTTATAATTTAAGGTTGCACAGATATGTCTTTATCGCGTAATAAGTCGAACAGTTGTCGTTACCATGTTGACATTTTATTGAATCAAGAAAGACATCCTCGATTTAGCTATTCCAAAAATAATTGCCGTTCTTGTAGCACAAATTGTCCGCGTCAATAATTCAGCAAATGCAGATATATATATATATATATATATGAGTGTATTATTCCTTTCGCGAATAAAAAAAGAAACTATTGTACATAAGAGAAAAAAATTATCTAGAAACCGCTGTACAAAAATAATTTTTTGATATGCCTTACAAGTTCTTGCATTTTTTCTCCAAATAAAAGAAACAAATGTGCAATGGTAAACAATTTAAAAATTCACGAGACAAAAATTAAAAATTAGGAATATTAGTAGTACCGCTAAAATTATTATTGATAGTAATATTATTACACATTATATATATTATTCTCAAGCTTCAATTGCTAATACATTATACAGCCAGCGAAATAATCTTAACGCGAGGAAACTGATTTAATCTCGACAGTAATAGAATATAAAAAAAAAACCCCCACGGCGCATCTTTCGCTCCTGATCGTCAGAATTCCATGTGACTGCAAAACGCGAGGGTCTTTAACATCGATGCGACTGTCGCATCGGTATCCCTATCGATTTTCTCGAGCGAAACGGCATACTATTTTAGAAAGCGATCGCGTTTCTCGCCGGCCTCGTAGTTTCGCGCGCACACATCGTCGTTGCACGTCGATAAGGAGAAAAGAGAGAGAAAGAGAGACCCCGCCCGTTATCGTTTATCAGTGACCTCGCGCGGTCACGCCTCTTCGATAACGAGAAAGAACGAGCCGGCTAGTCGGTCGATCTCTCCCTCGTAGTCTTCTTTGCCCCCTTCTTCCTCCTCTCTCTTTCTCTCTCTTTGTCCGATGCGTCGTTTTCGCGACGGTGCATCAGGACGTATCTTTCGAGCAGCATCCAAGATTCTCTTGCATCGCCCTCGTGTATCGATCGCCTGACTATCGCGCGTCACAGATTTTCATTTTGCCACGCAACTCTTGCATTTTCGAAAATTTTATGCATTTTTAGATAAGTTTCGCAATTAGGAGACTTTAATTTATTTACAGTCTACACAGAGAGAGTTTTCTCTTAAAATTTACCCTGAAAATCATGGTACTCGTGAGACAATATGGTATTTATTTTTACCATAAAAATATTTTTCATTGTGGTAAATATTAATCAGAGAAACTCTTATAAAATCCTTCCAATACCATATATTGTCCCAATTCTAAGAGAAAATTCAATTTCAATCAATAATATATCTTCGTCATATTTTTCTCCAATTTTCTTTCTTCGTTATTAATCACTTATTAAATTCCAAAGCGGTGCTATTGTCTGAATTTTGTTGATATTATATTTTTTATATTATTATATTACCAGTAATTGTTATTATATTTTATACGAGCTGGACACATAACTTTCTTGAATTATAACTTTAGACAGATTTTGTTCGCGGAAGCACCACTTGAAGAGCAAGCTCGGTTAGGGACACCCTGTGTATACAACTGCTCTCTCTCGCTTCGCTGACGCATCATCGGCGATGCGATAAAACCAGACGGATGATTCGGCCATGGTTAGCCATTGACGAGTCGCCCCTGGGCGGAATAGGAGAGACGAGCCGAGCGAACGCGTGCGAAACGCACGGCCGTGTCGTGGATCCGGCCACAGAGAAGAGAGCGACCGACCGACCGGATGTCACTTCCTGCTCACCACGTCTGCGCCGCCGCGCACACGTTGTGTTGCAACGCGAACCAACTCCGAGTGTTTGCCCTTTTATTCTTTTTTTCTCGAACTCGCCGTTAAATACCGCACGGTCGGAATCATCCGGTATTTAACGGTATTCATCGTTGATATATATATTATTTTTTTCAGAAGCTCCGGCAAGAGGAATTTAAACGAGTTTTCCTTTCTTCGGTTCTTGAATTCTTCGCAAATATTGCTGCACAGCAGGAGAGGTGACATCTCGCACATTAAGGCTCCTCGCCGCAGGAGTGTTAAATTGTGATTTTAGGTAAAAGGATATTTTGACAAAACACAATTTTAAATGGCTTTAGTATGTTTCTAAAGTATCTCGAAAAAATATTTTCTCAATGTTTCAGTTATTTAAAGATTGTCGATTGACTGTCGAGGGAAAATAAGTTTTCGGAGGACATCAATTTAAATTGTGACTTCAAAGGCGAGAAAATACACGCTGAAAATTTTACGAGCCATCTTTATTTAAAGATGCTCGAGAATAAAAGAATATTTTGACGAAACGCAACTTTAGATGACTTTAGTATCTTTCGAAAATATCTCGAAACAATATTTTCTCAATGTTTCAATTATTTACAGATTGTCGATAGACTGTCGAGGGAAAAAAAAGTTTTCGGAATATTCTAAAGGTGTAATAAACCACCTAAAATTGTGTTTCGTTAAAATATCTTTTACCTAAAAATGTGGCATCACGCAAAAATGTTCAACGTGCGTTTTCTCGCCTCTGACGTCACAATCTGACACGAGGTCGCGAGGAGCAGCTTCGACACATGGCTCGCGTTTTCTAAACCGAGTAAACTCGCTCCATAACGGCACGCTGCATTATAATATTTATGCGCTATCGTTTCCGTTTCACAATCTTCCGCGTTGCAATTTATGAAATGCAAGTAAGCGGAGAGCGCGAGTTTATCATATCGGCGTGTGTATTATCATAACGCGGCCGCTAATTGGCGCGCTCTACGTGTGTATCTTGGTGCTTTCTTCTAAGGACGAGAGAAAGAGATGGCTCCAGGATGTGCGCCACATACCGGAGAAATGTGTATCCGCGCGATCTCTCTTTTATTCTCGGACAGATTCTCTGTTATGCTCTATTAGCGCGCTCGCGATATCCTGGAATGCGCTTTTTTCGACCTCCGCTATTAATTTGGAGAAATTACCGTGAAAATCTTTCGTGAAATATATTATATAAAAGAAATTCTAAGTTTGTAGATATTAATAAAATCATTCCTAACTTTTGATGTAACACACGTGACTTCTAATGGACGTCGTTCGCGCGAATTTTAATTGAAGATTTGAAGGAAATAACGCAGCGATATCGCGTTCGAAATCCCGTCTCGGCGAAATCATTGGAAAGTTAATCGCGAACACCCGGTGTGTCGCCGTATTCTTTCAAGGTGAAGAAACGGTATGCGAGGTATGCGCGCGCTCGTACACGTATATACATATAAGAGACGAGGAGGGACTCTTTCGTGCGCAGGCAACGAGCAGATGTGCATAAACGAGATGCGGCCGTGTAGGACTGCAATTTTTTTCAAATCTCTTAAGCTCTTAATGTCCTCTTGAAAAGTAACTTTCTGACGCCAAGAGAACGGAAAGATACAAACTTGTTCCTCTCTCGCGTACACGCGCTAATAAATTAATAATTCGACGTGAATTTAGTGGCTTGATCTCCTATATTTATAAATAAAATCTGATGAGCTTAAAATAATAAGCACAGAGAGAATTTTCTCCTAAAATTTACCCTGAAAATCATGATAAGAATTTTATAAGAGTTTCTCTGGCTAAAATATTATCTGATTAATATTTACCACAATGAAAAAAAGAATATCTACCGCACAATAAGATATTAAATATGCGTTCGATTAATTTTACTATGTACATATTAATACTTTTTATTGTATTAATCAGATAAATTTTTATAAAATTCTTCTAATGATAGGGTAAATTTTAAGAGAAAATTTTCTCCATGTATACAATATGTATAATATATACAATTATATATATATATATATATATATATATATATATATATATATATATAATAAAATAAAGAAGGAAAAATGAAATTAAATGTTTAATTGCTATATATGCATGCATAAATTGGCCCTTAATTTGCATAAACGTAAATTGTTGGCAGCTTTAAAGTTAATTACTCTCTCTCGAAAAGGCGAGAAGCTATTGCACACTTCGCGCATTGGATACTTGGGTAAATGGCTTATAATTTATAGACATTTACATAGCCTATAAATGTCTATCCTTTCGAAGGCGCGGCGAGTCGAGCTCGTAATCGAGTCGGGCGAGAGTGCATCCATCGCTACGTGTTACGTGGTCACAGAGAAGCCGATGTGTGCATGTGCATACGCACGTTTGGTTTACGTGAGTGCTTGTATACGCGGGATGCACGCGACTCGTGGCAGGACGAGGCGAGAAAACACGATGGAGATAATGCAATAAATGCAGTTACCGAATAGATAATAATCTCTCGAATAATTCTCTTTCGAGGAATTTATTCAAGGAAATATAACATTTTTCCTTGACAAATAATCAGGTGTAAAAATATATTATCTAACGATAAGGAAAATCTGTGTTCCACGATTGGGACTGATAAATTTAAATGAACAAGTGAATTCAAGATTTAAAAGAGCTTTTGAAATATTATATATTAAAGAAATAAATTGAAATTAAATATATGGAAATATTTAAATTAAATATAACAAAACGTATATTTGACTTAAACGATTTAGTCTGTAATAATATTCTTTACCAAATTCACAATTGAAATAAAATCGATTTTTCCATCACATGTCATCAAGCAACAAACAAATATATAAAGCATTTTTTATTATCAATCGAGAGATATAATCAAATAATTGATACAAGAATTACACAATAGAAGTGTAATTTAAAATAATAAAGATCTGAATTTTTATTTTTTATTTTTACCACAGATGGCTTTTGCCGATAACTTTTGCAAATTGTATGTGCACATCAACAATAAGCTTCACTGAATATCAGTGTTCCGGAAGTCTGACATGATAGTAAAGAAGTACATCGAAGTATACATTAGTACTTTTAATTTTTTAAATTAATCATATAATAATTGATAATTTTAAATGATTTCAATTAAAGAATTTTAATATATATTTATATGTAATTTTTTTTATCAGTTTTGTATGTTTTGTCTAAAAGAAAAATGCAAGTTTTTGCCTTACAAAACACAGGGGAAAAAAGACATCACGGAGAAACAGAGAGGAACGCGACTGTCTGACCGCCTGGGCGTCTCGGATTTGACACCCTTTATCCGAGTTTAGGCTGGCGGCGGATATTATTAGCCGACGTCGCGTGCTTCCGTCTCTTTATAGCGCACGGGGAAAACAATGTGCTAGATATATATTGGGAAATATAACAGGATGGAATTTCGAATCTTTCGGGCAGAAACCATCATATAAAAAAATAAATACAATAATTCCGAATGATATATCGCAATATAGAATTAAAAAATCGATGTAAACAATTCCAATAAATTTGGAAATTTCGATGTATATATTTATATAAATTTAATATTATGTAACAAATATATCTCCAAACAAATGTTTGGGGAGAAAATAAATGTTTAGTTTTTTTTTATTTGTGGAAAAAAAGTTGTCACAAAAATAACATTAAAAACTCCGGAAATGATTCTGGAAAGATTAACGAGCTTTTGTGTCCGACGTATGTGAACGTCGTCATGCTTGCAAATTGCAAACGATATAAACTCTCGAGGTACGAGGTTTATTCGTAAGCAATGGCCATTGTGCAGGCCGCATTACTAATAGCGTGACCACTTCCGTTGTCATTGTCATTACAATTGATTTTCTCACTGCGATTTGAGACAGCTAAATTCAAAACCTACAGCAGACGCAAACACGACAGGTGCGAACGCGAAAATTGGTTCGGTCAATTATAGTTACTGCCGTTTTAATTATCACTATTTTTTTATTATTTTTTCATTTCACAAACTTAAAAAAAACTATAACTGCCCTCATTAAAATTTTTACATTTTTTTAGTTAAGTAAAATTTATTTGATTTCTTTAACATAGCATTCCAAAAGTTTTTGAATCTTTAATTCACTTTTTCATTTAAATTTATTACTTCCAATCGGAAAGAGTTTTATCCTTGTCAGATATGTAATTTATTTTTATATATAATTATTTGTCAAGGAAAAAATGTCTTTTTCTTAATTTCTTTTGTTTAAAAATTTCTTCTAATAGAATTTTTATGTAAATAAATGTAAATTTATGAATAATATTGTAAATGTAAATAATGCAAATACATCTTTGTTGCTCTGACAGAAATGTCGACAACAGAAAACTCGAATATCTTTTAAAAAAAAAGATAATAAGAGTAATATTTAATTATTAGCATTTTATTATTATAAAAACTCAAAAATACCTATGAAGCCAACTTACGAAATAAATAAACAAACATGAAAAATATATATTTTTCCTGCGAATTAGCATGTCACGACTAGACGAATGCGTTAGTTTGTACAATCTAATTTTATTAGTACATTCTGGAGAGTATGGTAATTCAATTGATACGTCATCAATATTTTTAGGTTTAAACGTTTTCATTTTATATGTATGCAAAGCGACAATACAAAAGAGAATTTATATAATTACTCTATTATTTATTAGTAATGTAATAAATTAATCAATAAATGTCATTTATTAATGATATGAAATAATTCTCCGTTTAGAAAATTTTATATAAAAAAATTGTTTAATAATATTTAATCAAAATATAATTATTTATCCCTCTACTAAGTATATATATATTCTGATTAAATAATAAAGTTAATTCCTTTTTTTAAATATTTCTTGCACTTTAGAAGAAAATTTGCATTTTCCATTGAGATAATTCTCTACAATTTTTTAGTTGATTCGTTCTGAGAATAATGAGGATATATTATACCGAGAAGTTTTTAGACGGAAATTATTCGGATTCATGACTAACGCTAAGTTACGCTCTCGAAGAACAATGATCTAAAAATATCCTGAGAAATATTTTTATCAACCAACCTCCAAACTTGGAAAATATGTCTCTCATCGATCACGCGTCATGAATCATATAATCACAAAAGCGTCATGAATCATGAATCATACTATCATGATTATCATTGTACAACAAAGTGTCCATGACACTCCATTGTGTATCATTATAGAATATTGACTGTGTAAAAGTCGTCCATTCCAGGGGGACAAAAAATATATAGAAAATATAAATTTTATATTTTACTTTATAATAGATAAAATATCTCGAGTATTTTAAAAATTTCAGAAAATTATTTAAAAATTTATTATTTTAAAACTATATTCACATGCTTTCATAATATAAGCTAGAAATATAGAAATGTATTTTTGTTTACTATATTAAAATAATTTGTGGAATTTCTATTATACATATTATTTCTTAATTTGGAGTTTTATATTATTGCAATCGAAATAAATACAATTCCATTGAAGTTTTCAAAGCAGACGAAAGAATATTTCTGTATATAATATTAACCGGGAAAAGTCAATGATAAAGTGTACACAATCTGTCTTTAAATATTTTTTAACACGAGTTTAA